GTGTGGTTAGACACATTCAATACATCGTTTGTCTACACAAAAGGAGAAAACAGATTAATCTAGATAGCATCCTCATGTGTGGTAAGACACATTCAATACATCGTTTGTCTACACAAAAGGAGAAAACAGATTAATCTAGATAGCATCCTCATGTGTGGTCAGACACATTCAATACATCGTTTGTCTACACAAAAGGAGAAAACAGATTAATCTAGATAGCATCGTCATGTGTGGTCAGACATCCACATTCAGTACGTTGTTTATCTACACAAAAGGAGAAAACAGATTAATCTAGATAGCATCCTCATGTGTGGTCATACATCCACATTCAGTACATCGTTTGTCTACACAAAAGGAGAAAACAGATTAATCTAGATAGCATCCTCATGTGTGGTGATACATCCATATTCAGTATGTTGTTTGTGTACACAAAAGGAGAAAACAGATTAATCTAGATAGCATCCTCATGTGTGGTCAGACTCATTCAGTAAATCGTTTGTCTACACAAAAGGAGAAAACAGATTAATCTAGATAGCATCCTCATGTGTGGTAAGACATGCACATTCTGTACATCGTTTGTCTACACAAAAGGAGAAAACAGATTAATCTAGATAGCATCCTCATGTGTGGTCAGACACATTCAGTACATCATTTGTCTACACGAAAAGAGAAAACAGATTAATCTAGATAGCATCCTCATGTGTGGTCACACACATTCTGTACATCGTTTGTCTACACAAAAGGAGAAAACAGATTAATCTAGATAGCATCCTCATGTGTGGTCATATTTCCACATTCAGTACATCGTTTGTCTACACAAAAGGAGAAAACAGATTAATCTAGATAGCATCCTCATGTGTGGTCAGACATGCACATTCAGTACATCGTTTGTCTACACAAAAGGAGAAAACAGATTAATCTAGATAGCATCCTCATGTGTGGTCATACATCCACATTCAGTACATCGTTTGTCTACACAAAAGGAGAAAACAGATTAATCTAGATAGCATCATCATTTGTGATCACACACATTCAGTACATCGTTCGTCTAGACAAAAGGAGAAAACAGATTAATCTAGATAGCATCCTCATGTGTGATCACACACATTCAGTACATCGTTAGTCTTCTCAAAAGTAGAAAACAGATTAATCTAGATAGCATCCTCATGTGTGTTCAGACACATTCAGTACATTGTTTGTCTACTCAAAGGGAGAAAACAGAGTAATCTAGATAGCATCCTCATGTGTGGTCATATTTCCACATTCAGTACATCGTTTGTCTACACAAAAGGAGAAAACAGATTAATCTAGATAGCATCATCATGTGTGATCACACACATTCAGTACATCGTTCGTCTAGACAAAAGGAGAAAACAGATTAATCTAGATAGCATCCTCATGTGTGGTCAGACACATTCAATACATCGTTTGTCTACACAAAAGGAGAAAACAGATTAATCTAGATAGCATCCTCATGTGTGATCACACACATTCAGTACATCGTTCGTCTACACAAAAGGAGAAAACAGATTAATCTAGATAGCATCCTCATGTGTGGTCAGACACATTCAGTACATTGTTTGTCTACACAAAAGGAGAAAACAGATTAATCTAGATAGCATCCTCATGTGTGGTAAGACATGCACATTCTGTACATCGTTTGTCTACACAAAAGGAGAAAACAGATTAATCTAGATAGCATCCTCATGTGTGGTCAGACACATTCAGTACATCGTTTGTCTACACAAAAGGAGAAAACAGATTAATCTAGATAGCATCCTCATGTGTGGTCATACATCCACATTCAGTACATCGTTTGTCTACACAAAAGGAGAAAACAGATTAATCTAGATAGCATCCTCATTTGTGGTCATACATCCACATTCAGTACATCGTTTGTCTACACAAAAGGAGAAAACAGATTAATCTAGATAGCATCCTCATGTGTGGTCATATTTCCACATTCAGTACATCGTTTGTCTACACAAAAGGAGAAAACAGATTAATCTAGATAGCATCCTCATGTGTGGTAGGACATGCACATTCTGTACATCGTTTGTCTACACAAAAGGAGAAAACAGATTAATCTAGATAGCATCTTCATGTGTGGTCAGACATGCACATTCAGTACATCGTTTGTCTACACAAAAGGAGAAAACAGATTAATCTAGATAGCATCCTCATGTGTGGTCAGACACATTCAATACGTCGTTTAACTACAAAAAAGGAGAAAACAGATTAATCTAGATAGCATCCTCATCTGTGGTCAGACATGCACATTCAGTACATCGTTTGTCTACACAAAAGGAGAAAACAGATTAATCTAGATAGCATCCTCATGTGTGGTCAGACACATAAGGAGAACACACATTCAGTACATCGTTTGTCTACACAAAAGGAGAAAACAGATTAATCTAGATAGCATCCTCATGTGTGGTCAGACTCATTCAGTAAATCGTTTGTTTACACAAAAGGAGAAAACAGATTAATCTAGATAGCATCCTCATGTGTGTGGTACATCGTTTGTCTACACACAGATTAACACATTCAGTACATCGTTTGTCTACACAAAAGGAGAAAACAGATTAATCTAGATAGCATCCTCATGTGCATCACACACATTCAGTACATGTTTGTCTACACAAAAGGAGAAAACAGATTAATCTAGATAGCATCCTCATGTGTGATCACACACATTCAGTACATCGTTCGTCTAGACAAAAGGAGAAAACAGATTAATCTAGATAGCATCCTCATGTGTGGTCAGACAGATTCAACACATCATTTGTCTACACATAGGGTGAAAACAGATTAATCTAGATAGCATCCTCATGTGTGGTCACACACATTCACGTTAAGGACATAATTTGTCTATAAAAAGAGAGAAAACAGATTAATCTAGATAGCATCCTCATGTGTGGTAAGACATGCACATTCTGTACATCGTTTGTCTACACAAAAGGAGAAAACAGATTAATAGATAGATAGCATCACTCATGTGTGGAAAACAGATTAACATAGCACATCAGACAGTACATCGTTTGTCTACACAAAAGGAGAAAACAGATTAATCTAGATAGCATCCTCATGTGTGGTAAGACATGCACATTCTGTACATCGTTTGTCTACACAAAAGGAAAAAACAGATTAATCTAGATAGCATCCTCATGTGTGGTTAGACACATTCAATACGTCGTTTGTCTACACAAAAGGAGAAAACAGATTAATCTAGATAGCATCCTCATGTGTGGTCATACATCCACATTCAGTACATCGTTTGTCTACACAAAAGGAGAAAACAGATTAATCTAGATAGCATCCTCATGTGTGGTCAGACATCCACATTCAATACATCGTTTGTCTACACAAAAGGAGAAAATAGATTTATCTAGATAGCATCCTCATGTGTGGTCATACATCCACATACTCTACATCGTTTGTCTACACAAAAGGAGAAAACAGATTAATCTAGATAGCATCCTCATGTGTGGTAAGACATGCACATTCTGTACATCGTTTGTCTACACAAAAGGAGAAAACAGATTAATCTAGATAGCATCCTCATGTGTGGTCATACATCCACATTCAGTACATCGTTTGTCTACACAAAAGGAGAAAACAGATTAATCTAGATAGCATCCTCATGTGTGGTAAGACACATTCAATACATCGTTTGTCTACAAAAGGAGAAAACAGATTAATCTAGATAGCATCCTCATGTGTGATCACACACATTCAGTACATCGTTCGTCTACACAAAAGGAGAAAACAGATTAATCTAGATAGCATCCTCATGTGTGGTCAGACACATTCAGTACATCGTTTGTCTACACAAAAGGAGAAAACAGATTAATCTAGATAGCATCCTCATGTGTGGTCATATTTCCACATTCAGTACATCGTTTGTCTACACAAAAGGAGAAAACAGATTAATCTAGATAGCATCCTCATGTGTGGTTAGACACATTCAATACATTGTTTGTCTACACAAAAGGAGAAAACAGATTAATCTAGATAGCATCCTCATGTGTGTTCAGACACATTCAATACATCGTTTGTTTACTCAAAGGGAGAAAACGGAGTAATCTAGATGGCATAATCATGTGTGGTCATACATCCACATACTGTACATCGTTTGTCTACACAAAAGGAGAAAACAGATTAATCTAGAAAGCATCCTCATGTGTGGTCATACATCCACATACAGTACATCGTTTGTCTACACAAAAGGAGAAAACAGATGAATCTAGATAGCATCCTCATGTGTGGTCATACATCCACATTCAGTACATCGTTTGTCTACACAAAAGGAGAAAACAGATTAACCTCACATATTTCAAATAAGCACCTCGATTCTCTGAATTAAACACTTCACTTTCCTTTATTAAATGTGTCACCTATCTTAATTAAGCATTTTAATTTCCTCCATTAAGCACCTCGTTTTTTTCAATTGAATGCCTTGCTTTCCTCAATGAAACACCTTACTTCATCTCATTTTCCTCAAGCATTACAGTTTAAATTAGGAACAGTGAACTTCTCTAGAACAAGAAATTTACATACAGAAGATAAATGTACATAAAAAATTCCTCTTTACACAGGCATTATAGGGCATTATAATGCCAGGTTCTGAATTACAGAGGGTTCGGGATAAACAAGACACATGTTCACATTCTGTACAGCTGTTCATATCTATGAGGGTTTTTATATTTTTAAATGCCTCAACATTCACAAAGTCTCATACCTTGTGGATTTTTTTAGACCATTGTCATACAATCAAATTTGAAACATGTGATATGAATCAAGGGTACCTTATATCTAAATAAAGCAATAAAATATACATGTATTGATAGGACAAGTACATGATATGTATTCAGTTCTGATATTTGCCTTTTAAGCGTACCTGACAAAATGGAAATGTTTGTGAAATGTGCTGAAATATTCATATATAACATGATTGGTGAAATCATATATAACAAGATTGGTGTCAAAATCATAGGCCTTTTTTTTCTATTTACAATATAATATCATGACTGTCCCTGAGTCTTGTGTCTATAGCTCAAACATCCAGCAGTCAGCCACTAGTGGAAGGGTTTGTTCTCAATAAACCTCTGAATCAAATCGAAGCCTCTTTCTGGTTGATCGTATGGGAGAATGTGACCTGCGTCACGCACAATCACCTGTGAACAGATAGAAAAGTCATCATAGATTCCAAATGTTGATGCATCTTTGCATTTATTTTATTTCTTCATTTATTTGTCTACCTGGTTTGGTTCCCTTCATCATCTGGTTGAGGTTTCCCACATCACCCTCTACTTTTCCTCCTGTACAAATTGACATACCTGGTTGAAGTTCCCCACATCATGTGGTTGAAGTTACCTACATCTGGTGGTTGAAGTTCCACACATCATGTGGTTGAAGTTCTCTACATCATGTGGTTGAAGTTCCCCACATCACCGTCTACTTTTCCTCCTGTACAAATTGACATACCTGGTTGAAGTTCCCCACATGATGTGGTTGAAGTTCCCCACATCATGTGGTTGAAGTTCCCTACATCATGTGGTTAAAGTTCCCCACATCACCCTCTTATTTTCCTCCTGTACAAATTGACATACCTGGTTGAAGTTCCCCACATCATGTGGTTGAAGTTCCCTACATCATGTGGTTGAAGTTCCCTACATCTGGTGGTTGAGGTTCCACACATCATGTGGTTGAAGTTCTCTACATCATGTGGTTGAAGTTCCCAACATCACCGTCTACTTTTCCTCCTGTACAAATTGACATACCTGGTTGAAGTTCCCCACATGAAGTTCCCCACATCATGTGGTTCATGTGGTTGAAGTTCCCTACATCATGTGGTTAAAGTTCCCCACATCACCCTCTACTTTTCCTCCTGTACAAATTGACATACCTGGGTGAAGTTCCCCACATCATGTGGTTGAAGTTCCCTACATCATGTGGTTGAGGTTCCCCACATCACCCTCTACTTTTCCTCCTGAACAAATTGACATACCTGGTTGAAGTTCCCCACATCATGTGATTGAAGTTCCCTACATCAGGTGGTTGAAGTTTCCCACATCATGTGGTTGAAGTTCCCTACATCATGTGGTTGAAGGTCCACACATCATGTGGTTGAAGTTCTCTACATCTGGTGGTTGAAGTTCCACACATCAGGTGGTTGAAGTTCCCCACATCACCCTCTACTTTTCCTCCTGTACAAATTGACATACCTGGTTGAAGTTCCCCACATCAGGTGGTTGAAGTTCCCCACATAACCCTTTACTTTTCATCCTGAACAAATTGACATACCTGGTTGAAATTCCCCACATCATGTGATTGAAGTTCCCTACATCAGGTCCCCACATCATGTGGTTGAAGTTCCCCACACATCTACTTTTCCTCCTGTACAAATTGACATACATCATGTGGTTTACATCATGGTGGTTGAAGTTCCCCACATCATGTGGTTGGTTGACATAAGTTCCCTACATCATGTGGTTGAAGTTCCCACATCATGTGGTTTTCCTCCTGTACAAATCCACACATCATGTGGTAGAAGTTCTCTACATCTGGTGGTTGAAGTTCCACACATCATGTGGTTGAAGTTCCCCACATCACCCTCTACTTTTCCTCCTGAACAAATTGACATACCTGGTTGAAGTTCCCCACATCATGTGGTTGAAGTTCCCCACATCACCCTCTACTTTTCCTCCTGTACAAATTGACATACCTGGTTGCAGTTCCCCACATCATGTGGTTGAAGTTCCCTACATCATGTGGTTGAGGTTCCCCACATCACCCTCTACTTTTCCTCCTGTACAAATTGACATACCTGGTTGAAGTTCCCCACATCATGTGATTGAAGTTCCCTACATCAGGTGGTTGAAGTTCCCCACATCATGTGGTTGAAGTTCCCTACATCATGTGGTTGAAGTTCCCTACATCATGTGGTTGAAGTTCCCCACATCATGTGGTTGAAGTTCCCCACATCACCCTCTACTTTTCCTCCTGTACAAATTGACATACCTGGTTGAAGTTCCCCACATCATGTGGTTGAAGTTCCCTACATCATGTGGTTGAAGTTCCCCACATCACCCTCTACTTTTCCTCCTGTACAAATTGACATACCTGGTTGAAGTTCCCCACATCATGTGGTTGAAGTTCCCTACATCAGGTGGTTGAAGTTCCCTACATCATGTGGTTGAAGTTCCCTACATCATGTGGTTGAAGTTCCCTACATCATGTGGTTGAAGTTCCCCACATCATGTGATTGAAGTTCCCTACATCAGGTGGTTGAAGTTCCCCACATCATGTGGTTGAAGTTCCCTACATCTGGTGGTTGAGGTTCCACACATCATGTGGTAGAAGTTCCCCACATCATGTGGTTGAAGTTCCCTACATCATGTGGTTAAAGTTCCCAACATCACCCTCTACTTTTCCTCCTGTACAAATTGACATACCTGGTTGAAGTTCCCCACATCATGTGGTTGAAGTTCCCCACATCATGTGGTTGAAGTTTCCCACATCATGTGGTTGAACCTACATCTGGTGGTTGAAGTTCCACACATCAGGTGGTTGAAGTTCCCTACATCACCCTCTACTTTTCCTCCTGTACAAATTGACATACCTGGTTGAAGTTCCCCACATCATGTGGTTGAAGTTCCCCACATCACCCTCTACTTTTCCTCCTGTACAAATTGACATACCTGGTTGAAGTTCCCTACATCATGTGATTGAAGTTCCCTACATCAGGTGGTTGAAGTTTCCCACATCATGTGGTTGAAGTTACCTACATCATGTGGTTGAAGTTCCCTACATCATGTGGTTGAAGTTCCCCACATCACCCTCTACTTTTCCTCCTGTACAAATTGACATACCTGGTTGAAGTTCCCCACATCATGTGGTTGAAGTTCCCCACATCACCCTCTACTTTTCCCCTGTACATCATGTGGTTGAAGTTCACCTAGTTCCCTACATCATGTGGTTGAGGTTCCCCACATCACCCTCTACTTTTCCTCCTGTACAAATTGACATACCTGGTTGAAGATTCACACATCATGTGATTGAAGTTCCCTACATCTGGTGGTTGACGTTCCACACATCATGTGGTTGAAGTTCCCCACATCACCCTCTACTTTTCCTCCTGTACAAATTGACATACCTGGTTGAAGTTCCCCACATCATGTGGTTGAAGTTCCCTACATCATGTGGTTGAAGTTCCCCACATCACCCTCTACTTTTCCTCCTGTACAAATTGACATACCTGGTTGAAGTTCCCCACATCATGTGGTTGAAGTTCCCTACATCTGGTGGTTGAAGTTCCACACATCATGTGGTTGAAGTTCCCCACATCACCCTCTACTTTTCCTCCTGAACAAATTGACATACCTGGTTGAAGTTCCCCACATCATGTGGTTGAAGTTCCCTACATCATGTGGTTGAAGTTCCCCACATCACCCTCTACTTTTCCTCCTGTACAAATTGACATACCTGGTTGAAGTTCCCCACATCATGTGGTTGAAGTTCCCTACATCATGTGGTTGAAGTTCCCCACATCAACCTCTACTTTTCCTCCTGTACAAATTGACATATCTAGTTGAAGTTCCCCAAATCATGTGATTGAAGTTCCCTACATCAGGTGGTTGAAGTTCCACACATCATGTGGTTGAAGTTCTCTACATTTGGTGGTTGAAGTTCCACACATCAGGTGATTGAAGTTCCCTACATCACCCTCTACTTTTCCTCCTGTACAAATTGACATACCTGGTTGAAGTTCCCCACATCATGTGGTTGAAGTTCCCCACATCACCCTCTACTTTTACTCCTGTACAAATTTACATACCTGGTTGAAGTTCCCCACATCATGTGGTTGAAGTTCCCTACATCATGCAGTTGAGGTTCCCCACATCACCCTCTACTTTTCCTCCTGAACAAATTGACAAACCTGGTTGAAGTTCCCCACATCATGTGATTGAAGTTCCCTACATCAGGTGGTTGAAGTTCCCACATCATGTGGTTGAAGTTCCCTACATCTGGTGGTTGAAGTTCCACACATCAGGTGGTTGAAGTTCCCCACATCACCCTCTACTTTTCCTCCTGTACAAATTGACATACCTGGTTGAAGTTCCCCAGATCATGTGGTTGAAGTTCCACACATCATCTGGTTGAGGTTTCCCACATCACCCTCTACTTTTCCTCCTGTACAAATTGACATACCTGGTTGAAGTTCCCTACATCATCTGGTTGAGGTTCCCCACATCACCCTCTACTTTTCCTCCTGAACAAATTGACATACCTGGTTGAAGTTCCCCACATCATGTGATTGAAGTTCCCCACATCATGTGGTTGAAGTTCCCTACATCATGTGGTTGAAGTTCCCCACATCATGTGGTTGAAGTTCCCTACATCATGTGGTTGAAGTTCCCCACATCACCCTCTACTTTTCCTCCTGTACAAATTGACATACCTGGTTGAAGTTCCCCACATCATGTGGTTGAAGTTCCCTACATCATGTGGTTAAAGTTCCCCACATCACCCTCTACTTTTCCTCCTGTACAAATTGACATACCTGGTTGAAGTTCCCCACATCATGTGGTTGAAGTTCCCCACATCATGTGGTTGAAGTTTCCAACATCACCGTCTACTTTTCCTCCTGTACAAATTGACATACATCAGGTGGTTGAAGTTCCCTACATCATGTGGTTGAAGTTCCCCACATCAGGTGGTTGAAGTCCTCGACATCATGTGGTTGAAGTTCCTTACATCATGTGGCTGAAGTTCTCCACAACACCGTCTACTTTTCCTCCTGAACAAATTGACATACCTGGTTGAAGTTTCCCACATCATGTGGTTGAAGTTCCCTACATCTGGTGGTTGAAGTTCCACACATCATGTGGTTGAAGTTCCCCACATGACCCTCTACTTTTCCTCCTGTACAAATTGACATACCTGGTTGAAGTTCCCCACATCATCAGGTTGAAGTTCCCCACATCACCCTCTACTTTTCCTCCTGTACAAATTGACATACCTGGTGGAAGTTCCCCACATCATGTGGTTGAAGTTCCCTACATCATGTGGTTGAGGTTCCCCTCATCACCCTCTACTTTTCTCCTGTACAAATTGACATACCTGGTTGAAGTTCCCCACATCATGTGGTTGAAGTTCCCCACATCATGTGGTTGAAGTTCCCTGTATCATGTTGTTGAAGTTCCCTACATCATGTCGTTGAAGTTCCCCACATAACCCTCTACTTTTCCTCCTGTACAAATTGACATACCTGGTTGAAGTTCCCCACATCATGTGGTTGAAGTTCCCCACATCACCCTCTACTTTTCCTCCTGTACAAATTGACATACCTGGTTGAAGTTCCCCACATCATGTGGTTGAAGTTCCACGACATCATGTGGTTGAGGTTCCCACATCACCCTCTACTTTTCCTCCTGAACAAATTGACATACCTGGTTGAAGTTCCCCACATCATGTGATTGAAGATCCCTACATCAGGTGGTTGAAGTTCCTTACATCATGTGGTTGAAGTTCCCCACATCACCCTCTACTTTTCCTCCTGTACAAATTGACATACCTGGTTGAAGTTCCCCACATCACATCAGGTGGTTGAAGTTCCCCACATCATGTGATTGAAGTTCCCTACATCAGGTGGTTGAAGTTTCCCACATCATGTGGTTGAAGTTCCCTACATCTGGTGGTTGAAGTTCCACACATCATGTGGTTGAAGTTCTCTACATCTGGTGGTTGAAGTTCCACACATCATGTGGTTGAAGTTCCCTACATCTGGTGGTTGAAGTTCCACACATCATGTGGTTGAAGTTCCCCACATCACCCTCTACTTTTCCTCCTGAACAAATTGACATACCTGGGTGAAGTTCCCCACATCATGTGATTGAAATTCACTACATCAGGTGGTTGAAGTTCCCTACATCATGTGGCTGAAGTTCCCCACAACACCGTCTACTTTTCCTCCTGAACAAATTGACATACCTGGTTGAAGTTTCCCTCATCATGTCATTGAAATTCCCTACATCAGGTGGTTGAAGTTCCCCACATCATGTGGTTGAAGTTCCCTACATCTGGTGGTTGAAGTTCCACACATCATGTGGTTGAAGTTCTCTACATTTGGTGGTTGAAGTTCCACACATCAGGTGATGGAATTTCCCTACATCACCCTCTACTTTTCCTCCTGTACAAATTGACATACCTGGTTGAAGTTCCCCACATCATTTGGTTGAAGTTCCCCATATCACCCTCTACTTTTACTCCTGTACAAATTTACATACCTGGTTGAAGTTCCCCACATCATGTGGTTGAAGTTCCCTACATCATGCGGTTGAGGTTCCCCACATCACCCTCTACTTTTCCTCCTGAACAAATTGACAAACCTGGTTGAAGTTCCCCACATCATGTGATTGAAGTTCCCTACATCAGGTGGTTGAAGTTCCCCACATCATGTGGTTGAAGTTCCCTACATCATGTGGTTGAAGTTCCCTACATCATGTGGTTGAAGTTCCCCACATCACCCTCTACTTTTCCTCCTGTACAAATTGACATACCTGGTTGAAGTTCCCCAGATCATGTGGTTGAAGTTCCACACATCATCTGGTTGAGGTTTCCCACATCACCCTCTACTTTTCCTCCTGTACAAATTGACATACCTGGTTGAAGTTCCCTACATCATCTGGTTGAGGTTCCCCACATCACCCTCTACTTTTCCTCCTGAACAAATTGACATACCTGGTTGAAGTTCCCCACATCATGTGATTGAAGATCCCTACATCAGGTGGTTGAAGTTCCCTACATCATGTGGTTGAAGTTCCCCACATCATGTGGTTTAAGTTCCCCACATCACCCTCTACTTTTCCTCCTGTACAAATTGACATACCTGGTTGAAGTTCCCCACATCATGTGGTTGAAGTTCCCTACATCATGTGGTTGAAGTTCCCCACATCATGTGGTTGAAGTTCCCAACATCATGTGGTTGAAGTTCCCCTCATCACCCTCTACTTTTCTCCTGTACAAATTGACATACCTGGTTGAAGTTCCCCACATCATGTGGTTGAAGTTCCCCACATCATGTGGTTGAAGTTCCCCACATCATGTGGTTGAAGTTCCCTACATCTGGTGGTTGAAGTTCCACACATCATGTGGTTGAAGTTCTCTACATCTGGTGGTTGAAGTTCCACACATCAGGTGGTTGAAGTTCCCTACATCATGTGGTTGAAGTTCCCTACATCATGTGGTTGAAGGTCCACACATCATGTGGTTGAAGTTCCCTACATCACCCTCTACTTTTCCTCCTGTACAAATTGACATACCTGGTTGAAGTTCCACACATCAGGTGGTTGAAGTTCCCCACATCACCCTCTACTTTTCCTCCTGTACAAATTGACATACCTGGTTGAAGTTCCCCACATCATGAGGTTGAAGTTCCCTGTATCATGTTGTTGAAGTTCCCTACATCATGAAGTTCCTTACATCATGTGGTTGAAGTTCCCCACATCACCCTCTAATTTTCCTCCTGTACAAATTGACATACCTGGTTGAAGTTCCCCACATCATGTGGTTGAAGCTCCCTACATCAGGTGGTTGAAGTTCCCCACATCATGTGATTGAAGTTCCCTACATCAGGTGGTTGAAGTTTCCCCCTTCATGTGGTTGAAGTTCCCTACATCTGGTGGTTGAAGTTCCACACATCATGTGGTTGAAGTTCTCTACATCTGGTGGTTGAAGTTCCACACATCAGGTGGTTGAAGTTCCCCACATCACCCTCTACTTTTCCTCCTGTACAAATTGACATACCTGTTTGAAGTTCCCCACATCATGTGGTTGAAGCTCCCTACATCAGGTGGTTGAAGTTCCCCACATCATGTGGTTGAAGTTCCCCACATCATGTGGTTGAAGTTCCTTACATCATGTGGTTGAAGTTCCCCACATCATCCTCTACTTTTCCTCCTGTACAAATTGACATACCTGGTTGTAGTTCCCCACATCATGTGGTTGAAGCTCCCCACATCATCCTCTACTTTTCCTCCTGTACAAATTGACATACCTGGTTGAAGTTCCCCACATCATGTGGTTGAAGTTCCCCACATCATCCTCTACTTTTCCTCCTGTACAAACTGACCTACCTGTTGTAAGTTCTCCACGACTCTGACGTATCCCGCCACCTCCTGGTCTGAAGGATTCACTTTCCAGATCAGGCGTTCTTCCTCTTTGTATTTCTGCTGTCCAGGCCAATCAGTGCTCATGAGGAAGGCTTCAGTCAGTGGAACAGCAACAATGATATCCAACTGTCCATTATAGAACATCACCTTCAAATAAAAATATGTGACCTTTATTAGAATTCCCTATTACTGATAACTGATCATGACTGACCACCAAGGGTCATTACTTTAAGATAGATAGGACTGACCAGTACAGGTCATCTCTTCAAGGTAGATAGGACTGACCAGTACAGGTCATCTCTTCAAGGTAGATAGGACTGACCAGTACAGGTCATCACTTCAAGGTAGATAGGACTGACCAGTACAGGTCATCACTTCAAGGTAGATAGGACTGACCAGTACAGGTCATCACCTTGTTAAAAGTTAACAGACTAAAATGGTCAGTACCTTGTAGTTATTTTTTAAGATAACTTCCACCCAATATTTGACCGTGTCCATCACATCATTGATTAGGTGCATCTCGACTGCTTTTCCATCATTGTAGGTCAGGTTACCAACATGTATCGCCTTTCGCACCTCTGGTTTGGCCAGGAAATCTCCATAATAATTAAAGTCTGCTGGCTCCTACCACAGAAAAATAGTCAAAAATATTAAGACAAAAATTATCAAAGTAGAATTTCCACCTGTAAATATGTGTAAAATACATTTTACCAACATCCAAATCTTTTAAGAAGGATTATTGAATATGTGACCTTATAAACTGAACTAAAAACATGAAGTGAATACAAACTTAGATTTAGTGATGCTAAGGTCCTAACTCATGTACATTTAGAACAAGTACTGTATCAGGGATATGGGTTTGAAGGACAGAATCTGTATTTGTTTCCAATGTGTAATAATGACACAATATCATTGTCCAAATTATGACATGTCATCCATTTCTAACTGGCACAGCCAATGAAAAACCCTCAGTGGTATATCACACCAAGTGATGTATGCAAAAATATACCTACTGGATAACAGGCAGATTATGTGATAACTGATATAACATTTAAACCAAAGTTAATATTGTGACACAAGAATCTAATACTCTGCCTTCATATTTAATGTTAGGTCTTAGAAATGGAATTGAAAGTGAAAGTAGAAATATGTTGTTACCTCTGGGTTAACTCTAGTCATGTGATCTTGTTTGCTTGTATAAATCTGTGAGCATCCATTGTCATCATATAGTATCAAGTGGTTTCATTATATATAGAAATGTAAGAACAATATATCACTGTAGGAAAGTGTAGGGACATTAAAATTATCATTCAAATGAATATATTATATATCTGACAGTCAGAGTCTAAAGGTTACCAGGAAATAAAACATTTAATCTCACAGCCAGAGTCTAAAGGTTACCAGGAAATAAAACATTTAATCTCAGGTTACCAGGAAATAAAACATTTAATCTCACAGCCAGAGTCTAAAGGTTACCAGGAAATAAAACATTTAATCTCACAGTCAGAGTCTAAAGGTTACCAGGAAATAAAACATTTAATCTCACAGCCAGAGTCTAAAGGTTACCAGGAAATAAAACATTTAATCTCACAGTCAGAGTCTAAAGGTTACCAGGAAATAAAACATTTATCTGACAGAGTGTTATCCTTACCTCAGTCAACAGGAAATTATAGTAGTTGTTTGTCTGTGTTACATTGTAAAAGTAGGGTTTGTATGGTGTCAGGTCTCCATTTAACAATAAGTCAAATATCTGTAAAATCAAAAGTATCAAAGTAGACATAATCAAACGAGTAAGTTTCTCATTAATACATCAGTCTAATTCTGTATAGGTTAACTTAAACATTTTTTTTTAATTTTTGAAAAGATTTACAACTTTCAAAAGTAAATTTCAAATTCCAATCAAATTAAGATGTATGCCTCTCCCAATCTCTCCCCATCTAAACAGTGTATCTCCCCATCTAAACAGTGTATCTAAACATCTAAACAGTGTATCTCCCCATCTAAACAGTGTATCTAAACATCTAAACAGTATATCTCCCCATCTAAACAGTGTCTCTCCGAATCTAAACAGTGTATCTCCCCATCTAAACAGTGTATCTCCGCATCTAAACAGTGTATCTCCCCATCTAAACTGTGTATCTCCCCATCTAAACAGTGTATCTCCCCATCTAAACAGTGTATCTCCCCATCTAAACAGTGTGTCTCCCCATCTAAATAGTGTGTCTCTCCATCTAAACAGTGTGTCTCCCCATCTAAACAGTGCATCTCCCAATCTCTCCCCATCTAAACAGTGTATCTCCCCATCTAAACAGTGTCTCTCCCCATCTCAACAGTGTCTCCCTATCAAAACAGTGTCTCTCCCCATCTAAACAGTGTATCTCCCCATCTAAACAGTGTGTCTCCCCATCTAAACAGTGTCTCTCCCCATCTAAACAGTGTCTCTCCCCATCTAAACAGTGTATCTCCCCATCTAAACAGTGTATCTCCCCATCTAAACAGTGCATCTCCCCATCTAAACAGTGTATCTCCCCATCTAAACAGTGTCTCTCTCCATCTCAACAGTCTCTCCCAATCTAAACAATGTATCTTTCCATCTAAACAGTGTGTCTCCCCATCTAAATAGTGTATCTCCCAATATCTCCCCATCTAAACAATGTCTATCCCCATCTAAAAAATGTATCTTACCATCTAAACAATGTCTCTCCCCATCTAAACATTGTCTCTCCCCATCTAAAAAATGTATCTTAACATCTAAACAATGTCTCTCCCCATCTAAACAGTGTATCTCCCCATCTAAACAGTGTCTCTCCCCATCTCAACAGTCTCTCCCTATCTAAACAATGTCTCTCCCCATCTAAACAGTGTCTCTCCCCATCTAAACAGTGCATCTCCTCATCTAAACAGTGTATCTATCCCCATCTAAACAATGTCTCTCCCCATCTAAACAGTGTATCTCCCCATCTAAACAGTGTATCTCCCCATCTAAACAGTGTATCTCCCCATCTAAACAGTGTATCTCCCCATCTAAACAGTGTGTCTCCCCATCTAAACAGTGTATCTCCCCATCTAAACAATGTCTCTCCCCATCTAAACAATGTCTCTCCCCATCTAAACAATGTCTCTCCCCATCTAAACAGTGTGTCTCCCCATCTAAACAGTGTATCTCCCCATCTAAACAGTGTATCTCCCCATCTAAACAGTGTATCTCCCCATCTAAACAGTGTCTCTCTCACAACTAAACAATGTATCTCATCCCCATCTAAACAATGTCTCTCCCCATCTAAACAGTGTCTCTCCCCATCTAAACAATCCCCATCTATCTCCCAATCTAAACTCTCCCCATCTAAACAGTGTCTCTCCCCCATCTAAACAATGTCTCTCCCCATCTAAATAATGTCTCTCCCAATATCTCCCAATCTAAACAATGTATCTTTCCATCTAAACATTGTGTGTCTCCCCATCTAAACAGTGTATCTCCCCATCTAAACAATATCTCTCCCAATATCTCCCCATCTAAACAATGTCTCTCCCCATCTAAACAATGTCTCTCCCCATCTAAACAATGTCTCTCCCCATCTAAACAATGTCTATCCCCATCTAAAAAATGTATCTTAACATCTAAACAATGTCTCGCCCAATCTAAACAATGTATCTCTCCCCATCTAAACAGTGTATCTCCCCATCTAAACAGTGTCTCTCCCCACCTCAACAGTGTCTGCCTATCAAAACAATGTCTCTTCCCATCTAAACAATGTCTCTCCCCATCTAAACAGTGTGTCTCCCCATCTAAACAGTGTCTCTCCCCATCTAAACAGTGTATCTCCCAATATAAACAACATCTCTCCCCACCTAAACAATGTCTCTCCCAATCTAAACAGTGTATCTCCCCATCTAAACAATGTCTCTCCCCATCTAAACAATGTCTCTCCCCATCTAAACAGTGTATCTCCCCATCTAAACAGTGTATCTCCCAATCTAAACAACATCTCACCCCATCTAAACAATGTCTCTCCCCATCTAAACAGTGTATCTCCCCATCTAAACAGTGTATCTCCCCATCTAAACAGTGTATCTCCCCATCTAAACAGTGTATCTCCCATCTAAACAGTGTATCTCCCAATCTAAACAGTGTATCTCCCCATCTAAACAGTGTATCTCCCCATCTAAACAGTGTATCTCCCAATATCTCCCCATCTAAACAATGTCTCTCCCCATCTAAACAATGTCTCTCCCCATCTAAACAGTGTATCTCCCCATTTAAACAGTGTCTCTCCCCATCTAAACAATGTCTCTCCCCATCTAAACAATGTATCTTACCATCTAAACAATGTCTCTCCCAATCTAAACAATGTATCTTACCATCTAAACAATGTCTCTCCCAATCTAAACAATGTATCTATCCCCATCTAAACAATGTCTCTCCCCATCTAAACAGTGTATCTCCCCATCTAAACAGTGCATCTCCCCATCTAAACAGTGTATCTCCCCATCTAAACAATGTATCTATCCCCATCTAAACAATGTCTCTTCCCATCTAAACAATGTCTCCCAATCCAAACAATGTATCTATCCCTATCTAAACAATGTCTCTTCCCATCTAAACAATGTATCTATCCCCATCTAAACAATGTCTCTCCCCATCTAAACAATGTATCTATCCCTATCTAAACAATGTCTCTTCCCATCTAAACAATGTATCTATCCCCATCTAAACAATGTCTCTCCCCATCTAAACAATGTATCTCCCCATCTAAACAATGTCTCTCCCCATCTAAACAATGTCTCTCCCCATCTAAACAATGTCTCTCCCCATCTAAACAGTGTATCTCCCTATCTAAACAGTATATCTCCCTATCTATATAATGTCTCTCCTCATCTAAACAATGTCTCTCCACAACTAAACAACATCTCTCCCCATCTAAACAATGTCTCTCCCCATCTAAACAGTGTATCACCCCATCTAAACAGTGTATCTCCCAATCTAAACTATCTCCCGAACTAAACATATGTCTCTCCCAATCTCTCCCCATCTAAACAAGTGTCTCTCCCCATCTAAACAATGTCTCTCCCCATCTCAGTTTATCTCCCCATCTAAACAATGTATCTATCCCCATCTAAACAGTGTGTCTCCCCATCTAAACAGTGTATCTCCCCATCTAAACAATGTCTCTCCCCATCTAAACAATGTCTCTCCCAATATCTCCCCATCTAAACAATGTCTCTCCCCATCTAAACAATGTATCTCCCCATCTAAACAATGTCTCTCCCCATCTAAACAATGTATCTCTCCCCATCTAAACAGTGTATCTCCCCATCTAAACAATGTCTCTCCCCATCTAAACAGTGTCTCTCCCCATCTAAACAGTGTCTCTCCCCATCTAAACAATGTCTCTCTCCCCATCTAAACAATGTCTCTCCCCATCTAAACAGTGTATCACCCCATCTAAACGATGTATCTTACCATCTAAACAATGTCTCTCCCCATCTAAATAATGTCTCTCCCAATATCTCCCCATCTAAACAGTGTATCTCCCCATCTAAACAGTGTATCTCCCCATCTAAACAATGTCTCTCCCCATCTAAACAGTGTCTCTCCCCATCTAAACAATGTCTCTCTCCATCTAAACAATGTCTCTCCCCATCTAAACAATGTATCTTTCCATCTAAACAATGTCTCTCCCAATCTAAACAATGTATCTATCCCCATCTAAACATTGTGTGTCTCCCCATCTAAACAGTGTATCTCCCCATCTAAACAATGTCTCTCCCCATCTAAACATTGTCTCTCCCCATCTAAACAATGTCTCTCCCCATCTAAACAGTGGGTCTCCCCATCTGGTTTTTCAGATATCACCACCTAAAATCTAACATTCAGATAAGATCACCACCTCACCCTATCTGACATTCAGATATGGTCACCACCTCACCTGATCTGATATTCAGATGTGGTCACCACCTCACCTGATCTTACATTCAGATATGGTCTCAACCTCACCCTACCTGACATTCAGATATGGTCACCACCTCACCTGATCTGACATTCAGATATGGTCACCACCTCACCCTATCTGACATTCAGATATGGTAACCACCTCACCTGATCTGACATTCAGATATGGTCACCACCTCACCTGATCTGACATTCAGATATGGTCACCACCTCACCTGATCTGACATTCAGATATGGTCACCACCTCACCTGATCTGACATTCGGATGTGGTCACCACCTCACCTGATCTGACATTCAGATATGGTCACCACCTCACCTGATCTGACATTCGGATGTGGTCACCACCTCACCTGATCTGACATTCAGATATGGTCACCACCTCACCTGATCTGACATTCGGATGTGGTGACCACCTCACCTGATCTGACATTCGGAAGTGGTCACCACCTAACCATATCTGACATTCAGATGTGGTCACCACCTCACCTGATCTGACATTTGGATGTGGTCACCACCTCACCTGATCTGACATTTGGATGTGGTCACCACCTCACCTGATCGGACATTCAGATGTGGTCACCACCTCACCTGATCTGACATTCGGATGTGGTCACCACCTCACCTGATCTGACATTTGGATGTGGTCACCACCTCACCTGATCTGACATTCGGATGTGGTGACCACCTCACCTGATCTGACATTCGGATGTGGTCACCATCTCACCTGATCTGACATTCAGATATGGTCACCACCTCACCTGATCTGACATTTGGATATGGTCACCACCTCACCTGATCTGACATTCGGATGTGGTCACCACCTCACCTGATCTGACATTCGGATGTGGTCACCACCTCACCCTATCTGACATTCAGATATGGTCACCACCTCACCTGATCTGACATTCGGATGTGGTCACCACCTCACCTGATCTGACATTCAGATATGGTCACAACCTCACCCTCCCTGACATTCAGATATGGTCACCACCTCACCTGATCTGACATTCAGATATGGTCACCACCTCACCTGATCTGACATTCAGATATGGTCACCACCTCACCTGATCTGACATTTGGATGTGGTCAACACCTCACCTGATCTGACATTCAGATATGGTCACCACCTCTACCTACCTGACATTGCGATCTGGTTTTTAGTTGAGGCTATTCCCATCTGACATTATATCTATATCACTATCATAAGTACTTAAGAAATACATTGATAACAAAAGTACCAGTGAATTGTTCCTTGAAAACAACATAATTGTAATTAAGGTGTTGTATGTCCTGACTTCAGACAGTGATTACCTGAAATGCTTCCCTGAACTGTCTATTCTTGATCATCTCTACAGCTTTCTCAGTTTCTCCTGCGAAGTAGTCTCTCTGTTTCTCGTCTAACATACCAATATTGAACATGAAGTCTGCGTACTGATTCATCATCTATTAAGGGTAAAAACTTCCTTTCATGCTCGAGTTTTTTTTCATTTATAAAATGTATTCACTTATTCTTATACCTACATTCTGAATGATCATTTGATAACTTGTTTACCAAACAACTTATAACTAAATATAATATGCTGATTCTTAGAATTTTCAGTTAATTCTAACACTTATACAGTATATCTTCCAATCACTTAATTATAACACAGTAAAGGCTATTATATTGGTAGCTCTATATTTTATACATATATTCATATATATATTTTAATATATAGTTTCTGATATTTTAATGATGGAATAGATAAGGAAAGCAATGAAATGGAGAAAAAGCTCATATGACAAGTTTTGGTAAATCCCTTAAAATCTCAACCATAAACAAGAGGTCCATAGGGCCTGTATTGACGAAATTGCTTCATCAAAACTGAAAAGAAAGCATATGAAAGATTTCCATCTATTTCTCCTATTTGGCCCACCCCTCTACTCCATTGTTTATATGAAAATAAGTTCCACACACCCATGGAGGCTGCAGACCAAATTAGGGCAAAATCTTATCATTCCTACAGAATAACAAGCAATATTAACCAATTTGCTGTATTTCCCCGGTTGTCTTGTCTGCCCCTTCCATCTAAGGAGCCGAGACTCAAAGTTGACATAGAATTGATTCCATTTCACTCTAGAAGGCCAAATAAGGACAAATTTCAATAATTCTTGATACACATAAATAATTTATATGAATTTGCTATGTTTCCTTTTTTGTGTGAAGGCCCTCCTGCTGCCCCGGGGACAAAGACCCACAGTTTATACAAAATTGATTTTCTGTTACTCAAGGATGCTTCAGACCAAATGGGACAAAATCTTGACATTCCTACAGAGGAAGAAGGAATTCAAAGAATTTGCTCATTTCTCATATTAGGCACCACCCCTCCAATCCCAGATGGATGAGACCCAACATTTATTTAAAACTGATTCCCCTTTTACCAAAGCATGCTTCTGACCAAATTTAGGCAAATCAATTCACTGCTTTAGGAGGAGTAGCACTTCAAATGATTTGTTCTGTTTCAACGATAGGGCCCTGCCTCTCCTATCCCAAGGCCCTGAGATCCAAATTCCAAATTAATTCCACTTAACCAAATTTTGAAAAAATCCAATCATTCCTACAAGAGTAGAGTTTAATGCACTTGCAAAATTTCCCCTTTCAGGCCCTGTCTCTCAGGTCATTGGGGCCCTTCAGACCAGGAGAGCTAAAAAGCTATGTGTGTTTATATACACTGTCTCACAAAGCTAGGTGTAATTACACATACAACTTATCATGTTGTCACACACAGAAAGATAGGAATGATTACACAAACATCTTAACATGTTGTCACACACAGAAAGATAGGAATGATTACACAAACATCTTAAACTGTGTTGTCACACACAGAAAGATAGGTGTGATTACACAAACATCTTAACATGTTGTCACACACAGAAAGATAGGTGTGATTACACAAACATCTTAACATGTGTTGTCACACAATGAAAGATAGGTGTGATTACACAAACATCTTAACATGTTGTCACACACAGATAGATAGGTGTGATTACACAAACATCTTAACATGTTGTCACACACAGAAAGATAGGTGTGATTACACAAACATCTTACATGTTGTCACACACAGATAGATAGGTGTGATAACACAAACATCTTAACATGTTGTCACACACAGAAAGATAGGTGTGATTACACAAACATCTTAACATGTTGTCACACACAGAAAGATAGGTGTGATTACACAAACATCTTAACATGTGTTGTCACACACAGAAAGATAGGTGTGATTACACAAACATCTTAACATGTGTTGTCACACACAGAAAGATAGGTGTGATTACACAAACATCTTAACATGTGTTGTCACACACAGAAAGATAGGTGTGATTACACAAACATCTTAACATGTTGTCACACACAGAAAGATAGGTGTGATTACACAAACATCTTAACATGTGTTGTCACACACAGAAAGATAGGTGTGATAACACAAACATCTTAACATGTGTTGTCACACACAGAAAGATAGGTGTGATTACACAAACATCTTAACATGTGTTGTCACACACAGAAAGATAGGTGTGATTACACAAACATCTTAACATGTTGTCACACACAGAAAGCTAGGTGTGATTACACAAACATCTTAACATGTGTTGTCACACACAGAAAGATAGGTGTGATTACACAAACATCTTAACATGTTGTCACACACAGAAAGCTAGGTGTGATTACACAAACATCTTAACATGTGTTGTCACATACAGAAAGATAGGTGTGATTACACAAACATCTTAACGTGTGTTGTCACACACAAAAAAATGAGTGTGATTACACAAACACCTTACATGTTGTAACACACAGATAGATAGGTGTGATTACACAAACATCTTAACATGTGTTGTCACACACAGAAAGATAGGTGTGATTACACAAACATCTTAACATGTGTTGTCACACAATGAAAGATAGGTGTGATTACACAAACATCTTAACATGTTGTCACACACAGATAGATAGGTGTGATTACACAAACATCTTAACATGTTGTCACACACAGAAAGATAGGTGTGATTACACAAACATCTTACATGTTGTCACACACAGAAAGATAGGTGTGATTACACAAACATCTTAACATGTTGTCACACACAGAAAGATAGGTGTGGTTACACAAACATCTTAACATGTGTTGTCACACACAGAAAGATAGGTGTGATAACACAAACATCTTAACATGTTGTCACACACAGGAAGATAGGTGTGATTACACAAACATCTTAACCTGTGTTGTCACACACAGAAAGATAGGTGTGATTACACAAACATCTTAACATGTGTTGTCACACACAGAAAGATAGGTGTGATTACACAAACATCTTAACATGTGTTGTCACACACAGAAAGATAGGTGTGATTACACAAACATCTTAACATGTGTTGTCACACACAGAAAGATAGGTGTGATTATACAAACATCTTAACGTGTGTTGTCACACACAAAAAAATGAGTGTGATTACACAAACACCTTACATGTTGTAACACACAGATAGATAGGTGTGATTACACAAACATCTTAACATGTGTTGTCACACACAGAAAGATAGGTGTGATTACACAAACATCTTAACATGTTGTCACACACAGATAGATAGGTGTGATTACACAAACATCTTAACATGTTGTCACACACAGAAAGATAGGTGTGACTACACAAACATCTTACATGTTGTCACACACAGATAGATAGGTGTGATAACACAAACATCTTAACATGTTGTCACACACAGAAAGATAGGTGTGATTACACAAACATCTTAACATGTTGTCACACACAGAAGTGTGATTACACAAACATGTTAACATGTGTTGTCACACACAGAAAGATAGGTGTGATTACACAAACATCTTAACATGTTGTCACACACAGAAAGCTAGGTGTGATTACACAAACATCTTAACATGTGTTGTCACATACAGAAAGATAGGTGTGATTACACAAACAACTTAACATGTTGTCAAACACAAAAAGATAGGTGTGATTACACAAACATCTTAACATGTGTTGTCACACACAAAAAAATAAGTGTGATTACACAAACACCTTACATGTTGTAACACACAGATAGATAGGTGTGATTACACAAACATCTTAACATGTTGTCACACACAGAAAGATAGGTGTAATTACACAAACATCTTACATGTTGTCACACACAGATAGATAGGTGTGATTACACAAACATCTTAACATGTTGTTACACACAGAAAGATAGGTGTGACTACACAAACATCTTAACATGTGTTGTCACACACAGAAAGATAGGTGTGATTACACATACATCTTAACATGAGTTGTCACACAGAAAGATAGGTGTGATTACACAAACATCTTTACCTGTGTTGTCACACACAGATAGATAGGTGTGATTACACAAACATCTTAAAATGTGTTATCACACACAAAAAAATAGGTGTGATTACACAAACATCTTAAACTGTGTTGTCACACACAGAAAGATAGGTGTGATTACACAAACATCTTAACATGTTGTCACACACAGAAAGATAGGTGTAATTACACAAACATCTTACATGTTGTCACACACAAAAAAATAGGTGTGATTACACAAACACCTTACATGTTGTCACACACAGATAGATAGGTGTGATTACACAAACATCTTAACATGTGTTGTCACACACAGAAAGATAGGTGTGATTACACAAACATCTTAACATGTGTTGTCACACACAGAAAGATAGGTGTGATTACACAAACATCTTAACATGTTGTCACACACAGAAAGATAGGTGTGATTACACAAACATCTTAACATGTGTTGTCACACACAGAAAGATAGGTGTGATTACACAAACATCTTACATGTTGTCACACACAGAAAGATAGGTGTGATTACACAAACATCTTAACATGTTGTCACACTCAGAAAGATAGGTGTAATTACACAAACATCTTACATGTTGTCACACACAGATAGATTGGTGTGATTACACAAACATCTTAACATGTTGTCACACACAGAAAGATAGGTGTGATTACACAAACATCTTAACATGTTGCCACACACAGAAAGATAGGTGTGATTACACATACATCTTACATGTTGTCACACACAGATAGATAGGTGAGGTTACACAAACATCTTACATGTTGTCACACACAGATAAATAGGTGTGATTACATAAACATCTTACATGTTGTCACACACAGAAAGATAGGTGTGATTACACATACATCTTAGATGTTGTCACACACAGATAGATAGGTGAGGTTACACAAACATCTTACATGTTGTCACACACAGATAGATAGGTGTGATTACACAAACATCTTAACATGTGTTGTCACACACAGAAAGATAGGTGTGATTACACAAACAACTTAACATGTTGTCACACACAGAAAGATAGGTGTGATTATACAAACACCTTAACATGTTATCACACACAGAAAAATAGGTGTGATTACACAAACATCTTAACATGTGTTGTCACACACAGAAAGATAGGTGTGATTACACAAACATCTTACATGTTGTCACACACAGAAAGATAGGTGTGATTACACAAACATCTTAACATGTTGTCACCCACAGAAAGATAGGTGTAATTACACAAACATCTTAACATGTTGTCACACACAGAAAGATAGGTGTGATTACACATACATCTTACATGTTGTCACACACAGATAGATAGGTGAGGTTACACAAACATCTTACATGTTGTCAAACACAGATAGATAGGTGTGATTACACAAACATCTTACATGTTGTCACACACAGATAGATAGGTGTGATAACACAAACATCTTAACATGTTGTCACACACAGAAAGATAGGTGTGATTACACAAACACCTTAACATGTTGTCACACACAGATAGATAGGTGTGATTACACAAACATCTTAACATGTTGTCACACACAGAAAGATAGGTGTGAAGAGAAAGTTACAATTGAAGATCATGAGAAATTTACCGATTCTGGATCACATAAACCATCACCAATAGCCATTCCCTTAAAGTTGATCCGGAGGTTTGCTGTAGGGTTTGATATGTGTATTTTATAGGAAATAGCAGGAACATATTTACCAGCATAAGACTGTAAACAAACAAAAAACAATTAATAGTCAATTTTTTATCTACATTCAAAGTACAAAGTCGACTACCAGGAAAAATCACAATAGCTTGGTGGTCTACATGAAAATGTAGACACCATCAACAATAAGTAGTTATATAGTAAGGCATTATTGATTCTATTGGAAAAATACCTCTCCTGTAGCATAAAAGTCATTCTTCTGATACTGATAGTAAACCTTGAAAAACTGCAGCAGAAAACTGGAACAAACAAAAATTCAATGCCTCACTTATTGGCCACTGGAAATTACTTTAACCGTACATAAAAAAAAACGTATTAGACATGGTCTATTTCATACATCAGAGAACTGATAACACGACCAGTTTTATACATCAGAGAAATGATAACATGACCTATTTTATACATCAGAGGAATGATAACATGACCTATTTTATACATCAGAGGAATGATAACATGACCTATTTCATACATCAGAGAACTGATAACACGACCTGTTTCATACATCAGAAAAATGATAACACGACCTGTTTCATACATCAGAGAAATGATAACATGACCTGTTTCATACATCAGAGAAATGATAACACGACCTGTTTCATACATCAGAGAAATGATAACACGACCTGTTTCATACATCAGAGAAATGATAACACGACCTGTTTCATACATCAGAGAAATGATAACACGACCTGTTTCATACATCAGAGAAATGATAACATGACCTATTTTATACATCAGAGAAATGATAACATGACCTGTTTCATACATCAGAGAAATGATAACACGACCTATTTCATACATCAGAGAAATGATAACATGACCTGTTTCATACATCAGAGAAATGATAACATGACCTATTTTATACATCAGAGAAATGATAACACGACCTGTTTTATACATCAGAGAAATGATAACACAACCTATTTCATACATCAGAGAAATGATAACATGACCTATTTCATACATCAGAAAAAATTATAACACAACCTGTTTCATACATCAGAGAAATGATAACATGACCTGTTTTATACATCAAAGAAATGATAACATGACCTGTTTTATACATCAGAGAAATGATAACATGACCTGTTTGATACATCAGAAAATGATAACATGACCTTTTTTAAACATCAGAGAAATGATAACATGACCTATTTTATACATCAGAGAAATGATAACATGACCTATTCTATACATCAGAGAAATGACAACATGACCTATTCTATACATCAGAGAAATGATAACACGACCTGTTTCATACATCAGAGAAATGATAACACGACCTGTTTCATACATCAGAGAAATGATAACATGACCTATTTTATACATCAGAGAAATGATAACATGACCTGTTTTATACATCAGAGAAATGATAACACGACCTATTTCATACATCAGAGAAATGATAACATGACCTGTTTGATACATCAGAGAAATAACATGACCTATTTTATACATCAGAGAAATGATAACACGACCTGTTTTATACATCAGAGAAATGATAACACAACCTATTTCATACATCAGAGAAATGATAACATGACCTATTTCATACATCAGAAAAAATTATAACACAACCTGTTTCATACATCAGAGAAATGATAACATGACCTGTTTTATACATCAAAGAAATGATAACATGACCTGTTTTATACATCAGAGAAATGATAACATGACCTGTTTGATACATCAGAAAATGATAACATGACCTTTTTTATACATCAGAGAAATGATAACATGACCTATTTTATACATCAGAGAAATGATAACATGACCTATTCTATACATCAGAGAAATGATAACATGACCTATTTTATACATCAGAGAAATGATAACATGACCTATTTTATACATCATAAAAAATGATAACATGACCTATTTTATACATCAGAGAAATGATAACACAACCTGTTTTATACATCAGAAAAAATGATAACACAACCTGTTTTATACATCAGAGAAATGATAACACGACCTATTTCATACATCAGAGAAATGATAACATGACCTATTTCATTCATCAGAAAAAATGATAACACCACCTGTTTCATACATCAGAGAAATGATAACATGACCTGTTTTATACATCAGAGAAATGATAACACGACCTGTTTTATACATCAGAAAATGATAACATGACCTTTTTTATACATCAGAGAAATGATAACATGACCTATTTTATACATCAGAGAAATGATAACATGACCTATTTTATGTATCATGATATAAACAAGTTACCTGTACAAGTCGGTAGCAACATCCCATTCATTTTTGGCGTAACCAGCATCTGAGCTCGTAAAACTAAAACCTGTTCCTACTGGATTGTCCACATACAACATGGAGTACTTCTTGTTCCAAGTTATGTTCCTCTCCATCACTGGAATATGAAATACAACAACTTAACAGAAAAATTAACACAAACCTACACTGACCTGGCGATGTTAGTAGGTCAAGGATGCTCTGCCTACCAAGCATATTAATATCAACCAATTCACAGAAGTTATTAAATGTGCCCTTTGACCTTTTCACCTTGACCTAAGTATGATTAGGACTAGGATGTTATTATATCATTGGGCAAGTATCACACAAATATTTTGAGAGGTTCTGTACATGTTTATGATTTGAACCAAGACTTGAAATGACATGATGAGAAGGACAAACATAGGTGACATTTTAGCCCCTCCCTCCTATACCTTAAAATGACAAAGCATATAAAGAAACAGAATGAACAACACCATATGACTGTAGTGTCCTAAATTCAAATGTAATGTTATTCTTTAAGGACAATATACTGGTGTGTGATACTGTATAAAACAAGTGTATCCATTTGGTTCTATTTATCAATTCCACACTGAAGGAATTCTGAATTATTCGTTTGCCTCTATTTATCAATTCCACACTGAAAGAATTCTGAATTATTTGTTTGCCTCTATTTATCAATTCCACACTGAAGGAATTCTGAATTACAAACTTACATTTGAGGTTTTGGTTGACCATGAGGGGTCCATTTTCCACAAACAGGCCGAAAAGGGATGAGCCACCTGGTCCTCCTTGTAACCACATCACCACAGGGGCATTTAAGGGGTCCTCCTAAATAAAAACAAGAGATCCCAGAGGGATCTTGGTGCCCACCATTGTTTTATCTTTATATGCTCTTTGAAAGTTGGATCTTTTCCCTTCTTTTCTCTGTTTTTGGTCTTAATGATAAGACATTTGAACATGCCTTTGCGGAAATAAATCATTATCGTTACCTGCCAAATCTAAAATGGCCACCTAGAAGCCATTTTGTTTCTTCTGATTAGTCCAAAAAGCAAATGAGCACAATGAGAAACCAAAGGGAACATATGTATGAAATTTAAAAGATATTCATTCAGCTCTTCTTCAGAAATAGTAATAACAATCTTTACTAGGCAAAATTTAAGATGGACGTTTGTCGGCCATTTTGTATTTCTGATCAGACCAAAAATCAGACTGGCACAGCTAGAGACCAAGGGGAACCTACATATGAAATTTAAGAAGGATTCATGAAGTACTTTACACAAGAAATAGTGATAACAAACTTTCAAAGTCAAAATCAAAGACAGCCGCCTTTCCACCATTTTGTTTTTCTGATCAGTCCCAAAATTAGATGGGCACAACAAGAGACCAGGGGTAACCTACATATGAAATTTGATAGAGATCCATAACTTTCTTTTCAAGAAATAGCAATAACAAACATCATTGAAAAAATCCAAGATGGCTTTCTGTCAGCCATTTTTGTTTTTTTTATCAGTCTAGGGACCAAGGGGATCCTACATATGTAATTTGAGAAAGATCCATGTGGGACTTCTCAAGAAATAGCTATAACAAAAATTGTTTATGGACAGACAGATGACACACAGATGGACAATGGACAAAGGACACAGAGCAATTTGAATAGCCCACGAACTGATGATGGTAGGCTAATAAAACAAAGGGGCATACAGGGGAGCATCCTACATAAAGCAAAATAAAGTACATTATTTATAATCTAAGGGCTATACATAGGGGGGGGTTGTCCTATATCACACAAAATACATTATTTATAATATAAGGGCTATACATAGGGGAGGGGGGTTGTCCTATATAACACAAAGTACATTATTTATAATCTAAGGGCTATACAGGGGGGGGGTTGTCCTATATAACACAAAATACATTATTTATAATCTAAGGGCTATACATGGGGGGGGGGTGTCCTATATAACACAAAGTACATTATTTATAATCTAAGGGCTATACAGGGGGGGGGGTTGTCCTATATAACACAAAGTACATTATTTATAATCTAAAGGCTATACATTGGGGGGGGGGATTGTCCTATATAACACAAAATACATTATTTATAATCTAAGGGCTATACAGGGGGGGTTGTCCTATATAACACAAAATACATTATTTATAATCTAAAGGCTATACATGGGGGGATTGTCCTATATAACACAAAGTACATTATTTATAATCTAAAGGCTATACAAGGGGGTGGGGGGTTGTCCTATATAACACAAAGTACATTATTTATAATATAAGGGCTATACATAGGGGAGGGGGGGTTGTCCTATATAACACAAAGTACATTATTTATAATCTAAGGGCTATACAGGGGGGGGGTTGGGGTTGTCCTATATAACACAAAGTACATTATTTATAATCTAAAGGCTATACATGGGGGGGGGGGATTGTCCTATATAACACAAAATACATTATTTATAATCTAAGGGCTATACAGAGGGGGGGAGTTGTCCTATATAACACAAAATACATTATTTATAATCTAAGGGCTATACAGGGGGGTGGGGGGTTGTCCTATATAACACAAAGTACATTATTTATAATCTAAGGGCTATACAGGGGGGGGGGGGGGTTGTCCTATATAACACAAAGTACATTATTTATAATCTAAGGGCTATACATAGGGGGGTTGTCCTATATAACACAAAGTACATTATTTATCATCAATGGGGGCATTCAAGGATTCCTCAAAATGGGGTGTTTAGTTTGTCATCCATCTAACACAGAATACATTATCTTTTATCCATGCATTCAGGGGGCCATCCTATAACTTACTTACCTGTACATGTGACAGTTTTTTAACAGTTTTCTGACTTACCTGTAGAGGTGACAGTTTGCTGACTTACCTGTAGGGGTGACAATTTGCTGACTTACCTGTAGAGGTGACAATTTGCTGACTTACCTGTAGAGGTGACCGTTTGCTGACTTACCTGTAGAGGTGACAGTTTGCTGACTTACCTGTAGAGGTGACAGTTTGCTTACTTACCTGTAGAGGTGACAGTTTGCTGACTTACCTGTAGAGGTGACAATTTGCTGACTTACCTGTAGAGGTGACAATTTGCTGACTTACCTGTAGAGGTGACAATTTGCTGACTTACCTGTAGAGGTGACAATTTGCTGTCTTACCTGTAGAGGTGTACAAGTGATATTATTTTTAAATACCTGTTAATGTTGTTTTTACTTACCTGGGCAGGGAAGAACCAGAAGAATATGTTGCTGGTTGTTGTTCTATTCACAGTGATAAATCCAGAATAGCTTTTCAGATTGGTGCCTTCAAGTGGTCCAACGATGCTTAAATTCTGGGCTGTATCACATAATCAAATAGATATATTTAAGTACTTTCAGAGGACCAACAAGGCTTAGCTTATGGGCTGTATCACACAACCAAATAGATATATTTAAGTACTTTCAGAAGACCAACAAGGCTTAGCTTCTGGGCTGTATCACACAACCAAATAGACATGTATATGTACCTCAGTGGAGCTTGCCTACTATCACCCTTCCTTTACAAAGAGTTAAATTAGTCCACCAGGATAAGTATTTAAAGCTTTCAACATGGTAATGCCCTAAATTTTCCTGTTGTCTGATGGAAAACTATGTAAAAGTATGATACCTTAATCTTGATACCTTATATTCACAACTTGCCTGTAATAATCCCACCTTTATTTTGAATCTGAGGTAATCTGTTGGCCCCTGTGATCATGTATTTAGTCCATTTTTACTTGCTGTAAAGCGATTCTCTGTGGTTCCCTAGTGTCCTGTAATAAGTCAACATTTACTTTGACTCAGAGGTAATCTGTTGACCCCTTGGGGTCCTGTAATTAGTCAACATTCACTTTGACTCAGAGGTAATCTGATGACCCCTTGGGGTCCTGCAATTAATCAACATTCACTTTGACTCAGAGGTAATCTGTTGACCCCTTGGGGTCCTGCAATTAGTCAACATTCACTTTGACACAGAGGTAATCTGATGACCCCTTGGGGTCCTGCAATTAATCAACATTCACTTTGACTCAGAGGTAATCTGTTGACCCCTTGGGGTCCTGTAATTAGTCAACATTCACTTTGACTCAGAGGTAATCTGTTGACCCCTTGGGGTCCTGTAATTAGTCAACATTCACTTTGACTCAGAGGTAATCTGTTGACCCCTTGGGGTCCTGTAATTAGTCAACATTCACTTTGACTCAGAGGTAATCTGTTGACCCCTTGGGTCCTGTAATTAGTCAACATTCACTTTCAGAGGTAATTAGTCAACATTCACTTTGACTCAGAGGTAATCTGTTGACCCCTTGAAGTCCTGTAATTAGTCAACATTCACTTTGACTCAAAGGTAATCTGTTAACCCCTTGGGGTCCTGCAATTAGTCAACATTCACTTTGACTCAGAGGTAATCTGCTGACCCCTAGGGGACCTTTAATTAGTCAACATTCACTTTGACTCAGAGGTAATCTGTTGACCCCTTGGGGTCCTGAAAAGAGTTGACATTCATTTTGACTCACAGGTAATCTGTTGACCCCTTTGGGTTCTGTAATTAGTCAACATTCATTTTGACTCAGAGGAAATCTGTTGACCTCTTTGGGTCCTGTAAATAGTCAACATTCACTTTGACACAGAGGTAATCTGTTGACCCCTAGGGGACCTTTAATTAGTCAACATTCACTTTGACTCAGAGGTAATCTGCTGACCCCTTGGGGTCCTGCAATTAGTCAACATTCACTTTGACTCAGAGGTAATCTGTTGACCCCTTGGGGTCCTGAAAAGAGTTGACATTCATTTTGACTCACAGGTAATCTGTTGACCCCTTTGGGTTCTGTAATTAGTCAACATTCACTTTGACTCAGAGGTAATCTGTTGACCCCTTGGGGTCCTGTAATTAATCAACATTCACTTTGACTCAGAGGTAATCTGTTGACTTCCTTGACATATTGTACATTAGGATCAAAAGTTAGCCTAAGTTATACTTGTTGGCATATAGAGAAAGGACTATACCAGGCCAGTTGTATTTATAGAGAGAGGACTATACCAGGCCAGTTGTATATATAGAGGACTATACCAGACCAGTTGTATATATAGAGAGAGGACTATACCAGGCCAGTTGTATATAGAGAGAGGACTATACCAGGCCAGTTGTATATATAGAGAGAGGACTATACCAGGCCAGTTGTACATAGAGAGAGGACTATACCAGGCCAGTTGTATATATAGAGGACTATACCAGACCAGTTGTATATATAGAGGACTATACCAGACCATTTGTATATATAGAGGACTATACCAGACCAGTTGTATATATAGAGAGGATGATACCAGGCCATTTGTTTATATAGAGAGAGGACTATATCAGGTGAAGCCCAGTTGTCTATATAAAGAGGACTATACCAGGCCAGTTATATATAGAGAGAGGACTATACAGGCCAGTTGTATATATAGAGGACTATACCAGGCCAGTTGTATATATAGACAGGATTATACCAGGCCAGTTGTATATATAAAGAGGACTATACCAGGCCAATTGTATATAGAGAGAAGACTATACCAGGTAAAGCCCAGTTGTATATATAGAAAGAGGACTATACCAGCACAGTTGTATATAGAGAGAGGACTATACCAGGTGGAGCCCAGTTGTATATAGAGAGAGGACTATACCAGGTGGAACCCAATTGTAAATAGAGAGAGGAGTATACCAGGTGGAGCCCAGTTGTACATAGAGAGAGGACTATAGCAGATGAAGCCCAGTTGTATATATAGAGAGAGGACTATACAAGGTGGAACCAACTTGTATATAAGAGAGAGGACTATACCATGCCAGTTGTATAAAGAGAGAAGAATATAGCAGGTGAAGCCCAGTTGTATAGAGAGAGAGGACTATACCAGGCTAGTTGTATATATAGAGAGGACTATACCAGGTGCAGCTCAGTTGTATATATAGAGAGAGGACTATACCAGGGCAGTTGTATATAGAGAGAAGACTATACCAGGTGAAGCCCAGTTGTATATATAGAAAGAGGACTTTACCAGCACAGTTGTATATAGAGAGAGGACTATACCAGGTGGAGCCCAGTTGTACATAGAGAGAGGACTATACCAGGTGAAGCCCAGTTGTATATAAGAGAGAGGACTATAGCAGGCCAGTTGTATATAGAGAGAAGACTCTACCAGGTGAAGCCCAGTTGTATATTGAGAGAGGACTATACCAGGTGAAGCCCAGGTGTATATATAGAAAGAGGACTATACCAGCACAGTTGTATATAGAGAGAGGACTATACCAGGTGGAGCCAAGTTGTATATAAGAGAGAGGACTATAGCAGGCCAGTTGTATATAGAGAGAAGACTATACCAGGTGAAGCCCAGTTGTATATTGAGAGAGGACTATACCAGGTGAAGCCCAGGTGTATATATAGAAAGAGGACTATACCAGCACAGTTGTATATAGAGAGAGGACTATACCAGGTGGAGCCCAGTTGTATATATAGAAAGAGGACTATACCAGCACAGTTGTATATAGAGAGAGGACTATACCAGGTGGAGCCCAGTTGTATATAGAGCGAGAATTATATCAGGTGGAGCCCAGTTGTACATAGAGAGAGGACTATACCAGGTGAAGCCCAGTTGTATATATAGAGAGAGGAATATACAAGGTGGAACCAAGTTGTATATAAGAGAGAGGACTATACCATGCCAGTTGTATATCGAGAGAAGACTATACCAAGTGAAGCCCAGTTGTATAGAGAGAGAGGACAATTCAGGCTAGTTGTATATATAGAGAGGACTATACCAGGTGCAGCTCAGTTGTATATATAGAGAGAGGACTATACAAGACCAGTTGTATATAGAGAGAGGACTATACCAGCCAAGTTGTTGTATATAGAGAGTGGACTATACCAGCCTAGTTATATATAAAGAGAGAGGACTATACCAGGCCAGTTATATAGAGAGAGAGGACTATACCAGGCCAGTTGTATATAGAGAGAGGACTATACCAGTTGGAGCCCAGTTGTATATATACAGAAAGGACTATACAAGCCTTGCGGTATAAAGAGAGAGGACTATGCCAGGTGAAGCCCAGTTGTACATAGAGAGAGGACTATACCAGGCCAGTTGTATATATGGAGAGAGGACTATACCAGGTGGAGCCCAGTTATATATAGAGAGAAAACTATACCAGGACAGTTGTATATATGGAGAGAGGACTATACCAGGTGGAGCCCAGTTGTATATAGAGAGAAAACTATACCAGGTGCATCACAGTTGTATATAGAGAGAGGACTATACCAGGTGAAGCCCAGTTGTATATAAAGAGAGGATTATACCAGGTGGAGCCCAGTTGTACATAGAGAGAGAGGACTATACCAGGTGGAGCCCAGTTGTATATAGAGAGAGGACTATACCAGGTGGAGCCCAGTTGTATATAGAGTGGATTATAGCAGCCATGTTGTATATAGAGAGAGGACTATACCAGGTGGAACCCAGTTGTATATAGAGAGAGGATTATACCAGGTGCATCACAGTTGTATATAGAGAGAGGACTATACCAGGTGAAGCCCAGTTGTATATATAGAAAGAGGACTATACCAGCACAGTTGTATATAGAGAGAGGCAGGTGAAGCCCATGTATATATAGAGAGAGGTAGGTGGAACCAAGAGAGAGAGGACTATACCATGCTAGTTGTATATAGAGAGAAGACAATTCAGGCTAGTTGTATATATAGAGAGGACTATACCAGGTGCAGTTCAGTTGTATATATAGAGAGAGGACTATACAAGACCAGTTGTATATAGAGAGAGGACTATACCAGCCAAGTTGTTGTATATAGAGAGTGGACTATACCAGCCCAGTTATATATATAGAGAGAGGACTATACCAGGCCGTTGTATATAGAGAGAGGACTACACCAGGCCAGTTGTATATAGAGAGAGGACTATACCAGGTTAAGCCCAGTTGTATATATAGAGAGAGGACTATACCAGGCCAGTTGTCTATAGAGATAGGACTATACCAGGTAGAGCCCAGTTGTATATAGAGAGAGGATTATACCAGGTGGAGCCCAGTTGTATATAGAGAGAGGATTATATCAGGTGAAGCCCAGGTGTATATACAGAGAGAGGACTATACCAGGTGGAGCCCAGTTGTATATAGAGAGAGGATTATATCAGGTGAAGCCCAGGTGTATATACAGAGAGAGGACTATACCAGGTGGAGCCCAGTTGTATATAGAGAGGATTATACCAGTTGGAGCCCAGTTGTATATAGAGAGAGGATTATATCAGGCGAAGCCCAGTTGTATATATAGAGAGAGGACTATACCAGTTGCAGTCCAGTTGTAAATAGAGAGAGGACCATCTGGAGTTCTATTTATAGATTAACCATTGAAATCTTGATTTTGGATAGACACATACCTTTATACCTATAAATACAACTCTATTAATTACCTCCTCTTGTTTATCTAACTGTCTCTTAGTTATGTTTTAGTGCAGCATTTCCACTCAGAACTAAAATACAATTACATTAGTGAGTTTTTACCAATAACATGACATGTGCTTAGGGGAAGAGCTGAACATGCCTATATTTTGCACACAGCACTTTCTCTTATTCCCACTGCATTTCCAACAAAGGGACACATGTAAGTATATACATGTAGCATACAAATATTTCCTGTTAGCTCTGTTGTTTTTATCATTGTGATAATCTGTTAAAGAATTACTTTCTGCAATAATTATTATTGATGTACAAAGTTTCTGGTTGCCTCGATGAGGCATAGTTCCCTTGGCTTCACCTAGAGAAACAGGTTTGATCTAGGGGTAACCAGAATCTTGCTACCTATCTATTCCTTATGCCTATACTTACTGCTAACTGTATACTGTATTCATACCTTTGTTTGCTTCACCACGTTCCAAATAAGGAGAGAGAAAAAGTGGTTGCCCAGGGTCAACCCCATTTCTTTTCATGGGAGGGTAACTTTTAGGAAACATGCCTCGAAGTCCTGACTGGTAAGATACACTGACCAGGCTGACCAGTAAGATCACAAGTGATGACCGCAACATTAGAACCATGGCTAATATCTCTGGAATTAGGAATAATAAATTCAAGTTTTGTGTGACCATAACAAAAACCTTCACATTCATCACATCCTTCACTTGAAAATATTCTCCTAAATAATCACCTGGTAACAAATGAAATCGCATGATAAACAATCAAATGAAGCCATTTACAATCAGGCAATTAACATCCATATTCAGAGGCTTCCTTATAACAAGTTATAAGCCAAGTTGTTATCTATACAGCATCAACTCGAGTATAGAAAATAAAAAATCTGAGTATAAAGATACATTGTAACCTGTGACAACGGGTAAACACATTGTAACCTGTGACCACTGGTAGACATATTGTAACCTGTGACAACAGGTAGACACATGATAACCTGTGACAACAGGTAGATACATTGTAACCTGTAACATGAAAACGGGTAGAAACATTGTAGCCTGTGACAATCGGTAGAAACATTGTAACCTGTGAAAATCTATAGACACATTGTAATCAGTAACATGAAAACCGGTAGAAACATTGTAACCTGTGACAATCGGTAGAAACATTGTAACCTGTGACAATCGGTAGAAACATTGTAACCTGTGACAATCGGTAGAAACATTGTAACCTGTGACATGGCAACGGTAGAAACATTGTAACCTGTGACAATCGGTAGAAACATTGTAACCTGTGACAATAGGTAGAAACATTGTAACCTGTGACAATCAGTAGACACATTGTAACCTGTGACATGGCAACGGTAGAAACATTGTAACCTGTGACAATCAGTAGACACATTGTAACCTGTGACATGACAACGGTAGAAACATTGTAACCTGTGACAATCAGTAGACACATTGTAACCTGTGACAATCGGTAGACACATTGTAACCTGTGACATGGCAACGGTAGAAACATTGTAACCGGTGACAATCGGTAGACACATTGTAACCTGTGACATGACAACGGTAGAAACATTGTAACCTGTGACAATCTGTAGAAACATTGTAACCTGTGACATGACAACGGTAGAAACATTGTAACCTGTGACATGACAACGGCAGAAACATTGTAACCTGTGACAATCAGTAGACACATTTGTAACCTGTGACATGACAACGGTAGAAACATTGTAACCTGTGACAATCGGTAGAAACATTGTAACCTGTGACAATCGGTAGACACCTTGTAACCTGTGACAATCAGTAGAAACATTGTAGCATGTGACACGACAACAGGTAGAAACATTGTAACCTGTGACAATCGGTAGACACCTTGTAACCTGTGACATGGCAACAGTAGAAACATTGTAGCATGTGATAATCGGTAGACACATTGTAACCTGTGACATGACAATGGTAGAAACATTGTAACCTGTGAAAATCGGTAGACACATTGTAACCTGTGACAATCGGTAGACACATTGTAACCTGTGACATGACAACGGTAGAAACATTGTAACCTGTGACAATCGGTAGAAACATTGTAACCTGTGACATGACAACGATAGAAACATTGTAACCTGTGACAATCGGTAGAAACATTGTAACCTGTGACATGACAACGATAGAAACATTGTAACCTGTGACAATGGGTAGACACATTGTAACCTGTGACATGACAACGGTAGAAACATTGTAACCTGTGACAATCGGTAGAAACATTGTAACCTGTGACATGACAACGATAGAAACATTGTAACCTGTGACAATCGGTAGAAACATTGTAACCTGTGACATGACAACGATAGAAACATTGTAACCTGTGACAATCGGTAGACACATTGTAACCTGTGACATGACAACGGTAGAAACATTGTAACCTGTGACAATCGGTAGAAACATTGTAACCTGTGACATGACAACGATAGAAACATTGTAACCTGTGACAATCGGTAGACACATTGTAACCTGTGACATGACAATGGTAGAAACATTGTAACCTGTGACAATCGGTAGAAACATTGTAACCTGTGACACGACAACAATAGAAACATTGTAACCTGTGACAATCGGTAGACACATTGTAAACTGTGACATGACAACGGTAGAAACATTGTAACCTGTGACAATCGGTAGAAACATTGTAACCTGTGACAATCGGTAGACACATTGTAACCTGTGACAATCGGTAGACACATTGTAACCTGTGACAATCCGTAAGATATTCTAATTTATCGATTGAACTGTTGAGTTTACCAATCTGTAGAGTAATATCTATTTCTTAATTTGATTTAAATTCTCGTTTACCTTAAGCTTAAAAATACTTTATAATAACACGGACTTCCGATACATATCTTCGTATGTGTAAAGTCCAAGATTGAGCAACTGAATTCGGACTACCGAATTAGTAGCAGTCTATATGTGACGTGCGGAAATTGTAAAGGTTACATACTGATATGACAATAGCCAATTTATCACTTAGCACATACAGAGTCAAGCAATATCAAACCTTTTAAAGCAAACCTTTCAGAGAGTCTAATAGTAGGCCGGATGACGAGCTCAGTGTAATCACATGACTTACATGTGACCGATCGTATGTCTAACTACAGCTGACGTGACTTCTATATCTCCCGGCAGTGCCCGGTACACATGAGACCTAAATAAATGAATTCGAGTTAACACCCTTTATCAACTGATAATGATTAGTGCAGGTAAAAAGAAATGAAAGTTTTCCGTGAAAATTGTTTCAAATCAGTTAAAGTTTTTGTTTGCTTACACTCGGTTTTGCTAATATTTAGATAATTCGTATATACACCAAGATGAAACAAACGATCCTGAGTTCACTCAGATATACACCATGAAAGAAAGATAGATATTGAGTAATATCATGTTGGTGTATAATTAGTCTCCTTCAAATACTTTATAAAAGTGTTATACTGGATGGTAGTTTGTCGAAGATTTTCCTTATCAATGAAAGTGCGTGTATTTTGTTCAATAGCTAGAATTTCAAACGCTATTGTATCTTTGTCATGAATAGGAGATAGACATTCTAGATCCGAAACGGATTCATGATCGTAATTACCAGGTAATATAAACAACTTGAGACATAAAGGAGGTTTTACTCTTAAATTTGATTGGACTGTACATAAGAAATGAATGGATTAGGTCGTAAATCCCGTGTACGTTGTCCTTTTCATTTGGAGGGAAAAGAACTATTTTCAATGTAACACAAAACGTATTAAACCCTCTAATTTTGAAACTACATTACATATACAGTCATAGCATACATCAGAACAGTTGGTGGCGCCACTTGTGTGCTATTGACAACGCGAAGACAATACAACCGGTATAAGTAATGACATGATCGTATATATTTGCGTAATCGTACGCGTGCAAATATTGAATATATATATATATGCAACGTAAGAATAAATGTGTGACAGGAGCGGGAAAATGAGCGGCCAAACCGGGGTTCGAACCCGGGACTTTCCGAACTCTAGACAGATGCTCTACTTACTAAGCTAACTGGTCGCCGACGATCGAGCCCGTCCAGTTCCGCTACATGCCTCCCTCCTTATTTTTAGTCTTTGCCCCAATGACATCACATTTAACAACCCAGGTTCGGGTATCCCCTTGGTCAAGGCACCAAATGTAACAGGAGCGGATAGATGTGCGGCCAGACCGGTGTTCGAACCCGGGGCCTTCCGAACTCTAGACGGATGCCACCTACTGAGCCAAGTGGTCGCCGACGATCGACCCCGTCCAGTTCCGCTACAAATGAATACATCGCACCTGTATGACTGTAATATCCCCCACTCGTGCTGCAAATTTGTAGAAGATTGATAGAATCTTACATGGATCTGTTCCATGGACAGGGATATCTCAAACGTCGTTTAAGAGTCTGACTGGTCAGCATGAGGCATGCTAAGTCCATTTCAGAATTCAACATTTTATTTATTTTTCTTCCATATTTACTTCGCAACAATTACAAACAAATTATTTCAACTTTCACAATCACCGTCTGATTGGCTAGATGTAAGCGCACGAAGGTTGAAAGGGATGAAACCGAATTACCAAGGGAAAACCCCACATAGTCGGGCAGGTGATACAGCACTGTTCACGTCCGTTCCAGGAATCGAACCCCGAACGACATGATGAAAGGCGATGGCGTTACCACTGTGGCAAACAAACACAATAGAAACAGATTGTAAGTTGTCGTCGAATCATAAAATAATCCATGAAAGATGCGTCGAAATTTATGGCGATTTGCGACATGGTTAAGCTACATAGAAATAATGACCCCTTTGTGAGCTGTAAGCTTTCTCTAAGTAATACACCCGTGAAATATGGGATAAAACCAAATCTTAGCAATAATTGTGAAGTAGATTTATTATTACTGGTTTAGGGTTTAAACATATTTCATTGCCAAAATAAAATTGAACAAGGGAATTGGTCACAAGTTATTACAACTTATTGGAGCCCTTTTCCATCATACATTTTCAAATACATGCTTATAAAGATATAGGCTTAAACAAAAATTATACATATTAAGCATTCACACAAAGACATAAATACGTCATCGTATAGGAATCTTAAAACCTTCTGCTGGATTTAATGAAATTTTGCACATGTGTAAAGACAAAATAGTTTAGGTCCCCAGAAAGATCAATACTACCTAACAAAAGAAGCTCTAAATTCAAATCTACTTCTAATTCAGCCAGATTATGAAACAAAGTGCTTTTTCATTTCTGAAAGTTTGACACTCAAAGAAGAAGTGAAAGGCATTCTCACAAGGATGTCCACAGGAGCAAACTGGATTTTCAGCAAGATTTACTCGATAAAGATCGTAATTAAGGGAACTACAACTGTGTCTAAGTTTAGTATGTATCATGTTTAACTTCCGTTCACCATAACTAAAATAGATAGGTGGGGATTGTTGTGTATTTAAAGTAAGTGAAGTTTTGAACAAATTTATAGAAGGCAGTGACCGTACAGAGAAATCTAACAAGTTCCAGCTACGAAGCGTAGAAGGTATAAAACAGAGGTTTGTAAGAGAACGCCCAAATAGAGGAACTCTATAATCATTGTTATTTCTAAGATTGTATCGGTTATTATCTGCAACAATAGGTGGCAAGAGATCGTTTAAATAATCTGGAGTTAGCTTGTTATGCATTTTAAATAAAAGTTGAAGTTTTCTTCGTTTTCGACGATTCGAAAGTGTATCTAAACCAGTTTCAAAGTGTAAATCTTCTATACGTGCATAAGAAGGAAGGCCAGTTATAATACGAGCAGCTTCTCTTTGGGTTTTCTCTAATCTATCCGATTCAGTATTAGTGCAACCGTCCCACAATTCACACGCATAGTCTAAAATTGGTAAAATAAAAGCTTTGTAAAGACATTGATTTTCTTCATAACAGATATGTATGTAGCATTGATATGATCCTCCGATTTTGAGCTGGAATTAAAATTTACCCCCAAGTGCATATGGTGATCAGTAAAATTCAAATCTTTCCCGTCAAACTTCAGGTCTAAATCATCATCTATGTCAATCGAATTAGAAATAAATATTACCTCAGTTTTGTCAGGATTGAAAGTAACCAATCAAGTTTTAGCCCAAAAGTTTAAAGAATAAAGATCCCTATTTAAGACAGTTTGGATTTCAAGACATGATTAGGAAGACTTAAATAAAGAAGTATCATCTGCAAACAGACGAGCAGATGATTCAAAGACATCGACAATATCATTTATGTATATAAGACACAAAAGTGGTCCAAGAATGGAACCTTGAGGAACCCCTGCTGAGTTTGAACCTAATTGAGAATAAACACTATCTAGGAAAACTTTTTGCTGCCTATTAAATACATAGTTTTCTAGCCACGTAAATAGCTCACCACAAAGTCCGTGCGATTTAATTTCACCATCAAACCTTTATGCCAAACACGATCGAATGCTTTAGAAATATCACAGAAGACCATACATACATGTCTTTTCCCTGCAAGAGCAATACAAATATTGTGATATTTTTCAATTAGCTGATATACAGTAGAATGCGCATGCATAAAGCCAGACTGGTGTTTATAAAACAATGAATTTTCTACGAAATAATAATGTAAATGTTTGAAAATAACACGCTCAAGGACTTTTCCAGCAGTAGATAGAAGAGAAATCGGTCTATAGTTAGAGGGAGAATGCCTGTCACCTTTTTTAAACAGTGACATAACTTTTGCTACTTTCCAATTGGCTGGAAATATACCTGACGATAAAGACATGTTAATAATAATTTCAAGTGGAATACGAACAGTTTGTGATGTATTTCTTAACATATGATGACTGATCCCATCCTCACCCAAGGCCTTTCCGAGCTTCAATATCTGTAAAACATCACGGAGTTAATTTCCATTTACTCTTACAGAACTGAACGTTTTGTTGGTTTTAGACTCAACTACAGGAACTGCAGTGTTTCTATCATCGACTTGTGTAATATTACAAAAATAATCATTTAATAAGTTATCTTTGTCTCCAATAAGATTCTGGATCAGAAGACACAAATTCCTCAAATATACCATGAACATTCTCATAAAATAATAAACTGTTATTACTGAGGACACCAGTTAATATTCCCCTCATATCCACAGCAGAATTAGACATTTCCGAGCAAAGAAAACTTTCTGCCAACGAGTAAGGAACCCGGCGGAATTTACTAATGTATCCACATTATAGACATATAACAACGAACTGACGTTTCAGAATTGCATTTTTATTTATTCCTTCGCTTGAGATAATATGTGCTGTTAAGTTGAGATGGGCGGAGGCAATCTTAAGGTGGGCGTGGCGATTTGCTTCTGCGGACATGATTGGCTTTCGCACTGGTGCTTATTGCCCTCTTGGTGATATTTCGTTGCGCCATGGCGCGGAGTTCATCGTGGGTCAAAGGTCGAATATCGACTTCATCCTGACCAACCAAAATATCTGACACGTCATCGTCGTCCCTGTAAAAATACGCATGCGCATAATGCATCTTGTCGTTTAACCTTGGACTTCGTGGGCAGACTTGTCTGCGGTTTTCTCGTAAAGAGATAGCATTTTTTGTTGTTTGTGTTTCCCGAACTCGAACAGATAACTAGGCAACAACATATTTCTCTTTCATTTGTTCAAATGATATTCAAAGTGAACGAGAAGGCAACCAATTATGATTTTCACCAACGAGCGTCCTAGTCTGTCAAGAGAGGCGTGAATACTTACTCTTGCACGGACGATGTGGTCTGTACTCACACGGACGTCACGTGGTCTATATAGAGAGGGTTGGATATCTATATAAAGGCCAGAGTCTGTATAGAGAGATAAAGGGTCTATACTTACGCTGAGGCCGGAGTCTGTATAGAGAGATAAAGGGTCTATACTTACACTGAGGCCGGAGTCTGTATAGAGAGATAAAGGGTCTATACTTACGCTGAGGTCGGAGTCTGTTTAGAGAGAAAAAGGGTCTATACTTACGCTGAGGCCGGAGTCTGTATAGAGAGATAAAGGGTCTATACTTACGCTGAGGCCGGAGTCTGTATAGAGAGATAAAGGGTCTATACTTACGCTGAGGCCGGAGTCTGTATAGAGAGATAAAGGGTCTATACTTACGCTGAGGCCGGAGTCTGTATAGAGAGATAAAGGATAAATACTTACGCTGAGGCCGGAGTCTGTATAGAGAGATAAAGGTCTATAATTACGCTGAGGCCGGAGTCTGTATAGAGAGATAAAGGGTCTATACTTACGCTGAGGCCGGAGTCTGTATAGAGAGATAAAGGGTCTATAATTACGCTGAGGCCGGAGTCTGTATAGAGAGATAAAGGATATATACGTACGCTGAGGCCGGGGTCTGTATAGAGAGATAAAGGTCTATAATTACGCTGAGGCCGGAGTCTGTATAGAGAGATAAAGGGTCTATACTTACGCTGAGGCCGGAGTCTGTATAGAGAGATAAAGGTCAATACTTACGCTAAGGCCGGAGTCTGTATAGAGAGATAAAGGATATATACTTACGCTGAGGCAGGAGTCTGAATAGAGATGGGCGGAGGAATATCTGTACGTATGAACTGTGTGATCGGAGGTGCTTCCTGGCCTTTTTTGTCCTTCTTTTCAGGTTTTGGCGGATTTTGCTACAATCAGAAATTTAAATATTTATGTTATACTGATTATGTCTGCCATATTTAGTTTTTGAGATATTTTCTTTGATCGCTGGTATTACGGGTGATTTCTGTTTAAATCATGCTCAAAGTTTACACTGATTTAGAAGGAGAAAATTTACACTGATTTAGAAGGAGAAAGTTTACACTGATTTAGAAGGAGAAAGTTTACACTGATTTAGAAGGAGAAAGTTTACACTGATTTAGAAGGAGAAAGTTTACACTGATTTAGAAGGAGAAAGTTTACAATAGTAGTGTTAGATCTGTGGATAGTGTTTGCCATGGTGGTAATATTTGATACAGTGACAGTGTTACTCTCGGGGTAGGGTTTGACGCAGGAGTATGGTTTGACTGGAAGGACTGTTTGTCAGAGGATATGGTTTGGCAGAAGGTAGAGTTTGTCCTGTCAGAAAGGTTTGATATGGGGGAAGTGTTTTAACTAGAGGTAATATTTGGCTCACAGGTGATGTATGACACGGGGATGGTAACATAGGGGTATTGTTGTGTTCGACCAAAGGATACCACTATTACTTGACACGAAGGGAGGAGGGAGGGGAGTATCTGACCCAATGATACCACTATTACTTGACCTTGCGGGAGGAGGGTGGGGAGTGCCTGACCCAAGGATACCACTATTACTCGACCTTGCGGGAGGAGAGTGGGGAGTGTTTGACCCAAGGATACCACTATTACTTGACCTTGCGGGAGGAGAGTGGGGAGTGTTTGACCCAAAAATACCACTATTACTTGACCTTGCGGGAGGAGGGTGGGGAGTGTCTGACCTAGGGATACCACTATTACTTGACTAAGGCTGGAGGAGGGAGAGGGGAGTGTTTGACCCAGGGATACCACTATTACTTGACCCGGCGGGAGGAGGGAGGAGAGTGTCTGACCTAAGGATATCACTATTAGTTCACTAAGGCTGGAGGAGAGAGAGAGGGAAGTGTCTGACCCATTATCATTGCTTGACCTGGCGGTCGGGGGAGCGAGGGGTTTCTGACCCAGAGAAACTATTATTACTTGACCCGGCGGGAGGAGGGTGGGGAGTGTCTGACCTAGGGATATCACTATTACTTCACTAAGGCTGGAGGAGAGAGAGGGGAGTGTCTGACCCATTATCATTGCTTGACCTGGCGGTCGGGGGAGCGAGGGGTTTCTGACCCAGAGAAACTATTATTACTTGACCCGGCGGGAGAGGGAGAGGGGGTGTCTGACCTGGGGCACTATTATTGTTTGACCTTGCGGGTGGGGGAGTCAGGGGTGTCTGACCTAGAGGAACTAATATTACGTGACCCAGCCGGGAATGGTGGGGTGGGGTGCGGGTAACGCTTGACCCAGGTGCAATGTTAAGCCCTTAGGAGCGTTTGATCCAGGTAAGTTTTCGACATGGGATTAATGTTTGACCCAAGGGCACTGTTCGGCTTGAGGATAGCGGTAGACCCTGGAGCGGTGTTCAGCCCGGGGATCAGTGTGTATACCTTGAGATGGAGGTACTGCTGAAGCTGTAACATCTCCATGGTCCGCTGTTCCATGATTCCCATGTAATGGAGGATGTTCTTGTCCGTGATTTCCTCCTCGCTCCCTAATATAGACTTAATCGTGCTCGAGTCACAGTGAATTGTCTCAAACAGTGACGTAACACCACTTCGTAACTCATCAAGAACACCCCTGATGACGTCAATCTTTTTCTGTGCCACCTCCGTTTCGGCTGTCACTCGAACTGACCTCGACTGTATTTTTTCATTAATTCATTACATAAAAAACAATAATAAAAGAAATTTAATACACATATGACCAAAAATAAAAGAACAGAACATGCGAGCTATTATTAAACAAATTACTTACAATCGATTGAAACCATACTAGTTTCTACAATGCTGCATTTATAATAAGAAAAATGGCTTTTTATGTATCTGACAAGTCATAATGGACTTCATCAATCTCATATAAAGGAAAGGAATGTACGATTCTTTTGATGACATAACTTCACTATTTTAACAGACATTCGTAAAACAGCTTTTATAGCATTTCTTTGGCATCTTTTGTAGCGATACTCTAATTCCATATTTATTTTGTGAGGTTAGAATGCATATGACGCATCAATTTCTACCAGAGTTGTCGTTCCTTTACAGTCACAATACACCTCTATTGACACAATGACTAACAATAGTCAGGGTCAAAGTTTGACGTTGTGCAAAATTACGGCGGCATCCTGACAGCACCAACGAAGGACAAAGTTGTAGAATGTTTTGTATGTATGCTATCGATCAGTATGAAAACATCACTTACGCTATTATATAAGTTACATGCCAATATTGTAGATAAATTTCCATAAGTTATCACTGACATCACATTATATCAACATGTATCTCAAGAACACGTCGGTAGTTCAAATGTTTGTTAATCCTCAGTGCTATAGAAAATACTGAAGCCTTTGTCTGTCGTCTGTGCTTCAGATAAATATTGAAAACTCTGTCGATCCCCTGTTCTTCAGATAAATATTGAAACCTCTGTCGGTCTCCTGTGCTACAGATAAATATTGAAACCTCTGTCGATCCCCTGCGGTACAGATAAACATTGAAACCTCTGTCGGTCCCCTTTGCTACAGATAAATATTGAAACCTCTGTCGGTTCCCTGTGCTTCAGACAAATAGTGAAACCTCTGTCGGTTTCCTGTGCTTCAGACAAATAGTGAAACCTTTGTCGGTTCCCTGTGCTACAAACGTTTTCCAACTATCTTACCTGCAAGTCTTTCAGTGTGATTTTGTTGCATTCCATCATTCGGATATCCTCGATCTCAAACGCTTCCATCTCTGCCTTGGTCAACCGGATCTCCTCGTTCAGTCCCTCTACTTCCTCGTTCAACTCGTTGACATAGTTGAATAGCGCAAAGTTTTCATCCTCACGGGCGATGAAATTGTTGACGATAACAGAGATGTCTTGTTTTTCAGTAGCCTCCTTTATTTTATCAAATGCTTCCTCGTAAACATTTATTTGTTCCCGTTCTGCGTCCGTGTCTTTGTCGCGGGCGTCTACACAGCAAAACATACCAATACAAAGGTGAAGTTGAGCTTTTTATATCTGTGGTCCTGGTTGATGGGAAATATGAAGGTCTGTTTACTAGTACCCCAAGGACATAGCGAGTAAACCAACCTCCATGTCTTTAGGTAACCATGCTAATAAATGTATCATGTACACTTAAAGTTTTTTTTTTTTTTTTTTTGTAATTTTTTATTTTTCAGAATTTTTACCTGGTACAGAGGAGAGAGGGGTCTGGGTTAGCAAGAAAATTGGTCTTGGGAAGATAATTCACATTCAGATGTACACTTCAATTTCATTTGAGATATAACATGTCATTATCTTTAAAAATATAGATTAAGCATAAAACATTTCAATATTTGAAAAAGCAAAAAGGAAACAGAAAATCAGAAATTTCTGCCGAGAAATATCTATATAATCGCCGGTGTTTAACGTTGAAAATTGACCCCGGTCCACTTTCAACGTGACATCGAAATCAATTAGTATCATGTCTACCCTACTTTTGTTTTTCTTTGCCTCCTCTTCGTCCTTGAACTCTGCACGGTCATGCGCCTTGAAGAGGAGGAATTGTTTGAGTTTGTTGTCATGGTTAATGATACGCTGTAGATCCTTCATCTCGACCTCATGTTGGGCCATGTCTTTCTCACTCCGCTCCTGTGACACAAACGACAAACCAACTCTAATATGTAAAAACATTGTACCTCTGGCTCAACATAGATGAAATAATACAGTAAAGTCTGACGGAGATTAAAAAATGATTTACACCTGTACGGACACCAAAAAAGGCACCAGCATCTTATCACCACCTAACCACTAAACCACAGTCTATCGGATGGGACTTAAAATGGTGGCCCATGTGAGAATGACCACCTCGCAAGATAAAGATCCCTTTCAGGTTTTTTTTTTTTTTTTTCCGAAAAAGAGAAGATTTCATAACACCGGCCCAGAGGTTAGGATTAGTTTGCATCAGGGATTATTAATAAGTAATTTTGAGGGACATCTAAATTATTTTCAAACTTCATATAGTAGAACCCCATACCTCTTCCTCTCTTTAATTAACAGGTCCTCTTGCTGTGACGCGCATATTATTAGGCTAGGGCTATAATAAGGCCACGGAGTCGTTTTCTCTAAATTATAGTTTAAGAACAGGTTAGGTAGTATATACGGCCCCTCTCTACCTCTTCTCTGTATCCCACTCTCTACCCCATCTATGTATCCCACTCTCTACCTCTTCTCTGTATCCCACTCTCTACCTCTTCTTTGTATCCCACTCTCTACCTCTTCTCTGTATCCCACTCTCTACCTCTTCTTTGTATCCCACTCTATACCTCTTCCCTGTAATCCAACTCTCTACCTCTTCTCTGTATCCCACTCTCTACCCAATCTATGTATCCCACTCTCTACCTCTTCTCTGTATCCCACTCTCTACCTCATCACTGTATCCCACTCTCTACTCCATCTATGTGTCCCACTCTCTCCAGTCACTGATAGTATATACGGCCCCTCTCTACCTCTTCTCTGTATCCCACTCTCTACCTCTTCTCTGCAATCCCACTCTCTACCCCATCTATGTATACCAATCTCTACCTCTTCTCTGTATCCCACTCTCTACCTCTTCTCTGTATCCCACTCTCTACCCCATCTATGTATCCCACTCTCTACCTCTTCTCTGTAATCCCACTCTCTACCCCATCTATGTATCCCACTCTCTACCTCTTCTCTGTATCCCACTCTCTACCCCATCTATGTATCCCACTCTCTCCAGTCACTGATAGTATATACGGCCCCTCTACATCTTCTCTGTTTCCCACTCTCTCCCATCAATTCCTACTTTTCCCTCTCTATTCATTTTCCACCATCTTTCTTCGTCCACCGAAAGTCAGAAAGGCCGTAATAGTAGACGGACGTAAACCCCGTTAGATACTTAGATAAATACCTAGCGCATGAAAGAATCTGTCTTAAAGTGTACCCTGAGTGTTTTGCTATATTTATGTATAAAATGCTTCATATTACGCCGTAGACACTTCCGTTTCCCAGTTATTGTGACTTATCTGATATGCACACCTTTGATTTTGATCGACTAAATATGGGTAGTCCATATCTGTGACGTCACAAGTCCAACGCTGGTTCATTTATATTTTCGAAAAACATAATTACGGAACTATTTTATCGGTGTTATCCTTAAGTACTGCATATCAAATCTTTTAATTGTCGACCTTACATTAGAAATACACAACAGCGTCAGTTTGTCATTATGATGTATATATGTAATAAATGTTATTTTAAAAAACCCAGACACGAACGTTGAAATTATTTTGTAAATATTTTACCGACACATTTCTGTATTGTTGGACCGAAGCGGTACCACTGTACACAACTTTGGAATATGGAAATTCTGGCACGACGTAAGATCCGTTTATCTACCTTTAGCGCGATCATCTTGTTCTGTGCCTCGTCCCTTTCCTCGTATGCGCGAGCAGCCTCTGCGATTACCTCGTCCATCTGCGCCTTTATGTCGCTGAGGTCATTTGTGAGCTTCTTGAAGAGTCCGTCGAACACTGATCGTTCCTGACGAAGGTGGTCGATCTCTTGTCGAAGGTTGGCATTAACCGCCAGCTGCTGGTTGAACTTAACCATGGCCTGTATTATTGGACAGTTAAGTAAGTAGACTGACCAGAGTAAGCTTTTTTAGCTGTATTAGAACCTTGAGTATGGCGATGACATTTGTTTTGTCCAGTTAATCAGTTAATGATACTCGTGTTTATCAGGTTTTTACGAGTTTACAAGTTTTGGCAGTGTTTCACAATGGATTTACCTATTTCCTCTACTGTTACATGGACTGTACTTTAACAAGGTTATAATAATTTCCTTTTATGTTTCGGCTTTATCGAGTCATTTTTCTGTTAAAGGTACCTCCCTTATCAAATCTATTTCCCTTTTACCGGTACCTCCCTTATCGGATCTATTTTTTACCGGTACCTACCTTATCGAATCTATTTTCCTTTTACCGGTACCTACCTTATCGAATCTATTTTCCTTTTACCGATACCTCCCTTGTTGAATCTATTTTCCTTTTACCGGTACCTACCTTATCGAATCTATTTTCCTTTTACCGGTACCTACCTTATCGAATCTATTTTCCTTTTACCGGTACCTCCGTTATTGAATCTATTTTCCTTTTACCGGTACCTACCTTATCGATTCTATTTTCCCTTTACCGGTACCTACCTTATCGATTCTATTTTCCTTTTACCGGTACCTCCCGTATCGAATCTTTTTTCTTTTTACCGGTACCTACCTTATCGAGTCGATTTTCTTTGACTCTGATTTTTTTCTGTATGGTTCTCTCTACCATCTGCTCTGTGTTGCCTCCCTGCGCGCGTCGGTGTTTTGTTATTTCTTCCTCTACGCGTGCCACTTCCGCATCGAGTTCGGCTATACGCTTGACTTCTTGTTCGGCCTGATTATTAAATGAGTCGAGGTTGTCAATGAGCTCCATCAAACGGTTTGTGTTTTCGATATCCATGCTTTCGTTCTTTTCGCTTTGAGCGAGACGTAGGACGGTTCGAATCTCCTCATTTTCAGCTACAAGAGCCTCCTTCTCCGACCTGAAATTACACGTGTATGACTTGACCATTTAAGATTCGTTCTGAGTGGTATAGTTCTGCTTTGACCGTCCGACCGTGTGTACGTCAGGCCGTCGCAAACTTTTGTCGGGATCTTCTCATTTTTAAAACTTGTTCGCTTTGATCACTTTAACATGAAGTTTTATTTTCTGAAAATAGCAGTTTGAATTCGACTGTGTTTGAAAGAGTAGATACTCCTAATGTTAATCTTGTCCCTGTATCTCCTTTGGAAAACCAAATTTATCTTCCCGTACTAAAACTTGGAATACACCTGATATATATGAAGGATGGATCTATAGCTCCTCACACTCCGTCCCCGGCAGTTAACTAATGCGACCGACGGAAAAATTTCTGTCCAATTGGGGGTATACATGTAACACCCCGAGCAGAGGGCTGATCTATATGGTATTAAACCAATACATTTATCACTTTATTTCCATTGAGTACATCCTGCTTTATTTTAACAAATTACACTTTTTTGTGATTTGGTACGATTAAGTCATTCCCGACATCTGAAATAACAGGAGATCTGAGACGAGTCATTAAGTCACTCACATTTTCTTGCGGAGGATGTTGTTGGATTCCTCAGCGTACGCCCGACGATCGCCCTCCATTACTCTCAACTGTCTTTGAAGTTTCGCCAGCTCCAGTGCCTGTCCCGCCTCCTCTCCAAGCTCCTCATTGGAGTGTGTTTGTACTGCGCCCTTTCTCATCCCTGAAACAACCCCGTTCGCTTACTATTGACCAATAAAACTTCACAGGGAACCCGGAACCGTATTTACCGTATAGGCCGACTTTCTGTTCCGGCTTACCATTTCCTCGATTTCCGCATCACCGTGTGTTTGTGGCGATTTTTAACGAAACAGTCCATGTTTTGCAGACGTAAATTACACGTAGTGTTGATTTACCAATGCTAACTCAGAGTGTCAACCGTGAAAATGAATCGCACGCGTAAAAGAAAATAATTTACAGTATCGTGGCAAAGACCTCGGCCCGAATATCCTGTTCAAGAGTGATATCTGCGCTCAACCTAACCTCCTTTAAACTCTGTTGAATTGTGAAATAAGGGGTTAAATACTTCTACCAAGTAAATGCCTACTTGAACGTAGTGAAGGTTATGTTAGAGAGAGACAAAATGGGTGCTAACAATACAAAGCAACTAATATTGATGGGCTGAAATAGCAATTTTGAAGGAGAGTGAGGATTCAGAGGAGACAATTTCGGAAGGGAGGTTGTTACAATCTTTGAGTGTTCGAGGGAAGAAGAATTCATTACTGACAGATGTTTTACATAAAATAGTTCGAAGAGAAAATTGATGACCTGGTTTGTCTCGAAGATGAGATGTTTGGACGTAATGTATGGATGTAATGGCAATTCGTTTAAGTGTGTATTTTGTAAAATCATATAATAATATCTCACTTGAATGGAGTATTTCCGAAATTCCTTCAATAAGATAATCATATAGTCCGAGTGCAAAGGGTGTATTTGAACACGAGTGTTGGTCCTGTATAACACGATCTCCATGAGAGAACTTACCGCACATTCAAAGTCTATTTACAGAAACTGACGTTTACACGCCCGGCCAAAATCCAGACATTATAACTGATCGTGTACTAATTTGACCATTCGGAACACGTCATGTTTCTTTACATTATAATAACATCAGCAATACACAAGGAACACAATATCAATGAAGTAAACAAATCGAACCCAGTGACTTCGTTATAATCTTACCATTAATCAAAACGCCTACCACATTGATAATAAAATAAGTATTTCTGAATGTATAACGTGCTTACCTTTCAGTGACGTAATCTACATTATTTTTCTATATAGAATGCCACTGTATATCATAAAATTGTATCAGATATCTACATCAATGGTATTTGGTAATCAATTTCTGTGAATGGAGAAACATGAAGAATTCCTGAAATTTCTGTATCAGATTAGCGGACACTGAACAGAGAACATTCCTGAATGGGTGTGTACTTAATCGTAAATATAACATTGTGACCCATTAAGGTTGCGAGGAGGCGGGCGGGAAGTGACGTAGTTATTTTTGCATGAGTTGGAGTTGCACATTTGGGATTGTAGACATGACATTGTAATACGATCGTAACATCGTAATCAAGATGATATTACGACATGAAAACCACGAGACTGGTATAATTGTCTTTGATTTATGTGTAGATGGTAAAATACTCATAAATACCTGATGGTGGTTGACTTGTTCACGTTATCAATTTTTACTGCCTGATGTCTCCATCCTCCTTCTGGAAGATGTCTATGTTACGTCGCTAAGGTTACCACACATTCACGTCACAGAATGCATGACGTCACAATATCGTTATAGAATGTGTCGATAATGACGTTATTTGTTGGACAAAAATAGGTTTGACACACGTGGGTTGGGATTGGCAAAAAACATCATCCGCTGAAAACGTGAAACGGATCAGTAAAACTGACATTCTTTAACATCTCAATCTCAGACTGACATTCTGTAACATCTCAATCTCAGACTGACATTCTGTAACATTTTAATCCCAGACTGACATTCTATAACATCTCAAACCCAGAATGACATTCTGTAACATCAATCTCAGACTGACATTCAGAAACATCTCAGTCTGAAACCGACATTCTGTAACATCTCAGTCTCAGATTGACATTCATCTCAATCTCAGACTGACATTCTGTAACATCTCATTCCCAGACTAACATTCTGTAACATCTCAATCCCAGATTGACATTCTGTAACATTTCAATAGCATGATGACATTCTGTAACATCAATCTCAGACTGACATTCTGTAACATCTCAATCTCAGACTGACATTCTGTGACATCTCAATCCCAGACTGACATTCTGTAACATCGTAATCTCAGACTGACATTCTGTAACATCTCATTCTCTCATTTCCACCTGTGTCAGATAGGCCTGTCCAGGGCAATAAACATGGTCATGATAGACGTTTATTACACAAGCGCCTGTGTAATAAAGCCTCGCGCGCGGAGTAATTCATAGTTTTTTCCCGCGCACTCATCGACTATGTCCTCGTCATCCGCTTCATCCACAAACACGCATAGTCGATTGGAGTCATTGTTTGCAGGCTCGTATTAACAAAACTGTTTTATAAATATCAACATCACCAACCCTGGGACTCGGCCTTTCCGCCGTCGTCCACGTGTGATTGAAAGTGACAATGACTAACTTTCCTCCTGTCGGTGTGGCGCGAAATGTGTGACGTAAGTGACGTCATCTCACAAGCAAACCAAGAATTCCATTCATAAATGTGTAAGATTTGTAAGATTACTATTGACAGTGAAGTAGTATTAATAACTTGACCAACATGTTCAAAGATGTAAAAAGTGTTTATGATATATTATACATTGAGCAATAGTAAATATTAAAAAGAAAAGTGTTGTTTTATTGCGTGTTTTAAGGCACTATATTTGAACGCGTACGCATGTCTCTGGGTGATATATTTGACAGGGTATTTGACCCAGCCCGCTTGAAGAAAAAACAGTTAAACACTGACGTTGGATGTTTACATTCAAAGTCCATATTATGTTTTCGACCGCAAACATAGTTTGCAAAATTCGGGGATGGAGAATCTATTTCAGCATATTTTTTATGTATATGGTCCAAGGAAAAAAATAGAAATCTGAAAAATGGCGGCGTCCTGTGATGGCTACCGCGAGGTGAGTGCAAATATTTGATAATATGAGATTAGAAATGAGAGAAAAAAACTCTTTTCTATATGGGTATGTAGACTAGACATTATTTAACATCGGGATCACAAAATATGGTAAAAACCATCGGCAAGCCTCGGGTTTTACCACATTTTGTGACCCCTCGGGTGGAATATCCCTATCCTACATACCCATATAGAAAAGAGTCTTATAATCTCAGACTGACATTCTGTAACATCTCAATACCAGACTGACATTCTTTAACATCTCAATCTCAGACTGACATTCTTTAACATCTCAATCTCAGACTGACATTCTGTAACATCTCAATCTCAGACTGACATTCCGTAACATCTTAATCCCAGACTGACATTCTATAACATCTCAATCCCAGACTGACATTCTGTAACATCAATCTCAGATTGACATTCTGAAACATCTCAGTCTCAAACCGACATTCTGTAACTTCTCAGTCTCAGATTGACATTCTGTAACATCTCAATCTCAGACTGACATTCTGTAACATCAATCTCAGATTGACATTAAGAAACATCTCAGTCTCAAACCCACATTCTGTAACATCTCAGTCTCAGATTGACATTCTGTAACATCTCAATCCAGGCTGACATTCATCTCAATCTCAGACTGACATTCTGTAACATCTCATTCCCAGACTAACATTCTGTAACATCTCAATACCAGACTGACATTCTGTAACATTTCAATAGCATGCTGACATTCTGTAACATCAATCTCAGACTGACATTCTGTAACATCAATCTCAGACTGACATTCATCTCAATCTCAGACTGACATTCTGTAACATCTCAATCTCAGACTGACATTCTGTAACATCTCATTCCCAGACTAACATTCTGTAAAATCTCAATCCCAGATTGACATTCTGTAACATCTCAATCCCAGACTGATATTCTGTAATATCTCAATCTCAGACTGACATTCTGTAACATCTCAGTCTCAGACTGACATTCTGTAACATCAATCTCAGACTGACATTCTGTAACATCAATCTCAGACTGACATTCATCTCAATCTCAGACTGACATTCTGTAACATCTCATTCCCAGACTAACATTCTGTAACATCTCAATCTCAGACTGACATTCTGTAACATCTCAGTCTCAGAATGATATTCTGTAATATCTCAATCTCAGACTGACATTCTGTGACATCTCAATCCCAGACTGACATTCTGTAACATCGTAATCTCAGACTGACATTCTGTAACATCTCAATCTCAGACTGACATTCTGTGACATCTCAATCCCAGACTGACATTCTGTAACATCGTAATCTCAGACTGACATTCTGTAACATCAATCTCAGACTGACATTCTCTAACATCTCAATCTCAGACTGACATTCTGTAACATCTCAATCTCAGACTGACATTCTGAAACATCTCAATCTCAGACTGACATTCTGTAACATCTTAATCCCAGACTGACATTCTGTAACATCAATCTCAGACTCGTAATCTCAGACTGACATTCTGTAACATCTCAATCTCAGACTGACATTCTGTAACATCTCAATCTCAGACTGACATTCTGTAACATCTCAGTCTCAGACTGACATTCTGTAACATCTAAGTCTCAGACTGACATTCTGTAACATCTCAATACCAGACTGACATTCTTTAACATCTCAATCTCAGACTGACATTCTGTAACATCTCAATCTCAGACTGACATTCTGTAACATCTCAGTCTCAGACTGAAATTCTGTAACATCTCAATCTCAGACTGACATTCTGTAACATCAATCTCAGACTAACATTCTGTAACATCTCAATCTCAGACTGACATTCTGTAACATCTCAATCTCAGACTGGCATTCTGTAACATCTCAGTCTCAGAATGATATTCTGTAATATCTCAATCTCAGACTGACATTCTGTAACATCTCAATCTCAGACTGACATTCTGTAACATCTCAATCTCAGACTGACATTCTGTAACATCTCAATCTCAGACTGACATTCTGTAACATCTCAATCTCAGACTGACATTCTGTAACATCTCATTCCCAGACTAACATTCTGTAACATCTCAATCTCAGACTGACATTCTGTAACATCTCAATCTCAGACTGACATTCTGTAACATCTCAGTCTGAGATTGACATTCTGTAACATCTCAATCTCAGACTGACATTCTGTAACATCTCAGTCCCAGACTGACATTCTGTAACATCTCAATCTCATTCTGACTGACATTCTGTAACATCTCAACATTCTCAGACTGACATTCTGTAACATCTCACTCCCCGACCGACCTTCCTTAACCTCGCAATCTCAGACTGACATTCTGTAATCTCAATCTCAGACTGACATTTTCATCTCAATCTCAGACTGACATTCTGTAACATCTCAATCTCAGACTGACATTCTGTAATATCTCAATCTCAGACTGACATTCATCTCAATCTCAGACTGACATTCTGTAACATCTCAGTCTCAGACTGAAATTCTGTAACATCTCAATCTCAGACTGACATTCTGTAACATCTTAATCCCAGACTGACATTCTGTAACATCTCAATCTCAGACTGACATTCTGAAACATCTCAGTCTCAAACCGACATTCTGTAACATCTCAGTCTCAGATTGACATTCTGTAACATCTCAATCTCAGACTGACATTCTGTAACATCTCATTCCCAGACTGACATTCTGTAACATCAATCTCAGATTGACATTCAGAAACATCTCAGTCTCAAACCGACATTCTGTAACATCTCAGTCTCAGATTGACATTCTGTAACATCTCAATCTCAGACTGACATTCATCTCAATCTCAGACTGACATTCTGTAACATCTCATTCCCAGACTAACATTCTGTAACATCTCAATCCCAGACTGACATTCTGTAACATTTCAATAGCATGCTGACATTCTGTAACATCAATCTCAGACTGACATTCTGTAACATCTCATTCCCAGACTAACATTCTGTAAAATCTCAATCCCAGATTGACATTCTGTAACATTTCAATAGCATGATGACATTCTGTAACATCAATCTCAGACTGACATTCTGTAACATCTCAATCTCAGACTGACATTCGGTAACATCTCAATCCTAGACTGACATTCTTTAACATCGTAATCTCAGACTGACATTCTGTAAAATCTCAATCCCAGACTGATATTCTGTAATATCTCAATCTCAGACTGACATTCTGTAACATCTCAGTCTCAGACTGACAGTCTTTAACATCTTAATCCCAGACTGACATTCTATAACATCTCAATCCCAGACTGACATTCTGTAACATCTCAGTCTCAGACTGACATTCTGTAACATCTCAATCTCAGACTGACATTCTGTAACATCTCAATCTCAGACTGACATTCTGTAACATCTTAATCCCAGACTGACATTCTGTAACATCTCAGACTGACATTCTGTAACACAATCTCACTGACATTCTATAACATCTCAATCTCAGACTGACATTCTGTAACATCTCAATCTCAGACTGACATTCTTTAACATCTTAATCCCAGACTGACATTCTGTAACATCGTAATCTCAGACTGACATTCTGTAACATCTCAATCTCAGACTGACATTCTGTAACATCTCAATACCAGACTGACATTCTTTAACATCTCAATCTCAGACTGACATCTTAAAGACATACAGGAAACATAATTCACTATTTCCAGTTTTGCAGTGATAATAGTGAAAACAAAGGCTTAGATCATGTTTATTTACATCACAATACCTGATGAATATAATTAATATACAATGAAATTACTTCAAGCTTTATCCTTCAATTAATGTGGAATTGTAACTAAATGACTAACAACTTTCTTATCCCCTTGTAAACCTTGTAGATCAATGTCCTTTAGTATTCAAATTTCATCTGATGATCACATGTTTTGTATGCAAAAATGTCTAGATCTTGAAATGGTAAAGTCTCTGGACTAAGCAATGCTTTGTCAAGACAGTTAATGGTTTCGGATCAGTTAAGCTGACTAACCACTATGAGTCAGTTAAACTAAGCACTGTCAACACTTGATTGACCAGCCTCTCATGTCCAGACAACACTGATGTTTCACGTTCCAGTCAGAGAAAGTCTATAATAAACATCTATAATAATGACAAAAATACATTCGAAGTTCTAGTGTTTCTTTTGTATTAAATAATGGTCTCCACAGGAAAAATGTCTGTTACAGTCAAGTGTTGGGTGATCCTTACAGCACCTAGTCAGCAACTTTTTAGGTTTCCATCAGAAGTGCTTACTTTCTGATCCAGGTGGCAAAAAGCTGATATGTGGAGTGAATAATGACAGTGCCTGAACACACCAGATAGTTAGCATGACGTCCTCAGAGTGAATAATTGTTATCTCTGATCACAATAGATAGTTAGCACGACGTTCTCGGAGTGAACAATGGTCGTCCTGATCACATTGGATAGTTGAGCATCACGTCCTGTTTCGCCAGCTCCAACAACATAGGATCATCAAAGAACTTATTGATGCTAACGTCCTCACTCAGACCCTGCCAATGAAAAACAAAAGTTAAAATCTCATCTAACCCAAGTCACTGGTCAATATAATCTGCCCACAAGACACTGGTCAATATAATCTGCCTACAAGACACTGGTCAATTTAATCTGCCTACAAGTCACTGGTCAATATAATCTGCCTACAAGAAACTGGTCAATATAATCTGCCCACAGGACACTGGTCAATTTAATCTGCCTACAAGTCACTGGTCAATATACTCTGCCAACAAGACACTGGTCAATATAATCTGCCCACAGGACACTGGTCAATATAATCTGCCTACAAGTCACTGGTCAATATAATCTGCCAACAAGACACTGGTCAATATAATCTGCCTACAAGTCACTGGTCAATATAATCTGCCAACAAGACACTGGTCGTTATACTCTTCCCACAGGACACTGGTCAATATAATCTGCCTACAGGACACTGGTCAATATAATCTACCTACAAGTCACTGGTCAATATAATCTGCCTACAAGTCACTGGTCAATATAATCTGCCTACAAGACACTGGTCAATATAATCTGCCTACAGGACACTGGTCAATATAATCTGCCAACAAGTCACTGGTCAATATAATCTGCCTACAAGACACTGGTCAGTTTAATCTGCCTACAAGTCACTGGTCAATATAATCTGCCTACAGGACACTGGTCAATATAATCTGCCTACAAGTCACTTGTCAATATAATCTGCCCACAAGTCACTGGTCAATATAATCTGCATTCAGGACACTGGTCAATATAATCTGCCTACAGGACACTGGTCAATATAATCTGCCTACAAGTCACTGGTCAATATTTCTAAATCTACAAGGTCAGTGTTTAACTACAATACACTGGTCAATATTTATAAAACTACAAGGTCAGTGTTTACCTACAAGACGCTGATCAATATTTCTTAAACCACAAGGTCTATGTTTACCTACAAGACACTGGTCAATATTTCTAACAAGGTCAGTATCTACCTACAAGACACTGGTCAATATTTCTAACAATGTCATTGTTTACCTACAGGACACTGGTCAATATTTCTAAATCTACAAGGTCAGTTTCTACATGAGAGACACTGGTTAACATTTTTAAACCGCTGTTGGTAACTGTTTCTGCAAGTCTTTCTGAATGTATACTTTGATCCCCCAACTATCTTCATCGAGTGTTATTCTATCTCATCAGCCTTGACCCTTCTTTGATAACACTACCTTTCTCCGGCGTGATTTGATCATGAATTCCCTGGCCAGATGTGTGGCTGGTTGTGGCTCCAATGGTCTGATAGTAATGCTCTTATCCAAGGGGTCACCAGGTACGATCTGCCAGTGGTGAAACACTGACAGACAGAATGCCTGACCTTGAGTGTGTGTCCGAAGGTCAGTCTCAAATCCGAAAGAGTCGATGGCAGGAATAAAGGCTTTAATTGTGTAGAGAGGTGAACCTGGTACTGGTGCATCCTGGGTAACGTGTCCTCTGTAAACACATAATAATATTACCAAAGATTAGAACATGGAGATGTAAAGAAAGACATTTTACCACATGACTACCCTATTACAAGTGTGTTAACATCCATAATATATTTCTTTGTTTGTACATGTGTAATATGACCTGCGATTTGCTAATTTCATGTGTAAAAGTCTAATAAATTGATGTCCTGTTTTCATGAAAGTTTGTATAATATCTCAGAATCTTTCATTTATCCCTTAAAATATGATATTTACGGAACATGTCTTCCAAGAAATACAAACATGTACCATTTTTTAAAGAGATTGGTTGAATAATTTTCAAGCTCTAGCCCAGACAAAACTCAGGACAGACACACAAAGAAAGCCCAATTTAATATCTCCAGACAAACATATCATGGAGGATAAAAATAGCATAAACCAGAAAATCTTCATGGCTACAATGGATATTGTCAATGTTGAATGACATGTATAACAAAATCTAGAGTTAGGAATTGGAGTATTTCGTTTACCTTCGTCGTGCCAGCACAGTATATACTGCAGATACACAGTCAGCAGGGGCCATAACTTCCACAAAATTGTACGGCTCCATCATCCGGGGCGTGGCCTGAAAAAATAAACAGTTTCAATGTTCTGTAATTAAATACCCAGATCAGGCCTTGTCAATATGAATTTATTACTCCAAGAGGGTTTTAATAAACTCAAACACTTTGACAGTGTACAAAATTTGTCAAATGTCATCTAGAGAAGCTACAGATACAAATGTTGGCTGTTCAGATTCATTCCCTCTTACCATGAGGAATGCAGAGTAGGCCACTCTTCTGGCTGTTGGGATAATCTGGCCACCTCCCCTGTGTATTGGCTCCTGTGCTATCACAGCATCTAGGATCTTGAACTTCACATTCCTGATGGCTACAAGGAAATCAAAGTGAATACTACAGTGATCCAATCCATTATAATTCATAACTTGTTAAAGTTTGATCCTTTCTCAACTTTTACATGTAATAATTACATAATCCTTTTTTGTTTTACTTTATCCTGTTAAAGTCATAACCCTTTCTAAACTTTTCCCTGTTAAAGTTACATTCCTTTACATCTGTATAAGTGGCAATCCTTTCTAAACTTACATCTGTAAAAGTGGCAATCCTTTCTAAACTTACATCTGGAAAAGTGGCAATCCTTTCTAGCAGATCTATTGTTTTGCCTTTGAAGTTGTTAATAATATCAGATATGAAGACAAGCTTTGTGTAATAGACATCGAGATTACTTCACAGCTTCCTTTTCCTTCATGGGATAAACGGTACCTCTCAATCAAATATGTATGTTTACAGACATATTCTGCTGAATCAATAACTAAGGTAGAAGAGAATGTTATAGAAACTACACCCTCACATTTTATACGAGATGTCGGACAAGTAGTATTGTGTGAATACAAAGACTATTTACTTACGTTCATCACAAAGTGGTCCTTCCCGCGTGGCCCACTGAAAGCCCTGTACAATACTGTCTTTGACAGCGCCTAGCAGGCTCTTCTCTACCTATCAACAAATCAATAAGATATAGAATTACCACAAAATTCATCAGTTAGAAGACAAACGCTCAATTTATTAAGGCCATAATTATGTGTCATGTTAATACCATAAAATTATAGAATGTCCTACCTCAGAAGGCAGGGTGTCATCCACTAGGATGTTTGGTCCAGTTGAGTCCGGTCCAAAGGCCCAAATAGATCGAGCGGCTAATAAATCCCAGTCATATTTTGTTTGAAAGAACTCTCCGAGTCTTTTTCTCGGCCATGTGATTTGTACTGTCTCATTCTCAATGTCCTCTGCTAGTCCTTTCTCTAGAGGTTCAGCAATCATTGTCAGCTTGTTCCTGTCAAATTAGAATTATCTTTCTCTCCATCAAATAATATAATAACTTTAACATTGATTTACACACTAACACTGGAAAAACTGTTAACATTGTATGAGGGATACCTAAATGTTGGTTTACCTGACTGGTACAGCTGTTAACATTGTATGAGGGATACCTAAATGTTTGTCTACCTGATTGGAAAAAAAGAAGACAGTTACCTTTTGTTCGGTGTTTCAGCAAAACATTTAAGTGAGGATGTTTCGACTACAGTCTCACAGAACGATACAACTGGGTCAGCAACTTTGATGTCTGTAAAACAATTGTAAACATAAATGAATCTGATCCAATTAATTATGAATTTTATAAAACACTCCTTAAACATACCCTAGATTTGCCATGAAAAAAGAATGTTTAATAAAAAGATTTATACAGGAATTGAAACAGTAATAATACATTCTTAATCAAACTCCATTTATCTATTTATAAATTTATTTTAGATATCAATACCAGGGTTCTAGATCAGAATAAATGTGAAGTTTTAATCAAATTTATTGATATGAAGTTTTTATCATACTTAGCAATATAAAAACGTTGATGGTATCAATGACACAGTCTAATGCACGATTGTCGCGTTAGATTCATCAAACACTATCTTCCATCTTTTCCTTCATCACACTCACACACTTTATAGTCCAGTATCACCGATGTTAAGATCATATGATACATTTTATCTTATCTACTAATCATATGAACAAGGATTTACTTACCAATTTCTGAGTACATTTTCCTGAGGTCATGCATCACACAGTCGAGGTAAAGTTCTCCAGTTCCTAACACAATGTGTTCTCCAGATTCTTCCACCTGTAAAAGTCACACACTGTACATAAAGATCTGGAGAACTTAAATACAAAAACAACAACAAACAGCAACATTTCAAAAGTCACACACTGTACATAAAGATCTGGAGAACTTAAATACAAAAACTAGAAAATGTATGTAAGACATGACTTGAGATTTCCTCAAGTCGAGTTTTTCCTCAGCTGATATCTCCTCAAAAACGGCTTGTATAAAATTTTCTCAAGGAACAGGAGAAAGGCATCGGCTAGGATGTCCTGAAATTCCTTGAGGAATTTTCATACAAGATATTGTCAAGGAGATATCAGCTGAGGAAAATCTCGACTCGAGGAAATCTCAAGTTGAGATGTTTTATACAAGAGGGGCCTGGAGAACTTAAATACAAAAACACAACAACAAACAGCAACATTTCAAAAGTTGTACAGCAGGCACAATAACACCATTCAAATGTTTAAGAACTCTTCATAGTAGTAAGAATGACTATCACACCTTTGTATTCAGGAGCGGGTAACTCTTGTTGACCTTCCGTAATCCGTCCAACATTTTCGGCAATTCTGAAGGGTTCACCGGTTCAACAGCAATCTTCATTACAGAGTTTGTATTAAACTTGAGAGGTCGGAATATGTGTACCTGTAACAGATCAATAGAGACATAAATAGATGGCCATCCTAACTGTGCTATAGGGTTATGGTATTAAAATTGAATTTGAGAAATAACATTAACCAGAATTCTGTAATGATTGGAGAATCTGCTGTCAACTGGGAATTAGAACCTTTTCAGCAATGAATGGCTATCAGATTGTCTTAATTACCAATGTGAATGCAATTTGGATGACAGACATAGACTCTGAATCAGCATGGGATATATTTTTGTGTTAATATGCAAGAGTCAATCGTGAATTCAAATCCTTCGTGGTAAATTTTACAGAAATCCACTTTATGTTGATTAGGTTACTGATATCAGAGTACATGTCTCCATTAACTCATCATTCAGGAATTTAAAGTCATTTCTAGGTCAGCCTTGCAAAATCATGTATTCACAAATATGTCTGAACAGGTAAGTTCACGAAATAAAGTATTCTGAATGATTGACAATAGAATAGAATGATGTGTTATAGGACTAACCTAGTCATCACGAGATACATCTGTTATATTGGTGTGACTTACCTCGTCATCATCAGATACGTCTTATATTGGTGTGACTAACCTCGTCATCATCAGATACGTCTTATATTGGTGTGACTAACCTCGTCATCATCAGATACGTCTGTTATATTGGTGTGACTTACCTCGTCATCATCAGATACGTCTGTTATATTGGTGTGACTTACCTCATCATCACCAGATACATCTGTTATATTGGTGTGACTTACCTTGTCATCACCAGATACGTTCATTATATTGGTGTGACTTACCTCGTCATCACCAGATACATCTGTTATATTGGTATGACTTACCTCGTCATCACGAGATACATCTGTTATATTGGTGTGACAAACCTCCTCGTGACCAGATATGTCTGTTATATTGGTGTGACTTACCTTGTCATCACCAGATACATCTGTTATATTGGTGTGACAAACCTCCTCGTGACCAGATATGTTCTTTATATTTGTGTGACTTACCTTGTCATGACCAGATACGTCTGTTATATTGGTATGACTTACCTTGTCATCACCAGATACATCTGTTATATTGGTGTGACTTACCTCGTCATCATCAGATACGTTCGTTATATTGGTATGACTTACCTCGTCATCACGAGATACATCTGTTATATTGGTTTGACTTACCTCGTCATCACCAGATACATCTGTTATATTGTTGTGACTTACCTTGTCATGACCAGATACGTCTGTTATACTGGTGTGACTTACCTTGTCATCACCAGATACATCTGTTATATTGGTATGACTTACCTCGTCATCATCAGATACATCTGTTATATTGGTGTGACTTACCTTTCATCACCAGATACATCTGTTATATTGTTGTGACTTACCTTGTCATGACCAGATACGTCTGTTATATTCGTGTGACCTACCTCATCATCATCAGATACGTCTGTTATATTGGTATGACTTACCTTGTCATCACGAGATACATCTGTTATATTGGTGTGACTTACCTTTCATCACCAGATACATCTGTTATATTGGTGTGACTTACCTTGTCATCACCAGATACATCTGTTATATTGGTGTGACTTACCTCGTCATCATCAGATACATCTGTTATATTGTTGTGACTTACCTCGTCATCATCAGATACGTCTGTTATATTGGTATGACTTACCTTGTCATCACCAGATACATCTGTTATATTGGTGTGACTTACCTCGTCATCATCAGATACATCTGTTATATTGTTGTGACTTACCTCGTCATCATCAGATACGTTCGTTATATTGGTATGACTTACCTCGTCATCACGAGATACATCTGTTATATTGGTATGACTTACCTGGTCATCACGAGATACATCTGTTATATTGGTGTGACTTACCTTTCATCACCAGATACATCTGTTATATTGTTGTGACTTACCTCGTCATCATCAGATACGTTCGTTATATTGGTATGACTTACCTCGTCATCACGAGATACATCTGTTATATTGGTTTGACTTCCCTCGTCATCACCAGATACATCTGTTATATTGGTTTGACTTACCTCGTCATCACCAGATACATCTGATATATTGTTGTGACTTACCTTGTCATCACCAGATACATCTGTTATATTGGTGTGACTTACCCCGTCATCATCAGATACATCTGTTATATTGGTGTGACCTACCTTGTCATGACCAGATACGTCTGTTATATTGGTGTGACTTACCCCGTCATCATCAGATACATCTGTTATATTGGTGTGACCTACCTCGTCATCATCAGATACGTCTGTTATATTGGTATGACTTACCTCGTCATCACGAGATACATCTGTTATATTGGTGTGACTTTCCTCGTCATCACCAGATACATCTGTTATATTGGTGTGACAAACCTCCTCGTGACCAGATATGTTCGTTATATTGGTGTGACTTACCTTGTCATGACCAGATACGTCTGTTATATTGGTCATGACCAGATACATCTGTTATATTGGTGTGACTTACCTCGTCATCATCAGATACGTTCGTTATATTGGTATATATTGGTATATTGGTTTGACTTCCCTCGTCATCACCAGATACATCTGTTATATTGGTGTGACAAACCTCCTCGTGACCAGATATGTTCGTTATATTGGTGTGACTTACCTTGTCATGACCAGATACATCTGTTATATTGGTGTGACTTACCTTGTCATCACCAGATACATCTGTTATATTGGTGTGACTTACCTCGTCATCATCAGATACATCTGTTATATTGGTGTGACCTACCTCGTCATCACGAGATACATCTGTGATATTGGTGTGACTTACCTCGTCATCATCAGATACATCTGTTATATTGGTGTGACCTACCTCGTCATCATCAGATACGTCTGTTATATTGGTGTGACTTACCTCGTCATCATGAGATACATCTGTTATATTGGTGTGACTTACCTCGTCATCACGAGATACATCTGTTATATTGGCATGACTTACCTCCTCGTGACCAGATACATCTGTTATGGTTGCGGTCTTCACTATGGGCTGGTCTATGCCTTCAATCAGTACCCAGTTTCCAGCAGGCACTCGGTTTACCTCCACTTTGTACCTACAACACAATATGAAAGCTGTTGTAGAATAGTCTTGCTCACTAACATATGTGAATATTGTGTAAAATACAGATCTTATACAACTTCAATCACACACAGCACAGTGAAAAGTACAAAATACTTTGAAAAATCTTGAACTATTTCAACAAACTCTATTTTAACCCAATTGTAACTTAATAATAGTCAACTACACAATTCACCATCAAAATTACAGGAGATTGCCAGATTTAATATAACAGATGTATGGACAGACTGACAACACTAAACCATGTCCCGTTAAAATTACAGGAGATTGCCAGATTTAATATAACAGATGTATGGACAGACTGACAACACTAAACCATGTCCCGTTAAAATTTCGCCAGATTTGATATAACAGATGTATGCAGAGACTGAAAACACTACATCATGTAGTCAAAATTACAGGAGATTGCCAGATTTAATATAACAGATGTATGGACAGACTGACAACACTAAACCATGTCCCGTTAAAATTACAGGAGATCGCCAGATTTAATATAACAGATGTATGGACAGACTGACAACACTAAACCATGTCCCGTTAAAATTACAGGAGATCGCCAGATTTGATATAACAGATGTATGCAGAGACTGAAAACACTACATCATGTACTGTCAAAATTACAGGAGATTGGCAGATTTGATATAACAGATGTATGCAGAGACTGAAAACACTACATCATGTACTGTCAAAATTACAGGAGATTGCCAGATTTGATATAACAGATGTATGCAGAGACTGAAAACACTACATCATGTACTGTCAAAATTACAGGAGATTGCCAGATTTGATATAACAGATGTATGCAGAGACTGAAAACACTACATCATGTACTGTCAAAATTACAGGAGATTGCCAGATTTGATATAACAGATGTATGCAGAGACTGAAAACACTACATCATGTACTGTCAAAATTACAGGAGATTGGCAGATTTGATATAACAGATGTATGCAGAGACTGAAAACACTACATCATGTACTGTCAAAATTACAGGAGATTGCCAGATTTAATATAACAGATGTATGGACAGACTGACAACACTAAACCATGTCCCGTTAAAATTACAGGAGATTGCCAGATTTAATATAACAGATGTATGGACAGACTGACAACACTACACCACGTCCTGTCAAAATTACAGGAGATTGCCAGATTTAATATAACAGATGTATGGACAGACTGACAACACTAAACCATGTCCTGTTAAAATTACAGGAGATTGCCAGATTTGATATAACAGATGTATGCAGAGACTGAAAACACTACATCATGGACTGTCAAAATTACAGGAGATTGGCAGATTTGATATAACAGATGTATGGACAGACTGACAACACTACACCACGTCCTGTTAAAATTACAGGAGATTGCCAGATTTAATATAACAGATGTATGGACAGACTGACAACACTAAACCATGTCCCGTTAAAATTACAGGAGATCGACAGATTTGATATAACAGATGTATGGACAGACTGACAACACTAAACCATGTCCCGTTAAAATTACAGGAGATTGCCAGATTTGATATAACAGATGTATGGACAGACTGACAACACTAAACCATGTCCCGTTAAAATTACAGGAGATTGCCAGATTTGATATAACAGATGTATGGACAGACTGACAAAACTACACCACGTCCCATCAAAATTACAGGAGAACTACAGATTAACATGACAGATGTACAGACAGACTGACAACCTTTACCTTGTCATATCAATGTGTTTGTGACTGATATTTGGTGAAATAACACTATATAGCCTAACAAGGCCACAACATTTTTCAGGGAGTATCTCTATAAAGTATCCTACCTCGCCTCAGAAATCCAAAGTCTCCCCACTTGACCAAACCGTGAGTCTTCCTCGTCCTGTAGAGAGTAGTTCTCACCCAGAATTTTTACCTCCTGGTTAGCGTACAGTGTGCCACTGATTACTCGACCATATACATGGAAACTTGTGGCATCCTGTGTTGGAAACAGTTTGGTTGTGTGAACCATCAGTGGGCCCTGCAACAATACATACCAAAGTAAACAATCAGCAGGCCCTGTAACAGTACATACATATATAAATGATTAGCAGGCCCTGTAACAGGACATACACTATTGGGTTTTTCTAGGGAAGACAACTTACGTCAGGACATACTCTATCAGGTTTCTCTAGGGAAGACAACTTACGTCAGGACATACTCTATCAGGTTTCTCTAGGGGAGACAACTTATGTCAGGACATACTCTATCAGGTTTCTCTAGGGGAGACAACTTACGTAAGGACATACTCTATCAGGTTTCTCTAGGGGAGACAACTTACGTAAGGACATACTCTATCAGGTTTCTCTAGGGGAGACAACTTACATCAGGACACACCCTATCAGGTTTCTCTAGGGGAGACAACTTACATCAGGATCACATGTGCACATGACCTCTGCAAGATCTGAGTCACTTGATCCAGTGTAGACATGTTCTATTTTGTTCTTTGCATTGCCAGCTGGACTAGGTAGATGTTCCACACACATGTCAACAAAACCTTGAAAATAAATATAAAGTATGTAACCAACAAAAGACATCTGATGCTAACCATAGATCCAGTGCCATTTTTATATTTTGTATTTCACACAGTAGTCTACCATTTTCTGTTATGTTACCAAAATGTTTGAGACTACTTTTACACAAAAGGTAAATTCAGGAATTTTTAATCAGGTTTGCAACATAAAAAGTTGCCTACAACCATAGATAAGTTTCTGTTGAACCTCTGTGAAGACAGACTATATATATAGGCAATACCTTAATTACACTCTGTGAAGACAGACTATATATATAGACAATACCTTAATTACACTCTGTGAACATATACTATATATATAGACAATACCTTACCTACACTCTGTAAAGACAGACTATATATATAGACAATACCTTACCTACACTCTGTGAAGACAGACTATATATATATACCTTAATTACATACCTATATATATAGACAATACCTTAATTACACTCTGTGAATATATACTATATATATAGACAATACCTTAACTACACTCTGTAAAGACAGACTATATATATAGACAATACCTTATTTACACTACACTATAAATACAGACAATACATTACTTACACTGTGAAATCAGACTATAAATATAGACAATACCTTACCTACACTCTGTAAAGACAGACTATATATATAGACAATACCTTAATTACACTCTGTGAACATATACTATATATAGACAATACCTTACCTAAACTCTGTAAAGACAGACTATATATATAGACAATACCTTATTTACACTCTGTGAAGACAGACTATAAATACAGACAATACATTACTTACACTGTGAAATCAGACTATAAATATAGACAATACCTTACCTACACTCTGTAAAGACAGACTATAAATATAGACAATACCTTAATTACACTCTGTGAACATATACTATAAATATAGACAATACCTTACCTACACTCTGTAAAGACAGACTATAAATATAGACAATATCTTATTTACACTCTGTGAAGGCAGACTATATATATAGTCAATACCTTACTTACACTCTGTGAAATCCGAATATATATATATATATATATAGACAATACCTTACTTACACTCTGTCAAGACAGACTATATATAGACAATACCTTACTTACACTCTGTGAAGGCAGACTATAAATATTTCAACACTATGTTTTATGTTAATCAATATTAGGACTGACCAGTAAAATCTCCAAAAAACCGTCTGCACACGATACGTAACAATGGGCGGATGTTCATCTTTCTCTCTTCCTTTGTCAGGGAGATTCCAAGTTCATCACACATTCTGGGTAGACACTCATCAACATCTCCAACAACCTAAAATAGATTGAAATGATGAAGTTTTAAGTAGCACGTCTTAATTTCAGGACATCCTACAAATGAATTAGTTTAATATAAATCTTGTTCATTCATATCTAGTCACAAACCAGAAACCTGCAATCAAACAACCCACACGAAACAATGCAGCGCTTTAAGTTCAGAATACTATGCAGAAATTACAAATATTCCATGCTTTACAGAAATGTTGTCTGGATCACTAAAACCCCATATTTACTGAAATGTTGTCTGGATCACTAAAACCCCATATTTACTGAAATGTTGTCTGGATCACTAAAACCCCATGTTTTACAGAAATGTTGTCTGGATCACTAAAACCCCATGTTTTACAGAAATGTTGTCTGGATCACTAAAACCCCATATTTACAGAAATGTTGTCTGGATCACTAAAACCCCATGTTTTACAGAAATGTTGTCTGGATCACTAAAACCCCATGTTTTACAGAAATGTTGCCAGGAGATTCCACAAAACTTCTCCGTCCTGTACTGTATGTAAATTACCTGTGAGAACAGTTTGTATAATGGCTCCAGTATAAACTCCACAAAACTTCTCTGACATGTACTGTTTGGTGGTTTCTTGGTAAACTTTCTCCTGTATAATACAAAACATGATTAGTTACCAAGTAGATATAATCACCACACAGATATATAAACAAGGAGAGGTAAGCAACTGTTTAGATTTGAGGGGCACACCTGACTTTTAAGACGGTGTCAGAGAATGGATGACTTAGGCCTAAGGTAACTAGAACTGTTATCCCTAGGTAGATAACAGTATCCCCTTCAGGTGGTTGTCACTTTGTCTCAAGTCACCTTAAAATTGTTGTGTCATTGAGAAGTGTTACTCACGTTTTACTATTGAAGTACATGTCTCCCCACAAACGCCTGGAAAACTCCTTCTCATTAATACCTCCTACAAAAACAAAAAATATTTACTGAAAAATCAGAATGAAGATTTTAACTCTTGAAGCCTGAACATCTGTTTTATCAATTCTCATGAGACATAAGTTGATGTGTGCGTGGTTTGTTTTATCTCTGTGTTACACATGGACATGAGTACCCATTAGAGACGGGAGCATGTTTAAACCCGACAGGAAAATGTCTACCAAGCCATTTCGCTATATATTTCCAATTCGTCTGGTCATAACTTTGTTTATACTTGGTCAGTCTCATTCCTCAAACATTTATTGCAAAGATAAGACATTTCACTTTATGGTAATGTATGTCTTACGAAGATATCTGACCCCCAGAATATTGAAAAACATCATTTCAAAAAATATGTTCAGCTTTTCCATGTTAGGAGTTACAAGCCTTGTCTCTATAATACATGTATATGGACCATGGGTCAGAAATTTATGCCAAGTCCCTGTGGGTGTTCCCTTCTAACCTGGCTATAACTAGCAATTTACAGAACCTTACCATACGTATCTCCATATATCCTAGCAAATGATCCAAGGGTGAAGCAGAATCTGTAGTAGGAACTCGCAAAACAAACATTTCCCAGCAATGGAGACACAGTCTTATTCGCTTCATCTTCAGCATAAACACTGTAACAGGCAGAGCATAAACAATTTCAAAATTATACTTAAAGAACACATCACAGTATTTCTTGCTTTTTGCTCTGAAATAGTAGATTTTAGGCAGGTGAAAATAGCAAGTTTTAATATTTTCACATATTTTTGACCAGATCACATTATTTGCAGTGAAAACATCAATTAATTTTTACCAAAGCATATTGTAGTACCCTCAGGAAAGAAAACATCAATTAATTTTTACCAAAGCATATTGTAGTACCCTCAGGAAAGAAAACATCAATTAATTTTTACCAAAGCATATTGTAGTACCCTCAGGAAAGAAAACACCAATTAATTTTTACCAAAGCATATTGTAGTACCCTCAGGAAAGAAAACATCAATTAATTTTTACCAAAGCATATTGTAGTACCCTCAGGAAAGAAAATATCAATTAATTTTCCCCGAGTGTATTATGGTACCCTAAGGAAAGAAAGCCTTGGCAGGCATTAAAAAAACATTGTCATGGTCACTCTGAATATAATTATTAGTATGTTGTATGTGCTTTTTTAACTTACCTCATTATAAAGTATTTGAGAACTTGTGTTTTAGATAAGAAATTACTTTATAATATCTGGTGGAGTTTGATATTTCAATTTTCTTTAGAAGTATTGGATGGATTTTTCTCAACTTTCTTGTGAAGATTCTATTTGGTCTCTAGCTGTGCACTTTTAAAATGAATTGGTTTACTGGCAGTCACCTTTGATTTTGATAAGGAAAATTTATCTCTTTTTCTCGAGAAGTACTGGAAAGTTTTTCCTGTGCAAAAACTAACTGAGTGATGAATGGAGTGATCATTCTCATATTTCATATGATGGTTTGATCAATTCACCTGTCGTTACAACAATTAGAAGAACAAGAGGAGAGAAAATTAAAGAAGGGAAACAATGCAACTCACAAAAAACTAATTAAGATCTTGCCATGATGTATTACTCCATCATTATTACTACACCAAACTGACATCAATAAGAGGTAAGAAATGAACCCTGGAGAGATCTAAAGAGTTCATCATGGTAAGATCTTAATTAGTTCTTTGTGAGTTGGATCTTTTCCCTTGCTTTATCTTCTCTCCTCTTGTTTGTTCTATTTGTTGTACTGACAGGTGTCAAAGACTGATTGACAACTGACCACGGACACAGGGTGATTTAGATAACCTGCCACCTCTAAGAGGGTAAAAACATTAAATGTTCCACCCATTGCCAAGAAGCATAACTATGGCTCGTAAGAATGTTATGAAAATTTTTAAGCAAGCAAGACCTTATGAGAGCATTGATCTCCTCTAGGATGTGTCGTAGCTTGAAATATGCATCTGTAGGCGGCAGTTTGAGCTCCAGTATCAGTCTGTCTACCTTATTGATACAAATGGTGACAGGAAGCTTTTCTTGTATGGCATGTTTAATGAGGCGCTCTGTGTTCAACATCACCTGTAAATGTGTATAGTGTCACATATATGACCTCAGTGATCACACAAAATATGTCAGTTGTCACATGTAAAAAAAATGAAGACAAAACACCTTAATTCCAACATACAAAGAAGTTTTAAAATATTCCCCTACTGGGCCTCTAATCTGTGACCTCCTGGGCAGACAGACCTATTGTTTATAAAAGTTCGCTTCATCCAAGGATGCATCAGACCAAATTTGAACAAAATTCAATTACTCCTACTCCTACAGCAGAAGGATTTTAAAGCATTTGCTAAATTTCCCATTTTGGGCCTTGCCTCTTAGGTCTCTAGGAGCCTAAACCCACCATATATACATAATAGTAAAATGCCTATTTTCACACATATTCAGTAACATTTCTTATTTCTAGCTTGTAATCTTATCATTTTATATTACCTAATTCTATTGTTTATTCCTATTTCCTATCCCTTCTTTCTCGCTATTTTTTCATCTCTATTTCACATTATTTATTTACCCCTTCTGCTGCATCCACAAACACCACCACACCGTCGCTGATCCTGAAGGCTGCCGTCACCTCGTCAGAGAAGTTCACGTGACCTAATAAATGTCAGAAAACATAACAGTGTTTGTAGGTGTTTACAGTTTTCTTGCAGTTTCCAAATAACTAGATGCCAATTTGAGGTTAACAGGTTTTATCTATTGTCAAAAAGAATTCATTATGAGTGTAAGACAAAAATGCCCCTCCCCTCAATGACATTCATGTTAAGTTGATGTTTTTCTCTAAATAGATATAGTTTTTGACAATTGAGCCCTGAACATGAACTCAATGAACATATTCTTTGTATCATCTTTCACTGTTCAACACAAATGAAGTTGAGTGATGCTGATTCTGGGAGAAACATTATGACCACTATAATATGACAAAGACATAATAATCTACTACAACATAGCATCATCTTTACATATCTATCCAGTTGATATCTGCGAGAGGACACTCACACAATGACTAGGCTTATCTGTCCTATATCAATATGATAAAAGACCGAGGAACATGGACAACAAAAAATATGAGGGATATCAACAGATAGTCGAATATTCATTCAATACGGCAGTATTCGAATAGGAAAATGATATTTAAATATTCGTTTTCACAATTGTGATATATCGTTGTTTGGAAGATTGTTAAATGTTCAATTTTCATTATGAAAATAATCTTGTCAGCTAAATCATAAAGGCCTATTGTCAAATGATCTGAATCACCCCTATCTAGGTAAGAACAGGATGTGAAATTAGTGTTATCTGTGTAATTATATGAATAGTGAAGCTATCTATACCATGAAGTGCTAAGTGTTATTATGAATATTTTTTTTTAAAAAGTCTATAAACTTTTAAATAACAATTCTTTTTTTCACAATTCTGAAATATAAGAGTATATGTTTATGTCTTCACATCTTACCATTTCTTTCGACATATTTCCATGCTATTATCACATTTTTACTGAGTATACAGTCCTAGAAATTGATCTCATTTCTTACAATTAATATATTCAGTATAACAAGGGTATGTGTTATGTTCATCTTATTGAAGATGTCTAGTCCCTGTAGGTATCTTTGTATACTGTATTGGTAAATTGTTACAGTAGAGTAGGCCTAGTGTGTACTGACTGCCCTTTTAGAGTGAAAGTTGTATACTGTATTGGTAAATTGTTACAGTAGAGTAGGCCTAGTGTGTACCGACTGCCCTTTTAGAGTGAAAGTTGTATACTGTATTGGTAAATTGTTACAGTAGAGTAGGCCTAGTGTGTACCGACTGCCCTTTTAGAGTGAAAGTTGTATACTGTATTGGTAAATTGTTACAGTAGAGCAGTGTGTACTGACTGCCCTTTTAGAGTGAAAGTTGTATACTGTATTGGTAAACTGTTACAGTAGAGTAGGCCTAGTGTGTACCGACTACCCTTTTAGAGTGAAAGTTGTATACTGTATTGGTAAATTGTTACAGTAGAGTAGGCCTAGTGTGTACCGACTGCCCTTTTAGAGTGAAAGTTGTATACTGTATTGGTAAATTGTTACAGTAGATTAGGCCTAGTGTAAACAAATCGTCAAATATTCAAATACTTAATCAAACTAATATTCAAATAGTAATTTCTATCGAACTTACATCTGTGATAAAAATATTTACCTGGTGTATCAAAAACATTCACAAGGAATGATTTCTTCTTGGAGTCTGGCAGAACCAGTGTAACAGGTGAGGCTTTTATACTGACACCTCTCTGTAACGAAAACAATATTGACAATAAGATATCTCTGTAACAGAAAAAACATTGACAGTAAGATCTCTGTAACAGAAAAAAACATTGACAGTAAGATCTCTGTAACAGAAAAAACATTGACAGTAAGATCTCTGTAACAGAAAAAACATTGACAGTAAGATCTCTCTGTAACAATACTGACACCTCTCTATAACAAACACTTACCTCCTGTTCTGTAAAGAGTGTGTCTGTGTAGCGAATCTGTGGAAACAAAACAAGTGTTTAAAACATGAAAAACATATATAAAAAATAAATAGTGATATGTATACATCTGTAATATGCTATAGTCTGCAAGCCATGTTTTAAATGATTGAAATAGTGGTACAGTTCAGACACATGTACTTGACAAATAGTGGTACAGTTCAGACACATGTACTTGACAAATAGTGGTACAGTTCAGACACATGTACTTGACTAATAGTGGTACAGTTCAGACACATGTACTTGACAAATAGTGGTACAGTTCAGACACATGTATTTGACAAATAGTGATACAGTTCAGACACATGTACTTGACTAATAGTGGTACAGTTCAGACACATGTACTTGACAAATAGTGGTACAGTTCAGACACATGTACTTGACAAATAGTGATGCAGTTCAGACACATGTACTTGACAAATAGTGGTACAGTTCAGACACATGTACTTGACAAATAGTGGTACAGTTCAGACACATGTACTTGACAAATAGTGGTACAGTTCAGACACATGTACTTGACAAATAGTGGTACAGTTCAGACACATGTACTTGACAAATAGTGATACAGTTCAGACACATGTACTTGACAAATAGTGGTACAGTTCAGACACATGTACTTGACTAATAGTGGTACAGTTCAGACACATGTACTTGACAAATAGTGGTACAGTTCAGACACATGTACTTGACTAATAGTGGTACAGTTCAGACACATGTACTTGACAAATAGTGGTACAGTTCAGACACATGTACTTGACTTTGTAAAGAAGCTTGTGCATCTTCCCATTCAGGTTTTGAATTTTTCTTTTTTCAGATTTTCCTCAGTTGCCACTTTGGCTTCAAACTTTAGGCCCTTGGCATCACTGATGAGTCCTAGCAGGACACAACATCTGTATGATGCAGTTTAGTTCATTGTTTGGCTCTACTGTATCTAACTCTAAATTTGTATTGAAAGGTGCTACTGACTTGTGTGTCTTTTGTACAATCTTCTCAAACATTGTTAAATATCAAATAGCTGTTACCGTGACATTCAACATGCATTCGTTCTAAAGACTTTTACATTCCATTATGAACCAACAGTATCATGTATAAAGAAATCAATCTTAAAACAATTTACAATATTAACGTTTCCATAACAGCTTTTTATATATGTCATATGTTTTAGTTCTCAATAAATACATCTAGGTTATGCCAAAAATTTGTAGAAAACAATAATGTTCACCCATCCCTGACAGAAGGAAACTTTAGCTTAGACAATAAAACAGATTAATTGAACAATATAAACATAATATACATTTCTTTATTATGCCTATATATATCTTACATCTTTGTCATCTTTGCCGTCGATTTCTGGGTGAGTCTGTGACACTAAACAGTCAACAAATGATGTCTGGAAGGAAAGAAACATTTACAGTTATATTTACGAACATGACAAGGCTGAAAAATACAGGGGAGATAATTCCATTAATTATGCATTAAGTTGTATTTCTCCAGATAAATAGTTTACTCATTAGGGTAAGAATCCACTGATATTGTTATAAAATATAAATAAACTCATTATAATTGTCACACATTATCACTTTCTATGACAAATTTGTTCCTACATAACAATGACTACATAAGCAGTCAACAGAGACTGTGATTAACTCTTCCATGAATTAGGGCGACATCTTTTAGACAACAAGCACCAAAATAAGATAAGTACAAAGATATACATGTTTACAGTGAGTGTGTGATATACCGACTACTAATGAATTTTGAAAACAATACAATGTAGTCAGTTAGTAACATTTTATTTCATACATGTAACATTTTGGTGGATTCCACGTGATAGTATTAAAGTAAATTTTTATGTATCGATACTCCAGTGTTAAAATTATAATTCAGTGGATTACAGTCCAAAACCAACAAACCACTCATCAAGATAAACCTATACATCAAGTATAAGGTTCTGATGACTAGCAGTGTAGGAGATTGAGCTAAGACAAACTTTTTTTATTAATTGTGTAAATCAAAAAGTATGTCACAGTGACCTACTTTCGATCTGTTTCATCAGGATGAACCCATATCCCAAGTTTAAAGGTCCAGTGATTAGTAGTGTAGGAGATAGGGCCTGTACAAGCTTTTGCTTTGATGTAGATCAAAGGTGAAAAGCATCAGCCATTTCAATATGTTGTAAAACAAATATTAATTTTGAAAGACTTGAATAATCAATAAATGTCAGATTTATAAATACCACCCTACATTAGATTGCACTTCATGTTTTTTTTAACCTAGTAGTAACTACCCTCATACAAATTTGCTATAAAACTGACAAATTCCACCTCTACCTGTATTCACAGCATCCTGTTGAAAAACATCTAGCTATTTGGTATTTTGTTTTGAACTTCTGCATGTCTATAAACGAAACAACTGTTCTCACCTTGCCATGATGAAGATGGCCACAAAGGGTGACATTTCTGATCAGATCAGGCGTATCCATCAAGTCAGCCAGGAACCTAAAAAAATGGGATTTTTTAAATTCCTGTGTAAAATTTATTGAGGAAATGTCAAAAGAGTTTTTATGTCTATAATGCAAGGACATCAGTTTACCTTTTCAAGCCCCACCTTGACCCCAAATGACCTCCTTTCATATATTCAGTCATGTTATATCCATAGCCATTCTTGATTAGTGTTTTCCTCAATAATCTATAACGAGTGAACTCTGACTCCTCCATGACCCATGTGACCTTGTGAACCTGATGTGAACAAACTGAGTTTCAAAATTTTGGTAAATCTCCATAAAGGTTTCAAACAATGACAAAATTTCTATTCTGACAATTCTTGGTCTTACGATGTATTTTCACACCCCTTCATATCCCTATAGGAAGAGACCTTAAAATTTTACAATTCAGAATTGCCTTTCCCCAAGGACGCTGGAGACCAATTATAGCTGAAATATATAAACCTACCAATTTTACAGATGTCAGAAATAGTCCTTTCCAATGTAAACTATCTAATTGTAAACTTTACCCTTTCATTAGGAGCATTGTATAGAGAGGTGAGAGGGTGGGGTGGGTTTAGGGTATTGTATAGAGAGGTGAGAGGATGGAGGGTTGGTTTAGGGTATTGTATAGAGAGGTGAGAGGATGGAGGGTTAGTTTGGGGTATTGTATAGAGATGTGAGGGGTGGGGGTTGGTTTAGGGTATTGTATAGAGAGGTGAGAGGGTGGGGGTTGGTTTAGGGTATTGTATAGAGAGGTGAGGGGGTGGGGGTTGGTTTAGGGTATTGTATAGAGAGGTGAGGGGGTGGGGGTTGGTTTAGGGTATTGTATAGAGAGGTGAGAGGGTGGGTTGGTTTAAGGTGTTGTATAGAGAGGTGAGAGGGTGGGGTTGGTTTAGGGTATTGTATAGAGAGGTGAGATTGTGGGTTGGTTTAGGGTATTGTATAGAGAGGTGAGAGGATGGAGGGTTGGTTTAGGGTATTGTATAGAGAGGTGAAAGGTGGAGGATTGGTTTAGGGTATTATATAGAGAGGTGAGGGGGTGGGGGTTGGTTTAGGGTATTGTATAGAGAGGTGAGAGGGTGGGGGTTGGTTTAGGGTATTGTATAGAGAGGTGAGGGGGTGGGGGTTGGTTTAGGGTATTGTATAGAGAGGTGAGGGGGTGGGGGTTGGTTTAGGGTATTGTATAGAGAGGTGAGATTGTGGGTTGGTTTAAGGTATTGTATAGAGAAGTGAGAGGGTGGGGTTGGTTTAGGGTATTGTAAAGAGAGGTGAGAGGATGGAGGGTTGGTTTAAGGTATTGTATAGAGAAGTGAGATTGTGGGTTGGTTTAGGGTATTGTATAGAGAGGTGAGAGGATGGAGGGTTAGTTTAGGGTATTGTATAGAGAGGTGAAAGGTGGAGGATTGGTTTAGGGTATTGTATAGAGAGGTGAGAGGATGGAGGGTTGGTTTAGGGTATTGTATAGAGAGGTGAGAGGATGGAGGGTTGGTTTAGGGTATTGTATAGAGAGGTGAGAGGATGGGTTGGTTGGTTTAGGGGATGTATTAAGAGATGTGGGGTTGGGGTTTGTTTTGGGGATGTATTGAGAGCCAAACAACTTACTCCATGTTATATACAGTCTCTGGTAAATCTTGCTCCACCATGGAGAATTTCTTCTTCTTGACTGGAGCTATGATTGGCTCTGTAGATTAAAACAATAAGTTGTGTAAGTAGTACTAGACCTGTTACCTAGATATATCTGAAGGATGTATAAAATTCAGCTGCCAAAAATTTCTAAACTTCTGTTCTGGGGGTGATTTTGTGACAAGCTAGATGACAGAAAGTAATTTAAAAGCCTGACATCAACTACGCCATCACCAAATGTACTCCACAGGAAAAATATAAGGTTATATCAATCGCTCTACTCGGGGGAAGAAATTATTTAACTATTGGTAACAAAGTATATCAAAATGCAAGAGTCTATGATATTGTGTTTGAATTTTTTTTGTGTTGCCTTATTACTGGTCAAACATGAGCTTCCTTAGCTAAAATATATATATATATATATATATATATATATATATATACAATCTTGTATTACACATTGTCAAACCAAAGGCATAGTATGATACAGTTGCTCCAAATTTTTAGCAAAATACTATTCATTAAGTGTTTGAATAGCCCTTTGAGAGAGCAGGTGGTAAGCATTGCTGGTGGACTTCCTACATATCAATTTATTCCAATGGTGGCACATTGCATAATATGCACATGTACTTGATATTATTTTGTAATCCTCCAATATTGAAAATCATAAAATTCATTGAATTAAGGGCTAGTGCACCTCCCAATCTAGATTTTGTCCAATATCTTGTTCTTAGTGTTGATACTGATCAAACAGAATTTTATCACTCACCGGTTAGCGGCTGTGTATCTTCTTCTTGAACTATGGTCTGAAAAGAAATGAAATCTGTTGGAGTCAGAAATTATTAAAGTCCTTTAGTTCTTCATGGCTTTTAAATCTGTAACCACCGATATCTAAATGTATTCACAAACAAAAAAACAAGGAGTCCAGTATTCATATCAGGGTAGTGATACTACACTGAAAAGATAAACCCCTTCAATCAAAATCTGGTCTCTAAAATTACCCCCCACTTCACTCTCCTGACCCCCAAATGTCTTTTTGATTTATCTATGAGGTATTTACTTAAGTATTACATTCAGTACTGCATATATGTAATTAATGAAAAAGAAAAGTGCCCACCATTAGATCACCTGTTTTGGTCCTTTATCTAGGAGATCTGATCTTGGTGTACACTATCGTAGGATCTTGTTAGATCTATCTACATATCACAGATCTCAGAAAGGTCTAAAACAACCATCACACGATCATTATTAGTTCTAATTTAGGACTTTATCAGTCAAGAGATCCCAGAAAGATCTTGGTAACCCATGATAGACAGACAGACCATTGATGAAGAATGATAAAAACAAACCACATCAAATGATCTTTATTAGTTCTGTATACACAAGAGATCCCAGAAAGATCTTGGTAACCCATGATAGACAGACAGACCATTGATGAAGAGTGATAAAAACAAACCACATCAAATGATCTTTATTAATTCTGTATACACAAGTGTTCCAGAAAGTCATGGTAATCCATGATAGACAGACAGACCATTGATGAAGAGTGATAAAAACAAACCACATCAAATGATCTTTATTAGTTCTGTATACACAAGAGATTCCAGAAAGATCTTGGTAACTAATGATAGACAGACATACCATTGATGAAGGGTGACAAAAACAAACCATCTAAGGATGATTTAATACAGGAAATTTTACAATGAAACTTACCCCCACGTAAGGGTCATAAAATTTTGACTTTGTGAAACGATGATACAAAATGACATTTACTTCCACTTCAGAGCCATAAATCCTTTTAAACTGTGTGAAAGAATGAAACAAAAAGACACTTACCTCCACTTCAGGGCCATAAACCTCTTCAGCTGTAGGGTAATACTTTTTGTCTTCATGAAGTACAACTTGCATCTCTGGTACGTCGTCAGCATCATCAGCATCCATATCCTCATCTTCCTGTTACAACATCAAAGACAAAAACTTGTTATAAGCATAATCTTGTAGATACAAGTAAAATGAACTTCACTTCATTTGGAAAGTCTCATTGCATTTTCTTTGTTTTTATTCATCATTTTCAGTACATCTTCCCCATTACATCCAACCAATAGTGTGCTTGTTTACTTTCAGTAAACAGTTCTCATATTGACAATATCATGGTCAATGTGTAAGACAATGTTTTGCTCTCTATGTCAAACAATATTATGCTCACTGTGTGAGACAAGATTGTACTCAATGTGTAATACAATATTGTGCCCAGTGGAATACAACATGTTGCCCTTTTTTAAATGTATTTTCTACCTTTAAGAAATTCAAACCTTTCTGTGATTCAAGAAATTAATAACTATACATATATATATTACGTAAGTAAACTCACATCAGCTCCATATTCACCGAAGTGTTCCTCTCTCTCCTCATCACTGTCCTCATTATCATCATCATCGCTGTCCAGTTCTGGACCGATGTAGTTACCAAATTCATCATATAACTCCTGATCCATCTTTTTAGCTGCTGATACAAAAATATATTGAACATGATATATCAACGAGAATACTACTTAATACGGCACATGTCAATTTGAATTATGATAAATTAGTGTTGGATGTACGACACAACATGAGATTTACAATCAGTCTTTTTTCTCGTCCAGCAGGCAATTAAGCTTGGCTGAATAAAATCTTTAGATCAATTTCAACCAAAAAATCTAAATATATTTACCCTGTCCCAGTTGTCAACGGATTCAAGCGTCAAATACAAAAGAAATTCTCAGTTTTGCGTATTTTGTTTTTTTCAAAATCATCATTCAGTCTATGAATAAATAAAGATAACCCATAAACTTCTTTTCACGATGGTCGTCTGAAGTGTGATCAATGAAAGTAGAAATGTCAGACATGAAAAATTATTTGAATTTTATGAAATTAAAGTCTTTATGCGAAATATTAACGCTCTCTGCTCGTATAGCCATGACAGCAGAGCCAAATCAGAGAGCTTTACTCTGTTATCATATGTCTTAGTAGATAAATCGATCGACAGTTAGATTTATTAGGCATGCACAATATATTTTCTTGTGTTAAATATGTTACATTATATGATTTCATGAAGTAAACAACCGCCTTCACAATAGTTCTTACCACATGCGTCCACCGGAAGCGTTTCCTTTGCGTTCTGCGAGGTCTGTAACAAGCTCAAGCGTCTCGATGACTGGAGTTTCTAATAAAGGAAGAGAGTACCGTGGCTGTATAAATACGGATCCAAATGTAAATACATGTAGTTTACAACTAATATCATATTAACCAATTTTGTTCTGTAGTAGTAAACATTCGCTTTCGACATAAAAGAAAAGTCACAATTGGTGTACATCGCTCACGCGGTGGTGGTTTTTAATGACTTCAAAATGAGTCTACACCAAATTATTTTTCTGGGAGACAAATTTGGCACGTGGAGCATTGAATATGGAAGTAATTTCTATTTTGCAAACACTTTCCAGCTCTTGTTTAACACAAAATTTATACATATTACATCTCATTGTTAATCAGAAGCTATTGAATATTTCACAACTTTGCTGAAGATAGGCCTGAGTCCGTTTTGTTTACAAACTTTGTTGAAGATAGGCCTGAGTCCGTTTTGTTTACAAACTTTGTTGAAGATCGGTCAGAGTCAGTTTTGTTTGTAAACTTTGTTGAAGATCGGCCAGAGTCAGTTTTGTTTACAAACTTTGTTGAAGATCGGCCATGGTTTGTTTTGTTTGCAAATCGAACATCATGCTCCTTGGCATTTGGGTTTATCAGATAAATCCATTTGAGTGTTTCAACTTTTTAAGATTCTTTGCATACGTGACTATGAATTTTGGTCAATCTTTGCCATGCTTCATCCCAGGGTCCTACCAGACAGTTATCTTGGTTCAAGGCTTTTTGTTTTAGCAACAGAAGTAGATAAAACATTTAAAAAAAAAAACAAATTTGGCACCTTTGACCTTGATTATGTGACACGCTCATTAGGTTATTTCAAATTGAAAAAAAAAAAACAAAAGGGATTTTGTGCCGTGACTCTGAACTCCTTACTCCTTTCAGTACATAATCCAGTCATTTTTCCCAGTTCCTGAGTTGTGTACATGTTGCCAACTAATATTCTGAACTCGATATCATTCCCTGTAGATTTCACTCTACAATATCCATCAACCCTGATCACTTTCACAAAAATCTCCCCGATCTTTACTTCCATACCCACCCATTCACACTATTTTCACAAATTACTACCCAATTTTCTATACTTTACTTATCAACCTCGTTCTTTTTGTGAAAGTCTCCAGTCACTTTTTCTACACTACCAATCAACCTTCTTAATCTAAGCTTCCCTGATTTAAACTACCATACCCATCAACACTTGTGAATCCCACCAATGTTCTCTACCTTATCCGTCAACCCTTGTGAGTCTCATCAATGTTCTCTACCTCACCCATCAACCCTTGTTCTCTACCTGACCCATCTACCCTTGAGAGTCACGCCAATGTTCTCTACTTCACCCATCAACCCTTGTGAGTCTCACCAATGTTCTCTACTTCACCCATTAACCCTTGAGAGTCTCGCCAATGTTCTCTACCTCACCCATCAACCCTTGTTCTCTACCTCACCCATCTACCCTTGAGAGTCTCGCCAATGTTCTCTACCTCATCCATCAACCCTTTTGAGTCTCACCAATGTTCTCTACTTCACCCATCAACCCTTGTGAGTCTCACCAATGTTCTCTACTTCACCCATCAACCCTTGAGAGTCTCACCAATGTTCTCTACTTCACCAATCAACTCTTGAGAGTCTCACCAATGTTCTTTACCTCACCCATCCACCCTTGTGAGTCTCACCAAGGTTCTCTACTTCACCCATCAACCCTTGTTCTCTACCTCACCCATCTACCCTTGAGAGTCTCACCAATATTTTCTACCTCCTCACCCATCAACCCTTGTAAGTTTCACCAATGTTCTCTACTTCACCCATTAACCCTTAATATTTTCATGCATGTTTCCCCATTATTTTTTTCATTTTGACAAGGCGAATTACGTTGTTGTCCGTATGTTCGTCAGTCAGTTAATCCATCTGCCTGTTGTAAATTTTAATTTTTTTCATTACTTGTTTAGAAATATCCTCCCTCATTTTTCAACCAATTATTTTTAAAACTTGGCAGTTTTTTTCGGAATGGCAGTTTAGTTTTGACTGTATTTGGGAGAGTTACTGCCCCTTATTATTTTATGATGTTGATCTTGTCCAGATATTTCCTCTCTCAGGTTTCCATCGATTTCTTTGAAACTTGGTAGACTCAATCAACACGACATGAAATAGTGTCTCCCTCCACTGAAGTTTGATTCAACAATTTTTGAAGGAGTTATTCCCCATTGCTTTTTTAGCATTTAAATTTTATATGGAGATTCCTTTCCTCAGTTTTACATTGGTTTCTCTTTCTCTTAAACTTGGCTTTATAACTGCGAAATCTTGTTTGTCGGACTGACAATGTAATTTCACATTTTCAGGAAGAGTTATTGCCCTTTTTTACATTTCTATTCCGTCCATATATCTCCTCCCTCAGGTTTAACTGTCTTTGAAAGTTCCATAGATGCCACTAAGCTAAATATTGGTGGAAACCTCACTATCATCAGTGAAATCCCTCGGATTTTTACTATTTCACCTATCAACTTTCTAAAAAAAATATATATTCTTTTTTAAGGGTTCAAATTGTTGTTTTTTTTTCATCAATTTTCCAGCAAAAAATAATTTGGAGGGATGCAAGGTTGGGACACTGGGTTCATCCTTGATCTACACTGAAGATTTTTTACTGAAATTTAATTAGTACATTGCCAAAACTGTAATAACATCACATCAATATTTCGACTTGTTAGAAAATACACAGATTTTGAATCGGTGTTGCACCACAGAATTTTTCCCTGCTATTTAAATTTCATAAAGTTGACAATTTCTAAAATCTGAATCTACTGAAAAGAAAAGATCCAGACATAATAAAAAAAGTAAACAAAATAAGACTGTGTGAATGTCTTTATTCTGATGAATCCTATCATGTTTGTGTAATACATAGTTTGGTTATATACTTTTTTTTTTGGAATACTTTCTTTGGGTTGGTAATACCAACTGAATAAAAGTTCTTATAATACATCCGGTAGAAAAATTTGATTTTGGATAAAAATGAATCAGTGATTTACAATATCACCAACAGAAACACAGGTAATTACCAAAAACTGATAAGTACAGAGCACCTTGGGATAAGACCTGAGGCCAGCACTTTTATCTCTGTTTAAAAGTCAGGTAATGGGCTTATAAAAGGATAATGAAATAGCCTCTGTATAACATTCTTCAGAGAAGCATGAGTGGGTGTCAGATAAATATGGAAGCTTTCATTTTAAACAGAAACTTTCTGCTTAGGGATATTTGATGTTTGTATAGCGCTGTTCTGGGCTGACATAATACCCAAAAGATGACAACAAAGTGGAAACAGTAGGGAAAATCTTCTGTCTTACAAAAGTCTTTCCAAAGATGTTCAAGTCCACAGAATTACAAATCTATTTCATTCACCTGCAAAACCCATCACTAACTTTGAATCAGAATTCCAAATACTTTATCATGCATTTCCCTGAATTAATTTCTCTATATACATCAATCAGACTGAAAAACAAGAGTATCTGTAATGAAACACATTTGGAATGTTTTAAATGCTACCAGTAATTGAACACGAGTATAGGGCAGTATATAAAGCATTTCTCTAATCACACCAATCATCAGTGTGGGCAAATCCAATTCAGCATTTTAAGTTTTTGTACACTACATTGAACTCTGTAGTAATTAACGATGAAACAATTCATCTCAATTGATACATATATATATATATATATATTTTGCATCCCAATTAAATTTTTGATATGCCTTGGCTATATCAGTTTGATAGAGTACACCATTAAGTATAAATCCCTCAAAACAGATCTATTGTAACAATCACCTCCTAACTGTCATATTGTAAATGATTTATATATTTTTTTTTATTACAAGCCAAAAAGACTGACACTCTTTCATTTGTTTAATTTGTTGGTTATTGGTAGGTAAGTGTTAAAACTACACTTTAAATTGCTACCTTGTATTGATAAGTGATTGCATGGTAGTCGATATTGAAAAATGTGTATTGTAATGTCATCCTACCTGACCCAAAACGTATCATTTCCACCCAAATAGTAATACCCTCATTCTGTACTTATTCCTACTTACAGTACACAATATATCTAATCACGGACTTCAACATAAAACAGGTATGCAACTGATTATGATCTCCACTTGTATTGTACACCCTTAGTGTTTGTTTGTACAGGGAAGCATGACTTTGTGCTGCCTAAAATCAAGTTCTAATTTACCTGTATTGTGCCTGCATACCTTTTGTACATTAGTTTCTGGCATAAGGAAACCATGCCACTATGTGTATGTAAGTCTGTGATCAAGTGACTTCCAGACTTCATCAAATTTTTTGACTAGATATCTAAGGTTGAAAAACTTTAATTGAAATGCACCTCAAACTATTATATGTATAAACTATGTTTGAACTTTGGTTCAATAACATGTAATTAAATCATGAGATTAATAACAATATTTCCAAATTACACATTTCTCATTAAAATATGTAGAAAATTGAAAACTGGTGTTCGACTTTGTGGTATGGATAAATCAGAATTTTAAGTTTATAAAAGTTAAAAAAAAAAGATACTATACTGCATGCACAATACTGCCTTTTGTATTAAAATATATCAAATGCTAAGACTACATCTAAGTCAGTGTTAAGATATGAATTTTCAAGGGAAGCTTATACAAAAAAATATAATCCTCTCATACATCAATTATCTCCCTTTACTCAAACTCGTACTTTGATTATCTCCCTTTACTGAAATTAAACTACAATTTCTATAGATTAAATACGTCTATGAAATAAAGAGACAGACGGTATTGTAGAGTTGAGAGTTTGGCCTATAATCTAGTCCAAAGTAACATGTAGTTTAACCACTGCTATACATTGGAAGCACTTACAATGATGAAATGGAAGTGATGTTTATAAATGGAAAGTACAAACTTGCAGACAACCTTACAACCTTTCATATTTCATAGTAAAGATCTGAAGAAGATGAAAATCAACAAAAACAACAGAAGTAAGAAACAAATACAGACAAAACCCAAAATAGAATGTTTATACCAGTCAACTGGAATTGTCTCACAATCTTGTTGTATCTGTCTTTACTCATTCTCTGTATTTTCTGCTGTAGAGATATAAAATCAACAGATCTAAACGTTAGGTATTGGGACATAAATGACTAGAAGTAACAATATCTAAACAAATATATAGAGTATATATATTAGTTATGCACCAAAATAAAACATCCCAACATTAAAATTATTGAAAAAATTGATTGGAAAATAATCTAAGCAAACAATTTAACTGTTCAGCTGAAAGCACTTTCAAAAATGTTTCAATGGAGAATGAAGAAAAATGAACTAAATCTTATATCTCCTCTGTTTCTCCTTCAACAAGGCAAAGTGATAGATAATATGAGGACTTTTTTCTGACAATTTTCATAAAGGCTACGAAGGTTTTTAGGGGACTTTTTTACTATAAAAGCTTCACAGTGATTGTTTACAATATTAAAATCTTACAAAGACAAACCTTTAGACCGAAGTGATTGTGCAAAGTTCCAAACAGAAGGAAAAGATAGTTTGACATTATTACAGGGAAAATCCTACATAATCTACATACTGTATACCCTAAAACAATAAGTACTACCAGTTATACCTATAAGACTGCAGCACCATATGAAAAATGCCCCTTACAATGTCTGCATCTCTGCATCTTCAAATATATTATAACACTGATATTCTAAAATTAAATTAGCACTCATTATAACTCGTCATGCTTTGGTCCGCTGAACTCTTCATGCGAGATAAATCCATCTTTGTCTTTATCTTCATGTTCAAAAATAGATTTAATAACGTCTTGATGTTCCTTAGGGTCCAAATCTGTGTCAGATCCTGCCTCCTTCGCTTGGTCTACCATGAACTGAGACACCTATTAAAAGAGAATTATAAGGTACATAGAATCAAACATATATAAACCAGAGGATCTAAAATGAGTTTTCATTTCCTATCAAAGAACATGAAACCATCCTCAATACTCCAAGGGATACGTTCACTTTCACTCTCTGCACCCCTGGAGCCACCCTAAATACTCCAAGGGACACGTTCACTTTCACTCTCTGCATCCCTGGAGCCACCCTAAATACTCCAAGGGTTATAGTCACTTTCACTCTCTGCACCCCTGGAGCCACCCTAAATACTCCAAGGGTTATAGTCACTTTTACTCTCTGTACCCCTGGAGCCACCCTAAATACTCCAAGGGTTATAGTCACTTTCACTCTCTGTACCCCTGGAGCCACCCTAATACTCCAAGGGTTATAGTCACTTTCACTCTCTGCACCCCTGGAGCCACCCTAAATACTCCAAGGGTTATAGTCACTTTCACCCTTGGAGTATTTAGGGTGGCTCCAGGGGTGCAGAGAGTGAAAGTGACTATAACACTTGGAGTATTTAGGGTGGCTCCAGGGGTGCAGAGAGTGAAAGTTATCATAACTCTTGGAGTATCAAGGATGGATCCAGGGGTACAGAGAGTGAAAGTTATCATACCCCTGAAGTATTGAGGATAATATGTCATAACTTTCTTGTTTTAACTGCTAAATAATTTTGTTTTAATTGCATTAAAATTAATATCAACTTTCAAAATCAGTGTTTACTAATAGCTTTAAATTTGTTTCTATTCAGTACTACAGACAAAACCTTTTCAGCGCTGCTAGTTTAAGATTACATCTAAATGAACAAATAAACATCAATTATTGGGTTTTGTTTCCTTGATCAACTAATTTCCAATTGTTTTCATTTATTAGCCCATCATTAGCGTAAATCGTGCCCTGTCCATTATCACAATACCTCATCCTGGGATAGGGCATTATCACCATCTGTGTCAATCTGTTTGAAAATATTCTGAGGAGGGGGCCCATCTTCAATCTTTTCAAGTTCCACATCAAATACTAAAGTTGCCTTTGGAGGGATCTTGTCTCCTAGAAACAGAATCATCCAACAGATTAAATATAAACCAAATATATACTTTCTACCTTGCTAACAAGCGATACTTTTGTTTTTTACTATAATCCTGAATTCCAATTCAGACACGGACATTTAATAATCAACAATGTAATTTATCCAAATGAAAAATTTCTCACTAATATCAGTAAAAATGAAATAAATGTAACCCAGTAAATACTAGTTGCAATGTACTACTTGGCTAGATAGAACTCTTTAGCTCAGTTGGTTGAGCATTAGACTAGTAAGCCCAGAGGTCCTAGGTTCAAATCCTTACAGAAGCAATGAAGTAAACTTTGACTTTTGTTACATCCAAATTTGAAAACTTAAGATGGGAATGGAGCTTGGAATCTGTCGTATTTTAACAGAGACAAATTTCTCATCAAATTTCATTATCAGCATCATTTAATCCATTGAAAATATCCCATAATTCCTATAGTTACAGTGTCCTGTTATCACATACCAGCACCCTGGTCCCCATAACCAAGGTGAGGTGGGATGGTCAGTCTTCGTTTCTCCCCTACACACATGTCCTCTAGACCAATCTCCCAACCCTTGATCACTTGACCAATGCCCATCTGGAACTGGAAGGGTTGTCCATGGTCATGACTGAAACAAAAGTTTAAAAATACTGACCATAAGCATTGAAAAATAATGACATACACTAGCACATGTGATCCTATTGATGGACAAGGCTATTTCTTGTGACCAGTTCTGTACATATACTAGCTACATGTATTTATCATCAATATTAAAGATTTGCTAATAAAACTTAAACTTAGTCCATCATAATATCAGGGACGTATAATACTAATAAATATATCTGAGTTGAAAAAAAGATGTTTGTAAAGCTTATCAATCTTGATCGTGGCCTCAAATTCATACAATTCTTAGCATTAATTTTAAAAGCAGGTGAGTCACCATACTTATTTAAAAACGGGGTCCTAAATGGACAGTTTTATTTCATACGAAATTTCAATGAAAGCATATCGAGTCCACGTAAACATTAATTTGATAATCAATATATTTAACCTTTGATCAATCTTGCGAAAGTAATAAAATAACTGATGAATTTGACTACAACTACATCATAGGAACACGTAAAGTGTAAACTCCCGTTTATATTGTCAGAAATTTAACACGACGAGAATTTTTGACAGGTACCGTGTGATCAACCATCGCGATCACACTAAAACCTCATATATTCATCAAACTTTGAACATTCGTCTTTTTTAAGTTTCGCATGGCTTTACCTCGAGTCAAATTTTGTACCGTCTTTGAGGTACCCAGTGTAGTGCATAGACAACAGATCGTTTTTCTTCGTCTTCCTCTCGCAGTCTTCGGGTATCGCTACCTTGTCTACTTTCAATTCAGTGACATCTTCAACCCCGGATGGAGGACCAGGCTCCGAATCGGCTGCAAATACAGCACATATGCACATAAATAGCACCAGTGAGGTGGCAGCCATATTGGAGATACTTGTCTCTTAACAGGCAACTGAACAATAGCTGTATATCTATCACACGCTGAACTGTAAGTAAGGTAAGTTTGGAAACGTGGCACTACTATATGTTACTTGTAAAACACCTGCGGAAATGACCCGAACAATTGACCTTTTGTTTCCTGCGTTCTGACTGGTTGATTATAAATAGAAGCAATACACGTGGACATAAATATGACAACAGGGATCTTGTCTGTTGATTGATAGACGTGAATGTTAATCATTGTGACTGTTAGGTACACGTCAGAGCCTCAGTGTCAATATAGGCACGTGACAGTTTTTGCTTGAAGTACAGGCTGTACGACGCTTGTGGTATTTGGTCATATTTAATCATTGATAAAATTTTGCATTTGAAATCACGGAAATCTTCTCAATGATCTTGGAAACATGGCTTTTTTGGGTGAAAAATGCAAAAATAAGGCTTAATCAAAGTACTGAAAATACTGAGAGGCTAAACGTATTGAAAAATGTTCACAAATAACCGCTAAGCTGTATTACTTTCACCATACTCCTACACTTTGGAATGCAAAAATTACTAAAATAAGAGAACCAGAGGCTATTTTTCTTAATTTTAAGCGATTTGATATCTTCTTTAATTCTTCTTTCAAATTTGACGACAATAAATACATCAAAATAGGTAAAAATGAAAGTACTGAAAGGCTAAACGTATTGAAAAATGTTCACAAATAACCGCAAAGCTATATCACTTTCCCCATACTCCTACACTTTGGAATGCAAAAATTACTAAAATAAGAGAACCAGAGGCTATTTTTCTTAATTTTAAGCGATTTTATATCTTCTTTAATTCTTATTTCAAATTTGACGACAATAATGTGAACAAATCAAAATAGGTAAAAAAAAATAACAAAATACACACAACCATATATTTATCGCCAACAAGCCAAATGATTAATAGCTCTATGATGAAGTTGACTAAATAAAACCTTTGAAATACCCAAGATGTTGCAATTACTATCCTATCAATATGAGGATTTAGACAAATCGAAAGGACTTTATACCTACTTCTTTATTTTGAATGTATTGCAAAGTAATAGTCCTTACTTACTGTAATTATATTTGTAGTTGAGGAAAGTAGATAAGGTGTACAAAGCATTTCAGATAGATTAAAGTGTAAGTAATTACATTAAATGTATTTACATGCCTATCTTCCTAGAAGTATCATGGTTAGACTTTTCTTGCAGTAATTATGTCTATAAAGACATAGTTCTTTGAGATTAAACCAGACTTCCATATATATACAAAATTTACAATATTTTCACTATAGCTACTACTATTTCTGATCTCCAATGCATTAGATAATGTCACCATGACACGCTAAATGAATAAATATGTTATGGAAATATTTCGTTCTAGTCAATTGATAATTATAAACATGAATATTTGGGGTTTTTTTTATACGCGCTTTGTTTGAAGAAATATTTTCAATTCAAGGAACTTTGATACACATTAACAAACTTTGAGAAATCAGCACAATCAACCTTCATCAAATAAAACTAAAAGACAAAAATATAAGTTATGACAGAGTCAACATCATGATCAGTACAGTATTAAAAATATATTATTCATAAATCATGAGCACCAGGTAAAGTGATGTTATATATTAAGACGATCTTGCCACAACGACAAGGATTAAAACAAAACTGGTGTTCTGTTTGTAAGTTTTGTTTGTTTATAAGTGCTGTTAGTTGATAATTCAAACTAAGCCCCCAGACTAGCTTCTTATCAACTCGCACGTACAGTGTTCTGTACGCTTACGTCATATCGAGAATTCCGTAAAATATATTGTTCAAAATTTATCAATAGTTCAACCACACTGTGCTTCTCTTTTTTTTGAAATATATAGTAATCGTATTGTTATTTTGAAAAAATAAACTAATTTTGGATGCTTTTAAAATAGCGATTTGAAAAATCGCGGCATTATTTACGCAGAAAATTGCCGCTAGAGGGCTCTAACTCTTTTCGATATTTCAGCCAATGAGAAGGCAAGGATCGGTAAATTTTGTCTGAAAGGCCGTAGCAATACGTGTAGCCTAAAAATGATTCTGTAGAATTCTTGTAGATGCGTCTGTAACATCACAAATTGTACGTAAATTATTGTTTTCTTCCGCTAGCTAAACTGCTACTCTATGTCCAGTCGGTGACTGTATTTCGGAGTTCAAAGTATTAGGTGTTGTCTGACAAATGTGTTAAACGTGGATGATTTATGACTGTATAACACGTTAATACAGACTTAGATATATTGCTCTATAGTTCTATCACGGACTTATAATAGTCTATATGGCCAAATATGTGGTTCTATAAGTCTTTGATGTTGTTTTTCACTGATATTATGATATCATATTCGAAACATCAACTGCATATCACATCATTGTCCGATGTGGATGCTTTTGGTGCGTCTTAAAATGTTCAACATACAAATGAAGTCGATTTAAAGCTCTCGGCCTCGCTGTCAAGCTCTTATCATTGGAATGAAACAAAGGGCTATAACTCTTGGAGATTAAAATGAGGACACACTCAAGGTGAGGTTTTCTAAATAAAATTTCTGAAATGTATGCATCTTATTAGTAAATTAAAAAAAACCTTCAATACAAATTGATCAAAATGTTTGATCTAAGATGAAAATTAGTTGCATTATTTTTTAATTGAAACTTACAAACAAATCTCCTTCATAGCAGGGACGTAGATAACGTATAGTATTACCAAATTTTGAACAAAACGAAGTTTTGACAACTACAATACGAAATAAAAACATTTCTTTATACAAATCTCAAAACGCATGCCTCAAACTATCAAATACAGTAACATTTCAACATGTTGATACAACAGATATGAAATACAAGTCAATGGTTTCATTTTTAGGTAAAAATTGAAGCTGTATAACTTCACCCGTCACGGAAAAGTCCCATCGCTGAAACTGAATGCAAAACACGCCCTGTTTACTTTAAAAAGTTTGACTTATAATATATATGTGTAATAATAAATACTCTTTTCCTGGTTAAAGTAAATTTTACAGTGTCGAAATACCGAATTCCCGAATCAAAGGGATATGCAGTTTACGGCTGACATTTGTAACCATTGGTGTAAATATATACTGTCGTAACCATTAGTGTAAATATATACTGACGTAACCATTGGTGTAAATTATACTGACGTAACCATTGGTGTAAATATATACTGACCGATTAACTTATAGTAAATAAAGCAAAGTTACTGGACAGTCTAGAATTATTGAAAATATCTATAACTAAAAACTATAAACTTTATTTATTTGACAACATTTGCGAAACAAGTTATTTCAACTTATACTAATCACTCTTGAAAATATCTATATAATATGTTGACGTTGAACTTTGCAGTCATTTTATCAGGAAGTGTACGACGCAGGCATGATTATAATAGATGTATTCATTATTCATTTTGTTTTGTCTGGCTTCAGAATTGTTTCAGGTAATTTCGCGAAATCCAAGGAGGTACGACGATCTGTCCTGAGAGCACAATAACAAATCAATAATTTATTTTGTTAATTTATTCACGAACTTCACTGTAACTCACATAATTAAGAGTTATTGGCGAGATTTTCAGGATAAAATGCATAAGAAGTGATTCCGTAAAATTCGAAGCTTATTGTTTTGTTGTTTGTTTTTCAATTGTTTCGCAGTTGATATTTATCTTTCTACTGCTTATTGTTGTAATCAGTTCTGTACCGGTTACTGTCAGTCGAAGCATTCAGTAGGTTATAGCAATTGTTGTACTTGCCCCTGGCAAGTTCAATTGATTTCTTTGTATACTTACTGAAATTGTGCGTGAAAACATAAAAGACATGGAGACGACGACGAGAATTAGCCAATGGAAGTGATGACTATTGTACACACCTGTCCAAGTACACCGGGCTCTCAAGTGGTGACTATGATACTCAAGGTCACTGATTATTTAACTTGAAACCTTACGGCTTATATACATTTTCACGTCGTCAGAGAATCGTCTCTAGTCGTTTGGACAATGCCCGGCAACAGGCAGAGTCACGGAGACGAAAAACCATCATCATCATTATCACCATCATCATCATCTGGCTTATATGCATTCATAGCAAAAGGTATCATTGGAACCGTCTTACATACGATTACTTACAGTACGTAATACAAAAAGAACTTTGTTTTTTGGCAAATATTTACAATCAAGTTTATATGAAGATGGACAGTTCCAATAATACTTTACTACAATGAGCTGTTTACAAGTATCTGCACATAGTGAACAGATCCGAACAAAATGGAACTCGTCTTTTACCTGATTTTGATTACAAAAGCGACATAACCTATTCTCCCGTGGAATATTACGATAACGACCTTCTTCTATACATAGCTGATGGGATGAAAGCCATAATTTCGACATACGTTTAAGATACATAGCGGGAAATACTTGTCCTTTGAGATATATACAGAGTTACTGTTCTTGGCGAGTGAACAGTTTCTTGTGCATGAAAGTCCGAGTTTGTTGAGTTTTCCGTCCGTTGTTCGCTATCGATGAAAAATTAACTCTATTACTTTCGGCGAATTATAGTTGAAGTATTCATGAAAATGTACAATTAATTTCTAATTTAAAAGCAAACGGAATTTCACCGTCAAAAAAGGTTATCGTGAAGTCAGTAGATAGTCCGTGACTGTATACCGAGAGTACGCCTTGCAGGGGTTCACCTGGTTTCGCGTTTATAACTTTTCTTTTTCTCAGCCAATCGCATATTACTTTTAAAATGACGTAGGACGATTATCCATAATTTTATTATACCAACCAATGAAATCGCTTGAATAAAGCAAATGTCGTCATTTCGATCTAATTTAGACTCGGGAAATTCCAACAAAGGGAATTTCTTACCCCGGTATTTGTCACGACAAATCCAGAGCTTCGCATGCTAAAATATGAGTTTTGAATAATTTCTTGATATAAAAACAGTACACTTTCTTCACAATAAACGAGAAAGAACTTACGAAAAACATGAAACTGTGTCTCCGTCCGGGCGACGAATTCGGCTTGAGCGGGCTCCTATCATGCTTAGCGTTGTAGTCAAGAACGACAACTCAATACCGCTTCAAGTTCGCGGGAGTGTTAATATTTCACGATATGACGAATGGGATAGACTTCGATTGCACTGTAAAACTATCTATCAGGAATGTGTTGCATTTTGACGATCGCTCAACAAAACCATTCCTTGTTTGGATAGAATATCAGTCGAAGGCTGCTTAAAACAATGTAAAAATATCCGTTCATTTTCAATATAATGTGTTAACTAGACATTTCAAAACCAGAATACAACCATAACTTCTTGACAACGCCAATTATAGTTTCCCTGGTTACATTCATCCATTTATTCATAAGTTGACTGAATGACACATCTATTACATTTAATTAGTTTTAACATAATTGAATATTCGACATTTTCTTATAATATATACAGGAATGCGCCCCATTCCGTGTATACCATGAAAGCTGAAAATCAACTTGTACTTAAGTCCTATCAAAACATTTAGTTTAGATTCTAAATTGAGTGATAAATTATTACCGTGGTTGAGGTTAAGACGAGTTATTTCATAAAGATATCGTAAACATTTAATCATTTATGACATTCTCAACGGCCCGTCAACACATAAAAGGTCATTAGAGCCATCAACTACAGCGATCCAAAAAGGAAATAACATCAAACAAACTAAAAGGTAAAAGACAAAAGCTAAAAAGTTTGAAATTATTATATTGTCACAAAATATTAAAATTGTAAGTTATAGTCTATAATATAGACCAACATTTTTTCAGATAACCTAGAATTTCATTAAACTAAACAGTTTCAAAAAGGGTCTTTAGACTTGTAATGTTACGATAAAAAATTCCTCGAGTGGACAGAAGGTCGATGCAGCCCAGTAAATTGCTCATCTTATATCGTAAACAACAAACTACTTATACTGTCACAGATCTATTTATAGTAATGAAAGCAATGGGGCAAGTTTTCTGAAGGATGGAGATATCCCTACCATCAATGTCTGTCTGACTCACGCCACAGCATCACCGCTTAATGTGTAAAAACAATTTGTGATCAATTGTAGACAAATGGATATTCAAAATCTTTTTTCTTTGTCTTGGACATAAGTTAAAGCTGAACTTCTTTTTCAAACAAAGACTTGTTGTTTGTGTTTATTTTTAAGTTATCGGGCAAGGAATTGCCGTCTTTGCCAGCAGAGAGAAAAAAAAAGTTGATGGTTTAGGACCCTTAAAGCTATTTGAATATTATAAAAAAAATGTTATATTTTTCAAGAAAATGTATTTCAAACAAGTTGAGATGGCTTGGCTTGGTACAATAGTGTCATAAACGGAAGTTTTTTTTAGAAGATTAGTTAGACAATTACCATTAAATATATCAAAATTATCGTTAAATGAGTTGAGTGATACCGCTGGTTAACATCAAGGAGATTCAGTTGTTGAAGATTGTACAAAAGACATACATGTGTGGAGGTGGTATGATAAAGCCGAACAATGATACTGCACCATACTTTTAGAACTCGTCTGTGATACGAATGGCCTAAATTTTGAGAGATTGTAGGCGACTGTGGAAAATAATGTAATTATATTTCTGCTTTCAGGGATTAACATCTTGTTTTGGAAAAAAACTGTGTAGTTTGTTTTCAAATTTCTTTAAACCATCAAACCACGAAAAACAGGCATTTTCAAAGTGGCATTGAATATCTGTACAGGAATTGGAAATATTAGTTTACTTGCTCACAAGAAAAATTTATCGCATTCGTTTTATTGTGGTACAATACACTACAATACACAAGTGAAATCGACACTTTACATTTAGTTCCGTCATTGAAAATCAACCATGAACAAGATATACGACATTTCTCACTACTAGATATATGCCTAAAGTGAGCGGGAACTCTGTCTCTATATACAATGTGTTGGGCCTAAATCTTGCACACTTACCAAAGAAATTCAAATTACTTTCGTAAAATCCGTTTGATGAGTGAGAGTTACACAACGGGGAATTCCGGGGAAACCTCTATCTGAAAACAGGAATAGCCTTTTATTCGAAAACGAGGCGGAAGGGAAATCCAGAAAAAAATGGCGCTGGCCGATGAGCTTACTAGACACCAGGGTGGTGATATACTGATTTACTGCGAGTTTAAACGAGCATTGTCATTGTTAAACACTTCAATAATAAGTGACAGGTAGGTGAGACCACGGCTGTTAATGTATGCACACAGACCATTGTTTCAGATTGATGGGGATGGGTTGGAGACTCCCCTATCTAAAGGTTAGCGAGCAGACATGTGATGAAGGGGCCGACCTGTTTAGGGAGGGTAGACTCGTATGCCTGAAGAAAAACACGATCATTTGCTTTCTTCTTTGGTCTTTAAATAACTCAAATTTTCCTTAGTCCTTGGAAAGTGTATGGACGGACAAGACTAACGATAAAAGTTAGGTTTGAAAGTTATTTAGGAAATGCCCAGCACAGGGACGTAGAGTCTAGAGGTGATATATCGGTATCATACGTATTCATCCCTGCCTAGCTCGTTAGCCCCTTATAATGACCAAGTCTTAATTGCAGGCTCTAAAATCCTGGTCACAGACATGACCACCTAATGTTATGGAGGCTGTGATTGTGGTTTACAGACGTGAGAGAAACATGTACAAAACGGCCAAATGGTTAAATGAGCGCAGCATGATTAAAAAAGTTGAATAAAGATTGAAAATTAAAAATTAATGTCAGAACCTGTATCATAGTATTAAGAAATCATTAATGGCGTTATACAATTATTTTCATAGATCATTGTTTATTTGAATTAATTCTAGAACAAATATCACTAGCCCATGAATATTTTTTGGTATAATTAAAAACATTTTGTTACTTAAACAAAGAGGCCTTGTAAGTTACACTTTTGTTACTAAAAACAAGAGGCCTTGTAAGTTACTCTTTTGTTACTAAAAACGAGGCCTTGTAAGTTACTCTTTTGTTACTAAAAACAAGAGGCCTTGTAAGTTACTCTTTTGTTACTAAAAACGAGGCCTTTTAAGCTACACTTTTGTTACTAAAAAAGAGGCCTTGTAAGTTACTCTTTTGTTACTAAAAACAAGAGGCCTTGTAAGTTGCACTTTTGTTACTAAAAACAAGAGGCCTTGCGCCAATAATTAATGAGATGAATGCCTAACAGTTCGGTGAGATCGGACCGATCTTTACTCAACCAGAGTCTGTACAATAACAGAAAACATAGGAGAGTTCCACTAATTAACTCATGATCAACATAGTAAACAACAGTGGCATGATTCCTTTCATCTTTTTCACCTTGTGAATATCAAATGAATTATCTTATAATAAATGAGACATTGTTATTAATGAAAACCTTATAATACGTCATTTATAACATAAGAGTCATAAAACACTGAAACATGTCTTTCTGGCGCAGATAGAAATCACTATCAATAGACCACATAGTCGTTCAGGTGTGTTGGCAGCCGGTGCTCCCTCTGTGGTCGAAGTTGAGTGTGCCTGTCGACTACATCAGTTTGGTCATCGTCAGTTTCGGTGTCCTTGTGCATTGCTGGTGGATTACTTGTATGTAACAGTTCGGGTGGAGTATATAGTACTACGGGCACGGGCATAGAACATGGTTCCGTTGAAGCCATATGAGGGATTGGGGTCTTGGTCCTGTTTTCGATGCTCTGTTCACTATGTGGGGTTATTAATGTAGTTTCTTCAACATCCTCTGTGCCGTCTTCAGACTTTGACGGGTTCACAGATACGGAAAGCTCGGGAGGTATGTGTAAACATTCTTTTGCCTTCACTTCATAAGAACCGGATCGCAGCTGTCTCCCCGCGAATTTTTTGACAAAACACCAGTCATCCGATATTGACACCACAATGTATCTTGGGCGTGCCCTTAACTTGTCCTTATCGGAATACAGGTAGATAATATCTCCTATAGATAACGAAGGCTGCGAATATGGGCCTTTTGTTCCTGACTTAGACAGAGCACTACTCACGTGATAAGACTCACGGCGATCGGCAGTGTGTTGTATGATGTCTTTGTCGACAAATGGCAACTGCTCATGGTTGAACTGGTTGCGTTGGGTATAGCCCAGCACTCCTGATGCGAGAGTTGAGGCGGGCTACAGCGGTTGATAAGGTCAGAGAAGATAAGGTCCACCTCCAGGCTCTTGCCTCAAAGCTCCTCCTCAAGCTCTGCCACTGCCTTCTCAGCGACAGGATTCTTTTTGGGGTTTTTGACACGGCCAATTTCTAGGTTTATACGGAAACGCTCAAGAAGAGTGTCGTCGCGTATGGACATAAATCCAGTTGCAGGGTCGACTCGGACAACAGCGTGGGGTCCATCGAGTGGATGAAGTTCTGTGCAGAGTCTAAGTAAAGCATCATGCAATGTTTCTGACTTCTCATTGCTGATTATGAGGGCGGTTGTAAAAGCTGTTACAGACTCGTGCAGAACAAATATCAATTGACGATTACGCTTCATAACGTCCGCGGCAAAGTTAACACCAACTGCATCAGGTGGCGGCTCTGAAGTTTGGTCAGTGTATGCTTTAGGCAATTTTCGTAATGATGAACAGGTATGACACGAGTAGCACACATGCTCAATCGACGTAGACATATCAAGCACGTAAAAGCTGCGTTTCATGAGGACGAGCATTTGATGCTTTGTTGGATGGTCCAGACGAATATGCATAGCCGGACTAAGCTGTCTAAGACACTAAGTGGGACAATAATGAGCTCTGTCGAAGACTGCAGTGGGACATTTCGACGAACTAAGAGTAGGCCATCCCTCGAGATAGTGGCTACGCTTAAGTACAGTTTAACATATCGAATGTTTGTGAGCTTTCTTGAGGGTCTGGTTCCTTGTTTGAGATGAGCATGAACCCGTCTCAAGTCTGGACATTCGGACTGAATACTGATCTAGGCGGAACGAGTTGTGAATGGTAGAGATTGAATTGTGGCAAGTGGATCCAGAGTCCTCTGTCTGTTTGATAAAATTGCAGATCTGACAAGACGGGTCATTACAGTCGGCTGCATTCCTGCTCGCAAAATCAGATGGTAAATTGGCAGATCCAGCAAGGTGTTTTAAGTCAACTGGGTATTGGCTCGCAGTAGATAGAAATGATGTTACCCTGGGGCTTGCAGAGAATTCACCACAATGGAGCTTTTGTATGGCCCGCACACACGGTTTGCTGTCTGTCAAGACACACGCAGTATGACATGACTGCATGATAAAGGGGCTAAAATGCTTGATTGCGGCTGCTATGCACAAAGCTTCAACCTCGCACGGTAGCCATGTAACTTGGTGTTATCGAAGTTTGGCGCTAAAGAATCCAGCAAGTTGAATGTTATTGTCACGCCTCACATAGAGAGTTGCCCAAATGCCAGACTTGCTGACTGATCCATCTGTAACTATCCAGATCTGATCGTTTTCACAAGGTATAACGATTTCTTTGGCACCGAGGAGTTAAGCTTGACAACCTGGAAATATTCTGAGAGTTCATAGTCCAAATAATCTTGTCTTTTGACTGAAGTCCACAGATAGCATCTTCAAGGGGAGCAATGTTTTGTGCGCAACTTCGAAGAACGCAAGCAAGGACTTTATACGCTCCAATGAACGAACGGAGCCCATGAACAGACTCCGATGGCTTACATGACGTGAGGACAGAGACTTTGTGAGGGCTTGCAGAAAGACGTCCTTGTGACCATATCCATCCTAGGATTGTCCTGGAGCGGGGACAAATGATGGTCTTTGCCGAAGACAGACGGAGACCGCAACTGTTGATAACATTCATTACTGTGGATCAATTGTTAAAAAGTTTGTCTGGAGTATTGCCACCACAATACAGGTCGTCTGCTAGCTTCACGACAATACCAGCTTGTAACTGGTCACTTAACACACGACACATGAGCTCATCCAACGTGGTTTCGGAACCCTGCATTTCCATTGCACACCGCATATAAACGCGAACGCATTTGTAGGGAGTTACAATGCTGCAATACTTCAGACAGGGGAATCTGGTGAAAGGCTTTGATGAAATCGGTAACAATCAGATACTTCATTGGCCAATCCTATGCAAAGTGGAGTCCACATCTGGCATTAAGGAAGGTTGGAGTTTTGAGTAACAACCAACATCCTCGAACGCGGTGACTAGTCTATGACCACCATTGGGCCTGAACACTAAGAAAGAAAGATTGAGATACTCGACTGTTATTCCGAGGTCTTCTGGTTTCTTTAATACCCCGAGAGACTCTAGCTCATCGCATTTCTGTTGCAACAGAAGTTGCTTCTCCTTTGAGTATTGAGGGAGGCGCCCTTTTCTCTGAGGCGGTTGTGTGGGGCCCATGTTTATGTTGGCCTCAAATCTTCCAGCAGCGCCGTTGTATCCTTTAAAGTTAGGGTCAAAAAGCGAATCGTGGTCATGGAGGAGACTTCGAAATTTTCGCCTATGATCTTCGGAAAGGATGTCATCCGGATCGACTTTGACACAGTCAGAGTGGTAGGAGTCGCTAGAAGGTCTTGCGTTATGACCAATTTTGATGGCTGTACTTGCATGCGCATTTGATACAGTGTGATCAGGCACAGGTTTCGTCAGCAACACTTGGCAAAAGTGGTTGTTCTTCTTGAGACGTTGCGGTTCGTTAGTATTGTTAACTACTGGTATCTTTCCGCCCACTGCATCAACAATATTAGGTTCCGGCCACATACCGACAGAAGAACAGCTTTCTATTCGAGGTTCAATTGCGACAATACCTTCGGGCGGTAGGTCCTCCGGCAATCCGAGATCAATATGTTCCCCTGGCCATATGGTAGTGGAGAGGGTTCTCAGGACAAAGGCTTGTGTGCAGCGTACACAATTATGTTGGCCGGGCAGTTGTGGAACATTGTATTTAATAACATAGGCGTCGCCTACCATAATTTCATGACGAGCAGGTCAAATGCTGATGTCATTGCTTGACATGAACAGTATACTGGCAAGAACGTCAACATCAAGATCTTTGACAACAAGGGCTTCTGTATGAAAAACGGTGTTGTCCCTGGTTACATCAAAATGTGTCTCTCCAACAATTTCCAGAGGAGTACTACCGTCGGCTTGTATTTTGGTTGGTAGGCTGAATGTTGACACCAAGACGGTCTGCTGTGGATGCTTTAATCATACAGATTTCAGCGGCACTGTCTAG